CCGGCAGCCTCATCGACCAGCGCAATTCCACCCCCTTCAAAACAACCGCCGCGTGCGGCGACGGGCGCGTTGCGTGTTGAAACACCCCCGCAATCCCCCACCCATCGCCCAGATAAGCCCTCGGGAGCCAGCACGCTCTCCCACCCCCTCAAACCCGGCCCGCGTCCAGGTTGGACTCGTCATCGGCCGTGACATACGAGATGGTGCACAGCGCCAGGGATGCGGCGCACGGCGTGCTCGCGCGCGGCCGGGAGGATGTGCTCGGGGTATTGGGCCGGGTAGGGCAGGGGCGGGCCGAAGGGGTTGGCGAGGGAGGAGGGGGTTGGGCCGAGAAGCGAGATGATGGTGGTTGGGCGGGTGCGGCCCATGGTGGAGGCGAGGGAGGGGGATTCGATGGTGCCTGTGGCTATCTGAGATGGGGGGGAGGGAGGGAGTTAGTTGGTGGATTTGGATTGGATTGGGATGGGTGATATGTTGAGGAGGAGAGGAGGAGGGGGGCGGGGGCGTTCAAGGGGAAGGGGACGGGGGAAAGGATGAGAAAGGAACCGAGCTCACCTCAAGGAGCGGGTTCGATTTCAAGTCATCGGGGATTTTCTCCGGGCTGCGGACGTACGCGATGGTGCGGTGATTGCGGTGCAGTAGCTCGCGGACGACACAGATGCCCGAGGGGCCTGTTGCGCCGAGGACGAGGACGGTGTCTCCTGCCATGGCCAAGTTCTGTCTGATGCGTCTGTTGGATTGAGGTTGAGAGTTTGCTGTTTGCAGAGTTGAATAAATCCAACGTGGTGTTATATAGTGTCTTTTCCATATGTTTGTCAAGGCCGGTGTAATGCTGCCCGAGACAACAACATAAAGTCTCCGATGACGCAGAACCTTGATACTTATTGACAGTCACCGTGCTAATTAGCTGACGAATCCTTATCAAGCCTTTCTCACATCATCGAATCGCTGAAACCGGCCGTGGCGCCCATTGAGCTTTGGAATCATTTTTTCCGCAAACGGCCGACACCGATATTATTAGAGAAATGGGCGCGGAACCAGTCGCCATGATACGTCGTTAACCATCACATTCGTAACTACCGTGGTATTATTACCCATGCCCTCATCGCTTTTGATGGGAGAACAATGCTCCGTCACCCCAGTACAAAACCACCCAGATATCCAAAACGTGTACTAAAAATATAAAGCCCCGATATGCGAGCCCAAATAGGCGGCGGCTTCTTCCCGGAAATCATCCTTGAGGTACCCATTCCTGTTGGCGAAGAAGTTGATGAGCTTGCGGTCCTTGCCAGTCCACCGGGGCCAGTCCTCGGAAATCTTGCTCTTGCTGCTGGTGCCGCCGGCCGCGTTGTTGGGGTCCTGGTTGTAGACAAAGTTGGCATAGTAGCTCTGGATACTCTTGCTGGCGTAGTTGGGCAGGATACCATAGAAGACCTGCAGGATATCGCTGCCGTGGAAGGTGCCCATGATGGGGGTGCCTTGGTTGTAGCTGGCGATATACGACCATGCCGGGACATCCGGATTGACTGCGGTAGCTGTTTCGAGGAAAATGCGACGCGTCAGGGTGAACACGATATCGCCCAGCAAAGCCGCGAGCCTCTTAAAACCTGGGTATATCTCATTAAGAATACCGCTGCCAAAAGGCGATCCGTCCCAGATCCACGGCGAATAAGTGTCGACGAGGCCCTCGATCTGCTGATTAGTAGCGCGGTGGAAGTAGAGATCCTTCAAGTAGGTCACGAGCCTGGCGCTGGTCGTGATGTTGGGTTGGAACAGGGCGAACAGCGTGCCCTCGTCCTCTTGGTCGCCGATGATCATCGGCACGGCTGCGTACTTGCCCTCCTGTACCAGGACATCGGTGCTCTTAGTGAGGGCCTTACCGTCAGGTCGGGGAAGGTATGAAAGGGCGACCGAGTTGTATGACAGAATGGCCGGGACGGAATTCGCAGCAGCGAGGAACTTATCATACGGCGCCTCACGAAGGCAAGCCAAAGTGTCCTTGGCTGAGGCGCATCCGGCCTTCTCGACGACCTGATCGTAAATAGCTTGGCCCTTGGGGCAGTCGACCGGGTCTGCTGGGACGATGCTGCCGGAGTTCATGATGGCACCGTGAAACAAAGGTTTGCCCTTGTACGTGTTGTCACCGTCATAGAGGGCCATTTGGTTGAAGACGGAGATGGCGCCGGCTGACTCGCCCCAGATGGTCACCTTGTCAGGGTCGCCGCCGAAAGCAGCAATGTTGTCGGCAACCCACTCCAGGCCCATGCGTTGGTCGAGGTGGCCGAGGTTACCAGAGCCATCGGCGAGAATCTCCTTGCCCGGCATGAAGCCGAAACCACCGACACGGTAGTTGATAGCCACAAAGACATAGGGCTTGCCCATATTCATGGCATTAGTGACGAGCGGGCCGCCATCATACATGGAGCTCCAGCCGAGCTAACAAGGGATCAGTCACCAGGATGGAACCTGAACACTGGCGTCGTAGCACTCACCTCAAAACCGCCTCCAAAGATCCAAAACAAAACAGGCAACTTGTCACCTGCTTTGGTACCTTTCGGCCGGAAGACGTTGACCGTCAAACAGTCTTCGCTGATTTTCAGTGCCTTCTGGAAGAAGGGCAGGTTTGTGAGTGTGCCGATCACCTTGGCTAGGAACTCGTTCGAGTCCGAGTCGGCCAAGAACTGCGGGCAAGCCGGGGCGATCCCGCTGGCATCGAAAACACCCAGAGGCGAGTCATGCCTCACGGGGGGCTTGAGCCTCAGCGGACCAACGGGCGGTTTGGCAAATGGGATGCCATTGAAGGCCTCGGTGGATAAACGGGTTGTGCCAACGATAGAACCCGCAGAGACGGTGACGGTCGGGGCAGCCCTCTTCTCGATAACGTTTGCGGGCGGCTCGGGAGGCGCTGCAACAGCCTGGCCGAGAAGGGCGGCGGCGACAAAGGCGGTGATGCCCTTCATGGTGTTTGTAGGCGGCCTGGCGACGGGGACAACACCGGGAGAAGGAATGTTCGGGAAGGAACGAACAATCAGGAGTTCGCTGACCGAGCCTCGCAAACCCCTTGAAGGAAGGGGCAGATAGCACGCCTCATATAGTGGTCTCATGGCGTCTCATTGTGATCCACAGGCACAGTTCGTAAATCATAAGGGTCCCCACGGAGACAGACAACGGTGTGTACCTTGGGCACTTGGCAATCTGGTACCACACCAAGACTCCACCAGGACGGACTCGGCGGCATGGCGAAAGCTCCGCACCGGGGCAGCTGACCATGCGGCACCATGGAGGCATGGACAGGATAGGCAAGAATCCGAAGGAAGCGCGTAGTGGTACCCTCTTGCAGCACGACTTGCGAGGCCTGGGCGATCCTTGGGGGTGGCATCCTCGGCGGCTCCCTCGAACTGGGGATGTGTTGCAGGCGTCATCTCAAGACCCATTTTCCCCGTGGGGAAGAGGGCGCTTGCGATCCTTGGAGGCCGTCGCATCCTGAGAAAGGCAGGAGGGGCTCCGTGAGTGGCCCGCTGACAGCCAGTAGCAAGTCGAATTCGAGGTCGCATTGGCCGTGTCACGCAGCCCAAACCTGGCAGAACCGATTTCTCGGCCACTCTGTGCCACCTCTGCCGTGCTTGGTCGTAGGGAGAAAAGACATGTGAAAGACGAATTTTGTGCCTGGCGCTAGTTCCAAGCCTCGGCAACACGATCGGGCAGCAGGGCAGTCGTGCATTAGTGTAAATAATAAGCCGCTGCCCTGATCGGCAGGCGGTGATTGTCGAGCCTCCCCCGCATCCCAATGGTGTGGGCGTGCGATGGTGAGGGGTCCCGGGTTTGGCGGGACTGCAAGGTAAGAGGGGGGATGCCGGCATCGTCGGGTTCAACCCGAAGAAACAAAATGAGCAACAAGGAATAGACTTTGAGAGCAGGGACAGGGTAAAAAGTCTCCCCCAGTCTCTGAGAACTCTGTTAGACAAGTGTGGGTGCTGTCATGGTTTGAGGTGGATCAAAACCCAGATGGCGTGGATTGCAGATTGTGATCTCGATCTGCGGCAACTGCCGACACATGGAAAGGTATCCATAACAGCAACCATCTATTGGTCGAGGCATCAATTCATGGCGTCGGCGCAACCCGGCGGAGATTTTGCAAGCGGCCAAAGGGAGAGGCATCCTCGTGGTATTGCAGAGCGAAAGCCAGGAAGAACCCCACAAAAGTCGTCTCTGGGGAAAGAACCAAATAGTGTGGGGTTTAGTGGGGGGAAACTGGGGAGGTGCAGGGCAGTCTGTGGGGGAATCGGGACCTGCTTCCCTTTTCGGCGTTGAAACCCGATGGGATTTGTCGACACTGCTTGGCTCGAGCATGTTCTTTTCTCACATTTCACCACATTACTCGCGAACTAGCGCATGTTTATAAAGGTCCGCCGCAATGTACAAGAATAGTACGGCGCCCGGGCGGACCCAAACGCACCGAGGCGAACCCCCAATTCAAAGTGGCCGTCCAACACTGGTCGAGAACCCCCCGATGCGCATCAACTGGCCAGTGACACTGTGGCAGCCGTCATCTTCACCGCCGGTTCTGTCGTTTGCGAACACGATGGATGCTTGCGAGTCAGCCAACCCAGACCTGGACACTTGGCGCTCCCCAAGCAAAAATCTGCCGGCAAGGCGGGTCGTTCCGTAGAAGTTTCTGGTGTCGAGCCCCACAACGCCGCTCTCCAGGCTGGAGTTCTCAGACTCCATGACCACCGTTTGACCATAAACGCCAGCTTGAGTACAAGTAGTCATTCACAAAGCCAACACCATCCCGCCGTTTAGTAGCTTCATACGCTTGCCAAGCATGTCGTGCTTCGAACTATTGATATTCCTCCTTAGGCCCAAGTTCCCCCACAACGGACTGCAAGCTGCAACCCAACTTACCGGCTCAAGGCACCTACAGTAGTAGCGGACCACTAGTCCGTCCCTCCCCGCCTTCTCTCTCGGCTTGCAACCTCACTAAATAGCTCCCCGTAATAATGGGAATCTCTCTGGCATGTGAAGCAGGTTGATATGGCGGCTAGACCAGTCTGTAGTTCCTCTCAATTTGTCGAGGTACAGTGACCCGGCGAAGTGGTGCCCCTCTCCCTCCGCAACTAACCGAGCAGCCTTAACGTTAAAAGTGTTCTCATTTATTAGAATACACAAACATTATGGATTACAGTCCCGGTTTGTTCTTAGCCCACTTACCTTTTATCTGCCCCGTTTCCGCCGCGGGTGTGAACTACCACGAGATTCAATCCCCCGATTCATGCAAATGGAATAACCACCGGGCTACCCCGTGACTCATGTGCATATCAGATACAGATGAAAGTCTAGATACATGTTTGCAAAAACATGTGAAAATCGGGGACTGGTTCTGAGGGTTCCAGTGATCTGGGCACCGAACGACCTACGCTAAAGCTTTTCAAGCCAGGCCAGGTCCGAGTCTCCGAGTCTCCGAGTCTAGTAGTATCTCTCACAGTGTCGAGGGATCAGGCATACCCCGCCAGGCCACAGGACGTTTAGCTTGTAATGCAGTATCACATGGGATATATGATGGCCCTGAAGCCTCGGAATAGTGACTCCTGTTCAATCTGTCGGGGAGGACCACATTTTCGGAGTAATCATGAAAGAACCCGGCCTGATCGAGCTAGTATTGGGAAATGTTTTACCGAAGGGAAGCTGTTTTATGTTTGTCTGCACCCCAGTCTTGGCCTTTAGTGAGCGCTAGCCCTCTGGATAACGTTGCTTGTTTCGGTGACCGAGGCATGGTTAAGGTGTCAACAACTCAGACCTTGATCGCGGACTACTTCGTAGCCGGGTTGAAACGGCAGCGATTTGCATTGATGTGTTTGCCTAGTTGCCCGTGAAAAAACTGTCACATGCGCGAAATTTTGCCTTTGACTCTGGGAAATAGACGCAAGATAAAGCGTGTTGAGATGTTGGGCTGTGGTACTCGCCATTGGGCATCAAAACGCCATCCCTGCTTTCACTATCAAGAGCATTCTCAACCGTTGGGTTCATTGGCGTCACACCAGCTCAATGGTTCCGCAATACACCTCCGTAGGCCTTGGGAGTGATGTCTGAAATCGAGTCAAGATGCAGGTGGTTTATCATTTTAGTTAACCTATTTAATAGCGAGGGTCATCACGCGTTGCAACCGAAACATAGGGGAAGACATCAACACATGTAGGCAAAGATACTCTAGAATACTTGCCAAAGATAAAAAGCAACGCGCTAACTTCATGCCATTGCTGGCTTGCGGCTCAAGGCCAGGTGTAACCGGAAGCCAACCCAACCAGCGCCTCATGTGATGCATCCTGACGACCGACCATACCCACGCCGGTGATAGCTCCCAATTCTCGTAGCCATTAACCCTCGGCACTGCCGTCCAGACACCGTTACCCAGCCAGCCAGCCCTCTAAAAGGGTATCGTAAGGTACCATCCCATGCATCATATTCCATAGCCTGACCTGTCGTGCCCTCATGTACCCGAATTCATCAATCCATCGCCGTGCAAGCAAGTCACGGAAGATAACAAAACCGAGTAGATCCCAAATTCCAGTCATAATACCATTTAATCACCAGGGGGCCCCTGCTCAACACACCTCCAAAGTGTTGCTATTGACCCGGCGTGTCGTCCTCCGCCTCTTAGTCGCGGGACTGTGCACAGGCCGGTCGTCCGAGCTGCTGGGCTGTTCCTCCTCGAAGCTGCTGTTCAACACCTGCGACAGTGGCTCCCTGTCTGTGCGCCTCCGCTTGAGGCTGACGGGGTGGTAGACAGGGCGTTGCTCAACCTGCGGCTCCAGCAGCGGGTCCCAGAGGCCAATGTGGTTCGGGTCGTCGTAGATGGAGTCCCCGGCGATCTCTCGGCCCAGAGCCTTGGACAGGCGTTCCTTTAGACCAAGAATGGGCCAAAAGCTCACTGGCGTGTGCGAGATGTCCATGCCAACCTTCAAGTCCTTCTCGGTTTCGCCGTTTGGCGCCTTGTGGGGGAACATGAAACGGTCCAAGAAGCTCTTCGTGATGGTCGCTGTGTAGACGACAAAGTTGGGGTTGTTGTCGTTGCCCTCGTCGTGGGTGATGACCTGCACTTTGATGTCGCGAAACAAGGGTGGCGTAATACGGATCGACTTTGTTTTGCCCTGGGAGCTGGACTGCGAAGAGGAGCGCGATGGTGATTCGCGGTAGAAGTGCGCTTGCGCCATGGCGAGGAGAATGGCAACAACGTAGGGGTCGTGGTCGGCATTTTCTGGGATCAGCAACTTGGATCGTAGTCGCTGCAAATTGCCGACCACTTCGTTGGGCGTGCCACCAGGCCCACGAAGCACACCGTAGAGATTCTGGCGAATGGCGGCGAGCTGGGATTTGTTGATGTAGGCAAGCATCGGCATGCCTGGATCGCGACCGGTTTTCGGTGTGCCATTGAATGATGTCGAGGGCAACGTCGGGCATGAATCGAAGGATGTGTCGACACTGCTCGGACTCTTCCAAACACAAGGGATGCGGACGACTTTCCTGAAGACGCGATGCCCGAAGTAGAAGTTCAGCTCGGCGCCAGTCTTGGGGCGGGCCAATGTCGCAGGGAACAGAGTCGACAGGATATGCTTCATGGCGCGAATCTTGCAGAATGCCCTGGCTGATGTCGCGTCTTGCCGCACGAGAGTGTGCAGCTCCGAAGTCAATGTTTGCGCCATCTTGGATGGCTCAAGCCACACTCCATGAGCAATATCTGGGACCGGGGTGACGACGGCGGAGCGCTTGCGAAAGCGCGCCCCCAGGAGACGGGTATGCTGGTCGGTCCAGCAGATGGGGACGACATAGAGGGAAGTGCCGGCATGGTCATGCAGGATGTCATACAGGGAGCCCGGCTCGGCCCGCGTAATGCGACGTCTGCACGGTCGCCTCGTTGTCGGTTTGGGGTTGCTCTGATTGCCGGTTTTGGTGGGGTGGCCGCGCTCCTGGGAGCCAGCCTTGTCGCGTGAAGACGGCATTTGGACGATGGCGCGCAGCTGACCGAGAAAGTTACTGCTGAACAAGGATCTTAAGGTCAAGGCGGGACGCGTGTTAGCGGCAGGGGTTCTTGAAGGCGGAAATCGGATTTGTGATTCGTGTTCGCCTGATTTGACGGTGATGTATTGAAGGTAAGTGCAACTTACTCAATTGTGAGCATCGAAGAAGGCCGATCGGTCGCCTTGCTTGAGTGGGGTGGGTTACAAGGCGAACACCCGCTTGTCGCGATTTGGCCCCGCAAACACAATAGTCACGTTAAATAGGTATTGTTAATTGTTTGGAATGTGAATCGCAAACAATAACAGTAGTCGCTCAAAACCAAAGCAGGTGTTGCCACAATAATTTTCGTGGAATACACAGTGCTTCAATGGTGAAATGGACGGTATTTCGGTCGAGGAGTCGTTGTGCGCGCAAAAGTGTCTCCCCGGCTGGTTTGGGAAGGGCTGGGCAGAAATTCGTGAGTTTAAGAGAGCAACGCGGCCAGCGGGGGGCAGCCAAGACCCCCTCACATTCTGCGCCGTCCTGCCTGTGGGTGTGGCAACGGAAGTGCACCAACAATCTGGACCCCTGGCTTTTCGCGGCCCAGACGCGAAATCCCGTGACACTCACCCCATTAGGCTAGGCACCGACGTGTTCCACTTCCATGGTCTCTGAGCGACATCAGGAACCCACATTCACTCTGCTGGCACCTTTTGCGGCCCTTGTCTCGGAAGCTCCGATTCCACAGGAGCACAAGAGATTTTCGCTGCACCTCGCCCAAATGTACGAATCCAGAGGACCTCAACCATCTGTAATCTTTGAGAAGACATTGTTGAGCGGTGCCAGAAGTGTTTCGCAAGGATCACGGCGCGGTGTCATGACGTCCCAGGATTGTTTTAGCCGCTGAGATGCAGTCCAATAAGATGCTGGAAAATAGGATCCACCTTTTTCAGATGGTGTGGCCAAAGTGTGGCTGCCTGTGATGACACATTTGAGTCAAAGCCGTGAATTCGTAAAGGCTCGGCCGTGCCAAGACCCTCAGCCACACTGAAAGACGTCAGGGTTGATTGGCAGCATCTTTCGTATGCGCCCGCCCCGAGCCGACCCCAGCAACCCCGCAAGGCTGCGATCGAGCTCCCGAGCGCTGAGCGGAGCACAAGACATCCCACTTCAACCCCTCAAAACCCACGCCCGGAGCTTTTGCAAGGCGCGTGCTGCCCACGATGCCGGTGAGTCGTGTTCTAAAAGCCTCAGCTCGGAATCATCACTCCATCCAGGCTCCAATGCCCCCATTTCCGGGTTATTGCTGACCCGACCTTCCTCCTCGACCAACACCCTCACAGGCCTACAACTCCGTCTTCAACACCGCCGAACCGGCCCCACGGCTGGTCGGCAACTTCCCGCTCTTCCCGCTGCGCACCAAGATCCGGGGTCCCGTGTACCCGCTGCCCTTCCCGGACCCGCCGCTGCCCGCGAATGAGTCGCCCGACCCGAACTCGGAGAGCTACGACATCCTGGACGAGGTCCTCGCGCTGTTCCGGGCCAACACCTTCTTCCGCAACTTCGAGATCCAGGGCCCCGCCGACCGCCTGCTCGTATACGGCATCTGGTTCGTCTCTGACTGCCTGACCAAGATCAAACCGACCGCCAACCTGCGCGATGCGACCAAGGATGTGACGAACCTGGCGCTGGACTTGAACTTTGCGATCCCCGGGGACCCGGCGTGGCCTTTGAATCAGGTATGGTACCATGATAGGGTGCGTCTTGGGAGAGCATGTAAGGGATTCTGACGTGAAAATGTGTAGATGTACGAGGCGCCCCGCGACAGGCAAGACGCAGAGGTCCTCCGGCAGTACATGTCACAGGTCAGGCAGGAGCTGGCGACGAGGTTATTGGCGAGGGTATACGATGAGGGCGACGCCAAGCCGAGCAAGTGGTGGCTGAGCTTCACAAAGCGGAAGTTTATGGGCAAGGGACTTTGAGTTAAGCAGTTGGTTTATGAAGTGGAAGAGTCGGATGGAAAACAATCACAATTGCATGATAGAACGCAGGCGGGCGCAGGGTGGAAATGCTCATTTTTGCTTCAGAAAAGACGCACGCCTCCTTTATACATGGTATCTTTGACGTCGATGCAACTAGGATGTCTCACCATTTCCCCACACCGTGTAGGTAATGCCTCCTCTACTGATCCTTTATGCCGGAGTCGGAGTGACCACTTCCGCCTCCGAGCCAACCTTCCGCCGCTTGAATTTCCCTTGGCAGCAACCTTGCCCTCCGCCGGGCTTGGCCCGCCACGCCGTAAACACAAACCCATCCGCACCGCCCCGTTCCGTCATGAGCGGATGTGTCCTTCCGGGAAGCACCTGCCACCGACGGGCGCGGCTCGTTTGAATCGACACACCCTGAAGCAAGGTGGGGTTGAGCGGAAACCGTTCGTTGCCCTCCCACCGCTCGAGCTCCTCGTTCGACAGGCCATCGGTTTCGGGCACGCTTCCGCTGACCCACGCCGTCCGGCGCGGTACGCTGAAGCAATCGGCCAGCGCGGCCAGGGACTCCACGGACGGCGAGTAGATCGCCACCGGAGCACCCCCCCCGAGAAGAGGGAGAGTGTGACGGAGGATGCTGATGGGGTCCATGGTGCTGGCGCATACGAGACCCGAGAAATTTCCCATCCGTGTGTTGTCGACGACGTGCCGGATCCGGGCATACCTCCTCCGCTTGCGGTGAAAGTTGCCTCTGCGACTTGGCTTCCATGACGCGAGAGTTTCGGGCGATGCGGTGAGTGGCGGTGTAGAGTACGACGTGTCAAGTTCCGGCTTCAGCAGCTGCAGCCAGGTGAGGTTTAGGAGATGGTTGAGCAGGGGATGGGGCGGGTGGTTGGGGGACGTGATGTCAAATCCCCAATAGTTCAGAAGCGAAAGATTGGGCTGGCTGGCTGAATGGATGACCGTGATCGTGTTGCTTTGCGAATACGGGATCGCAAAGTCAGAGGGCCGGGGTTTTTGGTGCTTCTGTCTTCCGTCGTTCTGTTGCTTCAGGGAGTTGCCCGGTCCATCTGCCATTTCCGTGTCGCTGTCCTTCTGTTTTGTTTCAGGGACGATCAGTTCGTGAGCCCGAGTCTCCTGTGGCTTTTCCGAGGGCGCGGGAGTCGGCCCAGTCGCAGTGACGTTCTCTTCTTCAGTCCTCTGCGTCTCCGGCCCCTCGCCGTCATAAAGGACGCCCATCCGCTCGGCCATCGCCGCTACCAACAGCCCACAGGTATCGTCGACCACAAGCCACCTCCCTTTTAAGAGGTCCTCGTCCACGGGAAGACACGCCTCGTCCCCTGCGTCGGTTGGGGCCTTTGGGTCCGGGAGCAACACATCATCGCCTCCGAAGTGCACATTTCCCCAGCAGCCGACGAGCCCAATCATCTCGGCCCTTAAATCCAGTATTTTGCTCGAATCCCTTTCTTCCAATTGCCAGTGGGCGAGGTTGGCCACATCGATCGGCAAGACCTGGAACCGCCGAATGTATTTTTTGGTCTTTAATAGCTTGTACTTGGCCAAACTGAAGCTCGTTTTTTGATCCAACGCCGTGTGGGAGAGAAGCAACTTGGCGATGACATCCTTTCCGGCATTATTTCCCTCCCTCTTCAGCTCCTCAATCTCCTCCTGTGTCAGGGTCTGCCGCGCATTCTCGTCGAGGACCTCGTGGTTTGAGCGCGCAATGACATTTCCTTTCTCGTCCACTAAGCTGAACTCTTCCCCGTCTGTCGTAGATATTACGGTATCGTTTGCACCAGCCGCGGGCGTAGCGCAACCGGATGCGCCTTCGTCGGCAAAGACATCGGCGTGGAGCTCGTCGCTAGTGACAACTCGGAGGCGTGAAAAGCTCTCGTCCGGCAGCTTATCCAGGAGCTCGAAGGTGAGGTGGTATGGGCGTCCGATAACAAGATTCGATGGGAAGGCGCCGTATTTTCCTAACGATATTGTTCTGGGCCAAATATGCCCTGTCAACATGTGATTTTGGCGGGGGGGGGCAGGTTTGCGCGATAGGCGCCTCGGATGTACTTACGTATTAGGAGTAATTTGGAGGACTTTCGTGCTTCCTGATGGGAGCTTTAACGCGACCCAGGCGTTGGGCCGTATGAGTGAATGCATATTTGCAGCAATGGCGCGATAAGCCGGATACTTGCTTTCGGTGGAGGATCGCAGTCCAAAAAAAATTGGCTCGGTACCTGTGCCCGGTCGAGGCGTTGCGGGGCTCTTAGCGGGGTCCCATCTGTGCGAACCTTGATGTGGACCATTCTGGCGCAACCCCTCGTCTTCCCTTCACTTATAATGTACGAACTTGGGTTCCAATTGCTGGAGGAAAACCATGTTAAGAATGCTAAGTTAATTACGATAGAGTCCATGACAGTCTAATGTGGCAGTCTCATGCCTACTGGACTTTTCTGCTCTTGTCACCAATAGTTCAATCTACTATTCCCAACATCTCGGGTTACCTGTTCTCGTTTTCCAAATGCAAGCCGAACCATCACAATGGCCCGAGTATGACCAGGCTTATGATCAAAATCCACATCAACAACACTGCTCTCAATAGGTCCGCTATACGATGTTCGGTGTCCAACACTGATCTGACGTTACGACGCGGCAGCCTCTTCGACTCGCCGGCTGTGGTATATGACAGCCATCCAGCGCTGTCTTGCACCATCCCGCTCTGATTAAAGTACGTCCACGCCAACAGCACAGGCCAAACACGGCGCTGAGCATTCGCTAGTGCCGACATGTTGCCCTTTTGCGCAGGCTCGAGGGCCGCGGAAAAAAACGTGAGTCGCCTGTCAGGGAGCTCGGAGAGTCCAATGGGGCTGATTTCTACGACTACCGTTAGCCATCATCACCGGTCGAACTAGAGAAGAAATTAGCAGATTAACAAAGATGCAATCACTCACCAAAACTGGCGCCCCTATCCTCCGCAAAATAGGCTGCACACTCGAAAGGAACATATAGATCCTGACAGCTCTCGCCCTGATCCCACCTTCCAATCACCGAGGTCAACTGTAAACGGCGGATGCAGGCGTCGGGGAGGATAGCAGAGCAGGTTCCGTCGTGTACCATCTTTATTCCGGCACGGTCTTTGCCGATACGATCGACGGCGAACGAGCTGAGGCCGGCAGTAAACACGGTAGCACAGAGACGCCAACCGGTGGTGTTGTGCTTCGGGACGTTGGCTGGCGGTGTGATCGAAAGGCCCGCGGCAGCAACGTAAAGGCTCTTGCCGACAGTACCGGTAGGCCATAGGGAGCGCGCTGGGACGGGTTTCCGCCGACGAAGAACTGGGCCATGACGAATCGCGGCAGGAGGAGGGCGATATAGACGCAAACTTGGAGCCAGTCGGGGAACTTGCGAGCCGTCGCCGGAGCGGCTGTCCCAAGGTTGAGGTTTTGCTGCCGGGCTTGAGAGGCAGCCATGGGGCGTGTCTGGCCGCCAACACAGCCGTTCCCCGTGGCGGATGTATCGTAGGCGTCGCCTAGATCCGTTGCGAGCACTTGTATAATAAATGATCTGTTTCACGCAGCCGATGCTGGACTTTCGGGGAGGTGAAGTTGGCGGTGCTCAGATGAAGTATGTCCTGAGATTGCATTCGATGCAGGACGGACTGCACGCTTGGTAAAGAAAAACAGCTTACCTGCGCGGTGTGCCTGTGAACAGACCGACTTCTAGGCAAAACCGCGTGATCAAGCAGCAGACGGACACGCAGTGTCGGGGGAGGCTTGTGCGTTTGACATTGCTCCGATATCAAAACTACCTCGGCACTATCAGCGACCAAAATCGTGGGCCAAGCAGGACGAACAAGACTAATATAGCGCTAACCATTGTATAACGCCTCGTTGGGTAACGTCGGTAAGGCCACCGAGACAGCCGGTCGGACATTAGCCAGGGATGGGAGCATGAAACAGCTGCAAGACAGGTGGTCACAATAGATAGTAAACATGTGACTCCAATGCGATAACATCGTTGTGTTCTAACATCCACCAGTGATCTAGACTCGCTAGCACGCACCGAACGAAGCACACCCCGAAGAAGAGTAAAAGAGCAGACCACTGACCCGTATCATGAACCCCATCTGACGCCGTCCCGGTTATCGCGTAACGATTGTCACGCACAAGGGAATCACAAAAAAAAACGAAACGGCAAGGAAAATGTGTAAAGGGATGCCACGTAATATCTCCCCCAAGATATCCAACAATATGCCAAGATTTGCCTTCCCCATCTATCATCATCACACCCAAACCCCCTTTAATCACCAATGCTCATCCAGCCCCAGGTGCCGATAAAGCCAGCCAAGATCAGCATGGTCAAGATGCTGGCACCGGCCCGATCAGCCGTAGTAATGGGCTCCAACGGCTCCGACGCACCACGACTCCGGCTGCCGGCGTTGTTGTCGCCCTTGCTGATACCCGTCGCATTAGTGGCAGGGGGCGGGGCTTCGGTGATGAGCAGACTCGACACGGCGGCAAGGACGTTCATGGCCTCGCCAGCGCCGCTGGTCTTGTCGACAGCCGGGTCCACGTAGACACCCTCGGCCCAGTAGAAGCCGCAGCGGCGGCCGGTCTCGCCGCCCGTGCACTGCCTGGCGGCCGCTTCAGCCGATGTCCGCAGCATGGGCAGGATGATGTCGGCCGTTTTCGGCGCCAGCTTGGTCACAACGGACAACCAGCGGTGAACGTAGCCCTTGAAAGTCAACATGTCGGGCGTGCAGCCCCTGCGGCCTTCACAGGGCAGCTCGAAGGCGATATCGTTCTCGAAAAAGTCGCGCTTAATGCCCTTGAGCAGGTTATCGACACGGTCCTCCCAGACGGTGCTGCCGTTCGTGTAGTTGTACATGAAGGCCGCGCCTTGCAGAAGCAGGCCCGCGTTGTAGCTGAACTGGGCCTTGTTGATGTCGGTGCAGTTATGCTCGACGTGGCCGCCGTCGTAAACGCGCCAGTCCTTGTGATCGATGTATTGCACATTCCACAGCCACTCGAACGTCTTGGTAGCCCATTCGGCGTATGTTGCGTTGGAGGTGTAGCGTGCGAGGCGGGCACCGAGGTTGAAGAAGCAGGCATTGGCGATGGTGTTCTTGTAGTTGTACCCTGCATTGGTGGGGGGCACCTGCCAGCGAAGGCCCCCATTACATGTGTTGTCGTGTCGTTCGGGGCTCGCTTGGGTGTGGAAAACGCCCTGGGCCAGGGCGAGCCATTGTGGCTTGTCCTCGGGCGGGTTGGGGAACTTGTTCTCGGCCGCGAGCATGGCTGACATGCCCCAAAAGCCTTGATCGTCGTTGCCGAGAGATGCCGTATGGTTGGGCGGCATGTAATCATAATTTGGACCAGTCTGGTGCAACATGCCTTCTTCGATGACATGATTGTAACTCGTGTCGCCAGTCAGAAACCAGTAGTCGATATAAGTGCCCATCATGGCACCTCCCTCCCACCAGTAGTAGTCGCCCTTGTGCTCGGTCGGCGGGCCTGGCAGAATGCCCGGGATTTCACCGGATTGGTTTCCTTTGTAGAACAGCATCAGGTCGTAAGCGAGCGTCCGCGCGGACTGGCGAATCTCATCTGCGCTATCAGTCAGTCCAACGCCTTCTATGCCTCCTCAAGACCTTCAATAATACCAGGTGTGTTGACGGAGTAATACTGGGCATGTGCGGTCGGTAACAGGCCGCTCACAGCGACAAGAGTGGCCAGCCATCGTGCTGGGCCTCTCGATGGCGATGATGGCGCCATGTTGTCCCGATTTTCGGTCTCGACGCTCTCGATTGCGGCGGGAAACGAGCGGTAATTGCGAAATAGGGTGGGAAAAATCGGAAAGGGGTCGCGCGGTCGTCCAAGTCGTCGTGGGAACAGAGTCGGCGTGACGAGTGAAAGCAGCAGGCGAACGAACGTGGGGTTCAAACGAGTGTGGTGATCGCCAGCGCCATGGACGACGACAAAGAGCAAGACGTTCTTCTTCCCAGACTTGAGAGAGGAGAGAAAACAGGCGAATGGAGGGTGGCTCGAGCATGGGTAGGGGCATGACGCGAAAAGGAGCCCTCCCTAGCCGTTCTTCGGGTCTTGGTATTCTCGGTAGGCGCTTGGCTTTCTCGGCATCGGCGGGCGGTGCAGTGCTCGGCGGCGTGTGACTGGCCGGGGCCTGCGTTGAGACGTCGTCTTGGCGACGGAAAGCGGGAAATGACCCATGCTCTGGGCTTCAAAGACCTTGGATCGTGCACTGGGGGGTTGGGCTGGGCGAGACCATTGGGATGGATTTTGGGCAATCGCGGCTGCACATCGCAAATTAAACAACGGACCTCTCGGCGGGGCAGTTTCTCTGACGTCGAGTGACGGAATTGTGTATTCAACTAAGAATTCGACAAAATGGAATGAATGGTTTGTACGTGTCCTTCGGAGGCACAGGATCGAATCGGCCACGCCCCTCGTCTGCATTGATTGAAGTTTCCAGGTTTAATTGCCAGGGGATGAAAAGGGGAAAACTCCTTTCGATGGCCGGATGCGGGAAACAGACTCCCGAGCCCCACAAAAGAATCTGACAGGGGGGAACACCTCGCGATCAACAAATGAGCGACCTTTCCAGACCGAAAGCTTTTCCCCATGTTTACTCGACGTTTTGGGGTAACCATAATCAAAAACAAACAACCGATGTTTAGTCACTGCAGAACCAGCAACAGACGACGTCATGGACCAAAGGAGCGGGTTTCCTAGAAGGTGGAATGAAGAACGGCCAGCGCCCAAGGATTGCGACAATCCGATGATTATCCAATTTGCCGCACTCCTGACTGAGCCACTGATTGAAGAATCCCACTGGCCATCACTTGTTCATCTCGGTCCTGGGCACGGAAGCGTCGGGCAGTCATCTCGCTGCCACAAGTTCGTATTGTGGTCACTGCCATATCGCCAAGCCCAGGCCAGCATGGCAACAACGTCGAAATGGAGGACTGCAGCACGAGGAAAACGAGTCATGGCGTTGTGGGACAAAGTACAGTTCCTAAGCTCAAGTTGATTCGAACCCAGAAGCCAAGGTAACAACATAGCCCCGCCACAGGCACCTCCCTAGTTGTTGGCCGTCTTGTCGTTGTAGTAGTGGATCTAGCAGCAACAAAGCCACATCAGTCATCTCATTTCAGAATCCAAAGAGATAACGGAACGAAAAGAAACCCGCAAGTAGCGACTCACCGTTTGATCAGCGCATCCCGAGGGTGTCTGGTAGCCATACGCGCCCGTGTTGATGAACAGGGCCTGGTTGGCGCACACCAACCAGGCGCCGACATTCTGGCGCTTGACGTCCGGGTGCGACCAGGTCAGGGTGTCGCCCTGCCAGGCAAAGGTGCCGAAGGTGCTCTTGGTAGTTTTGAACGAGGTGGCCAGCGTGCGCGGTGGGTTGGCCTTGTCGGCGGGCTCCTCTACCCACATGTACAGCGGCGGGTTGGACACCTTGTTGACCAGCTGGCCGCTCTCGATCTGGAACTGGCCTGCGGTGGTGTGCGACTCGAGCAGCGCCGTCCCGGGCACGTTGGCCGGGATCGTCTGGAGGTACTTATGGTAGTTGGGCGGCACCACAGCGCGGATCCAGTAGGCCCCGTCCTGGAGCGTTGTCGGCGAGGGCGTGGAAACCGGGTCGTCGGCCGCCACCACGGGCGAGGACAGGGCCGTGCCGAAGAGCGCTGCGATCAATACCGACTTCATCATGGTGATCTGCGGGTTACAAGCCGTGAGTAGTGATATTGATGGGATTGGGTACTGCCGGTAGTAGTGTAGATCTCAGCCCAGCGGCCGACCACGAAGCTTATGTGTTTGTTTCCGGGACATTTCTCCTTGACCCGCTGTGGGTCGATCGGAGCTCAACGACAGATGAATTCGGAACTCTAGCCCGTAGAAGAGGGGCGTTGGCAATCTATTTTGATGCCAAACCGACGTCCCGGGGTGACATCTTCCACATCGCGCGGGACCCCAGATTCCGTCTTGCGTGGGAGCCGTCTCCTGCGGATCTTAATTCCGCAGCTTCTGCGGATTGGCCCAGGGCAAGATCCCGGAAAGGTTAACGCCTGTGGTTTGCCTTGGTGGCCGGGTAAATGAACACTCCATCATGCCGCGCACCCGGTTGAGATCAATCCTACCGGCCTTGCGATGGTGTAATCACCAATGATAGTACTTGGACAATCCGCTAGTTAGTCCTGACTCCTCGAGCTCTAGGCTAGTTCGTCGGAAAGACTAGGTTGATAGTTATCATCGTGAAGGGGTCAGATGTGATCCCATCAAGCTACCGAGTGGCAAATTGCTTCATTTTTTAGTTAGTTAACTAACTATTTTTTATTTTATTTTTTGGTTGTTGGTGCTTTGTTCTTTAAGATCAACTAAAAGGTGATTATCCCAAAAGGAACCCCTAGCATGTAGACAATAGTACCTAGTTCGCTTGTGATATGCGGCCATGGGTAGCCTGGGAGGGCCTGTGTGATCATTCATTTTGCAACAGATCCACCGCCGTTAGGGGACGAGACCTCGGACCAAAACGGCCTCACAAAGCAATGCAAGATGATCCTCAGGCACTATGAGCGGCAGTGGTACTGATATTATATCTAGTAGTGTCTTTCAATGACAGCCCCCTAGGGCCCTGCCTCGTGATGTTGATGCCGGCAATTTTCATGACCAGAAGGCATGACTACTACGGAATCCTTGCCGAGATGCTTCATGTGGGTTGGGTTACCATAGCCACACCCGAGACTGCCCTCGGCGTATATCTCTGGTTCATTCTGCTACACTGCTTAGAAGGCGGCTTTTGATGATCGAGGTTGACTCGTAAACGGCCATGGCGGAGGCGTCACGCATGTGCATGATACCTGGCCAGGAACTCAGCCGCTCGCTAATGATCTGGGGCTCGCCCCAGCTCAGGGATCCATCCGACTTTAGCATACCGAAGATGGCTTTGATGGTGGCCCCGGACGGCCACGTGGGATCGTCATCTTCATCTTCGTCCGTCATGAACACGACCGCGACCGACCCATCGGCGAATGCAGTGATCTGAGGTGCTCCAGCATTCCGCCCCTCCTTTGGCACATACACCGGCTGCCGCGACCCAAATGTCTCGGCGTTATCGAAGGACAAAACTGCCTCAATGGAAAATGTGCCGAGACGCGTTGTCTCCATGACGAGGATGAGTGCCTCCAGCTCCTTATCGCAACTTGTCATCGCCGCCACCCCGACCATACCGTCGCGGAGTGCCTCCCCCTCGCCCGTTACGCGCTGGGTCGCCGTCCACGTGGCGCCGCCGTCGGTGCTGCGCACGAGCATGGTGTCCTGGTCGTCGGTATCCATCTCCTGGGAGAAGTACATGTGGATCTCGTCGTCGTCGTCCGTGCCGGCCATGCGGAGGAAAGGCTCCCAGAGGCCAAACGGGGCGGGCTTCTCCGCGGCCTGGGACAGGAAGGTCCAGGTCCGACCGCCATCGGTGGATTGGCAGACGGTAATGCGGAAGTATGTGTGGGTACCGTCCGGGTCAGTATCGTGGTTTCGGAACGCGGCAAGAATGGTGGGCGGGTTCGACTCGTTCGAGTCGGCTGATGCGGGCAGCTCAAGTAGGAAGAGATTGTCGCAGTCGCCAGAGGAGCGCGCTACTTCGCCGTGAGCTTCAAATGTGGCAGCATCGTCGGTGCTACGTTTGATGGTGAGGACGCGCTGGCCGTCGGGCTCGAAAGCCGTGAAGCCTGCGAGAATCGAACCATCTGCGAGGCGGCACAGGCGTGGGTAAGTGCTGGGCGTTTCATGAATAAAAAGCTCGTTCTCGGCGCACTCCAATCGACGAAGTCCAATTTCCATGTTGGGCGCGATGTTCGGGTGTGTTTTATTGTATGTGGTTTTGTCGAAAGTCTGGTGGGCGAAGTGATGGGTGATCGCAGATAATGCGGAGCGAGCAGAGGCGAGGATGAGGGAAATGGTGGCTAGCAAACACAAAACCGGGAGAAGGTTTGACAAAACAATTGGACTGTGGGCCGAGAGACGCAAGAGGCCCCCCGGAGCCCATGTACATCGCATCAATAGGGAAAGAACGGTAGCAGTTTTGGAAGCAGGAACAAGTTTCACTTCCCAGGCTCACGGGAAGGAACGTCGGACTGGTGAGGTGTAAAGTGGGTCATTGGGGTTTGTGAACTGCAGCAGACAGTGCCACAGAGACATTCCCTGGCTCCCTGCAATTTCCACCTCTGTTTCTCGAAATCTTAGAAGTGAATCGCACAAGAGGAATCTACAGATTTCTATGCAGGCAGGTGCCACCTATGTAAACGCCACGGCGGGCTAAGCGGTCGAACCATCTCAACCAGACGACATGGGGGCCACAGTGAGCTTCACTGAAATACCAGGGAAAACCTGCAGATTTAAGTTTTCATCGCCGCCAACAGTACCTCCATCGGCGTGTATAGAGTAACGGCTGAGAGATCTGTTGGATTCGCCACATGAAACCTTCTTGCTGATACTTGTGTTGGAAGGTCATGGCACCGGAAACGGTCATGACATCCGGAAACGGACAAGGTACCGGAAACGGATTCATGGAATTTTGGCAGCACAAAGACTCGGGTTAACTCAAGGATACAAAGGAAAGATTTAGGATAAAAACCAGTTGCTCTGAAGAACTCTGAGAGGAAGAGCCAGAAATCAATCAATCCTTTTCTCTCCAATTTTTCCGTCTGAGTGTCGTTTCCAATAAGATCCACGGCGCATTGGTCCCGATAGATTGGATCAACCTTCTGCCCCTTCAACCCTCCCCAAACCATGCCGACCATCTCGGCATCACCACCACGGATAATGGCACCTGAGTCGCCAAAGGCGACAAAACCGTCGTCCGGCGATGCGTCAAGGACGACATTCTCCTGCGAGTAAAAGGGGACGAAAACACCCCCAACACCCGCAGGTAAATCTCGTACATCGGCTTTTTTTGCCGAAAGCTTCCCATAGGTGGTGCCGGTTGTCGAACCGGTCTTAAAAACCTTGCCCTCTTTTCGCTTTCTCGCTATCGTGGCCATGGTCAGCCAAGAACTCGATAGCCGAGCCGCATGGATCCTAGGTAACAATCCGTTAGCGACGAGGTTAAAGGAGGGTCGGAGCTACGGACGTTGAAAGAGGGCTTGAATCCCTCCGGGAAGCGAGCCAGATTCCAAAGAGATCATAGCGAAGTCAATTGCGTGGCGGCTGGCAAAATGCGTCTTAGGCCGGACGTAAGCACGACGGTGCCAAAACGGCAGTCGCAGCCGCAGGCACGGGCAATAGCGTCCTCGTCGGCCTTGAACTTCGTATTGAGGGTCAGTGGACCCGTATGTGTGATAAGTCAAGCACCCCCCATTTGGAACGGTCTGTAGTTATCATCCACACCGCTTCTTCGACCCCCTCACTTCAACTTACCACAACTCAGTCAATTATTAGTCAAATCACTTCATTTTTGGGGCAATAGTACCATCAGTTCAAGATGGCTTATTCGGAGCAAGATTTACAAGATGCGGTTCAAGAATACCAGCATGGTCGCCGGTCATTGAAGAGATCAGCTTGGAATTCGGCATCCCGAAGACGACTATTTGGAACCGTATCTACGGCTCCCAGCCTCATCGAGATGCCTCTGAATCGCAACAGTCGCTCAGCCGCGTACAGGAAGAGCAGCTTACGCGATGGGTCCTTACCCAGGTCGCTCTAGGTGTTCCACCAACCCACGCACAGATCCGGGAATTCGCCAACCGGGTACTCAAGGCCCAAGGAAGCTCCCAGTTAGTCGGAAATAGCTGGGTTAGACGATTCATCAAAAGGAACCCAGTCCTCCGTACCCAAAGAGGCCGTAAGATCGACTCAGCCCGTATCAATGGCACTACTGACGCTGTCATCCGTAGCTGGTTCCCACTCCTGAATTGCCCAGCGTTCCAAATGTGGGCCGTTCCAAATGGGGGGTGCTTGACTTGTCAGGAACTCTTCGGGCCGCCAGCGCGGCAATCTTGACATCCCGTACCTCAGAGGCTGGGGACTGGACCAGAAACTTGGTAGGGGGTTGGATAGGTTCGACTTGGTCTAAATGGAAGTTAGCATGAAATGGGGACACGGCGGGGAGACTTGACGCACCAGAGCAGACGTGATGACACGTAACAGCGAAGTGTTCAGTGCCATGTTCCAGAGTCTGGAGCTTCACCTAGAAGCCGAGAGTTCCAGAAGTGCCGGTTATAGCGTTGCCAATGCTCGCTCCTGGGTAGGGCTGCTTCGGGAAGTAGTCCTCTTCAATGGACTTGGTGCGATTATTATAACGGGCAAGGCTGCCTTCAACCACCTCAATCGCAAAGAGGGGATCAATGCCGAGGCTAGTCGAGGGGGTCAGCGACATGGAACTCGTGGGAATTGGAGCTGCGAGAGTCGGGAAGGGAAAACTTACCGCTGCTGGATTGCAAACACTTCCCCAGCCATTGCCATTGCTCGTTCCACCATGGAGTTCGGCCTGAGGACGATCAACACTGTAGGCTGGATTGAACCAGAAACATGTGAGTTATGGACTCCGAATAGAGAGAGAAATGTCCAATCGTCGCCTGCTTGAATCAGAAGGTCACGGATAGAATCCTGAAGATGGTTAGCATGCTCGGCGCCGGCAACGTTGGCGGGGAAAGGCTGCAAGGTGCGCGTTTCCCTCGAGGGGAAAAAGGGATCACCAGAAGGAGACGATGGCATGCCGGTAATTGCCAAGGCTCTCCTCGCGAGGAACCCGTGGGCATGGGAGCCACCTTCAATGGTGGGGAAGCTAATAGTAGAATTCATGATGATGTGCTGTTTCTTAGTTGGTAGTGTCGGGGTAGTGAGCAAGTTGAGCGGCGCAGGCTGGCGAAAAAGAAACGCGGCCATTATACAAAAGGAATGGGTGTGAATTTTTCCACCGTCTCAGTTATTGGCGACACTGTCTTAGACACGTTGTGGTGTTTTTGTGGCTATTCACACGTTGTGTTTTTTGCATTTTTGTGTGGGATTCTTCGCTGTGCAATAATTCCTTACCTGGCAGCCTGGCTCGTTCAGATGACCATACACAGTGTGGGTAATGTTTCGTCTAACAAGATACGATATATGGGATAAAACATCCTGAGCCTCTACCCTCTTTCACTCTTTCTCTCCCGATTCTCGAACGTATACCGGCATTGGTGGATTGATGCCAGTCCACAGCAGCGTCCTTCATCTCTCACTGTCCACCAGACTTTCCCAATCACATCTCCACCACCTCCCTGATCATCCCCCAAGTCTTCGAAATCTTTGACCGTCACTCTCAACCGTCCGCGGACGGGGCGCAGGCAGCCGTTGATGGCGTGGAATATATACTCTCAGCTCTTATCCGCGGTTATTAAAAGCTGGATGATCTCTCGCGTACATAAAACCATGAGACTACAAATATAGCGGCCTCCTGTGCTCCCAAGACCAATCACATAATTTCGAAGTTTCAAGGGTTCTTTCGGAGCAGCCCAAGGGCCTGGCCAAGTCACCAACGATCATAACTATGCTCAAGGACCCAAGAAGCCCATGGTTTTCGTCGGCTGCCGCCCGCATGTGAACCCTCTTGCTCATATTTACAGGCTAGTATTGCTTACCGAGGCTTATCTTGTCATTGATGGGGAGACTTAGCCGTGGAACTCATCGATCTTATATACTGTCCAACTTATTTGAATCTAGTGCGTTTCGTTGGTCGGATGGCTTCCACGACAAGCAAGAAGTGCGGTAATCCATTCATCGCTCGTAACAATCTCTAAATGATGCCGTTCAATCCTTATAGTACTAATCTCGGTTCGTTGGCAGTTGAGTCTTGACACCGGGGCTTAAAGCCCAAACGTCAACGGCCAAGGCTGTATTTTCCAGCCTCTCCCAAAAACTTGGCGAAAGCTCGGTGTCTAAATAGAGCCTGTTAGTCCCTTTAAGTTTTGGGCCCCCGAGGCCCGTCCATCCCACGCCCAACAGACAGCCCTCGGGGTCGGACGGCCTGGAACACGGCCCTTCCCGGGACCAATGAATCCTCTCAGCCGTGAAAGCAAGGGTGGAGTATTTCAAGCGAAAGGATCAATGGCCTGCAATTATGGGGGATTTCACTCTGCTTGGCCTAGCGCGAGGTGTTTTTAGGCTCAGGGCGAGGCACACTGTCTTACACGTCTTGCGAGGCGCCATGCCACACTCAACTCTTAAATTCGACGATGCCGTACACCCCCAGAAACCTCTTTTCCTCATAGTTTACTCTTATTATCACCTAGCATCCATCTCAGGCGAGCAACATTTCAGCAAGCTCATCGGTTCGAACGGCCAATCCCACGGCCTCAACGACGTTCGTCTCTAAACCGGCCTCATAAATTATAATTCGGTCTTCAAGATGCAGATCCGTACAGCCCTCGTCACTGTCGCCTTTGGTGTCTCAACCTCGGCACTAGTCCACCCCGCGGCCCCGCCCCTACCACCAGTCGTGACGCCTGCGCCGCTTGTGGCTCGCGGGGACCAGGCAGCGAGCTTAAGGTGTTCAAACGCGATCGAACCGTTCACCGAGGCGAATATGCCAAGGCCCACCCGGAGTCTTGCTTCTTGGCTTGTTGAACACGAGGACCGTCAGGGCATCGACGACATCGCAAGCGCTTTCGTGAGCGGCAGCAAGATCGACAACGGCGAGATCGACAGAGTCTGCCCCTTGGTGGTGGCCACGCTCACCCCGCCGGCTTCTTTGGCAAGCGCCTACAGCACGTACACCAGCCAAATGTCGAGCTGGCAAGCGAGCGTCGCGCCCATCGCCAGCAGCGCCATGGCCCAGTGCACTGGGGAGGGCCAACTCGGCCTGCTGGGGGCGTACGTGGGATTCATCATGGCGACCGATGTTCCCCAGTGCACAAATGCCTTGCACGGCCACAACGCTGCGCTATCCTCTGCCAACACGGCTAAGCCGGGATATGTGGCTGCCGTGGTCAGTGCTGCCAGCCTGGTTGCCGCTATTGTCATCTTCTAATCACTGCTTGTGAATTTGTTGCCTGGCCTGGGAAGAGAGTCAGCGCCTGGGACTTTATAAGATCAAATGGCCGTATGGCATCATTGGCGAGAACTCTTGGAGTACGGTGTACTTATGTCGAGATAGAGCCTCTTGTTTCTCTCCCTTGGTAATAGCTTTCTGGAATAGATGAAGATGGGGGTCACTAATGCTAAACTTCTTTGAAGACGAGAGGTAATCGAGCGGTGTTATCTTTGCTCCGTGGCCAGGGAAGTGGCGTGATTGGGGTGTTTGAAATGGCGCCACGTTGTCGCTGGTGGGCCTTCCAGGGCCTCATTTTGTACAGGTGATAACTCATTAGGATTGCTGTTTCCGAATGCTAAGGGCGCCGTTGTGAAAGTGAAAATATGGAAATGGAAAGGCAGAAAAGTGGAAAGAAATGTTGAAATGCGGAAGAAGCAGAGCCTGATGGATGCCGCGGGAGCGTTCTTATGCTGCCTAACAACCGAGGCCCAAGAGTAAATTCATGGCCTTCAAGGCCGTCGATCACGGGGCTCGCACCTGGTTTCCATGTGTCTGCTCATGCGTTTGGTATTAGCGGGGCAACGTATTACAAAGCCGGCCCATCCCAGCTCTCTCTCCTCAATCTCCCAAACCACGCCTGCTTATGGGGGAAGGTTATCTCCTTCTCCTTTGTAAACCCAGAATACTCAAGATGTTGGATGAACCTGCGCAGCTCGTCAGCCATCTTCGGACCCTCAGCCACGACAATAAACAACACATGGCTCACCTCGTGTTATCAACCCTCGGCTCGAGGCAAATACTCATGGTTCGGTAATCCGCACAAAACATCCAATGCACCAGACTCGACAGCCAGCTCTGCACGCGGCCCCTCGCCCACTCCTCGCCGATTAGTACATGACACCCGCGGTCCCAGTCATCGACGGCGGACGACCCAGCATATCGGCCGAGGAGGTCTTCCTTCACCCAGTATAGCTCGAAATAACCAAAGGGCACGCCGTCCCACAGGCCGATGACGGGGAAGCTGTGGCGGCTCTGCAGGGCGGCGACCAGGAAGCCGGCGGCGTACTCGCCCCAGAACCGGGACACGCGCGGGTTGGCGTGCCACGACTCGAGCAGGGCCGAGTCGGGCATGGACAGGAGTCGGGACTGCTGTTGTGGCGTTGGTATGGGCGGGTTGGGCCCAACGGGCCCCATGTACGGTACCGGCTTGGTCGAGATCGAAGCGACACGAAGAGAGAGGTACTGCCCGGCGGAGGGGACGAAGCGCGTGTAAAAGACCTCGCCCATGCGCGGCGGTTTCGGGCGGAGCGGGTGGCGCACATGGTTGGTGATGGTGTATTGCATCGGCGGGGGTGGATAGTACGTTGGGAGGTGAGACGCGCTGAAGAAGGGGCTGATAGGGAATGAGGGCATGCTTGTCAGGGAGGTAGGCGGCGCGGCGCCGGGCAAGTCGCCCGCTTCGGCGATGGCGAGCTGTGGGTGAATTGCTGTGGAAGACTCCCCTGGTAGTGGCGAGCCCGGCCGGCTCGAGATTGGTGACCCCGGGTATGAGGATCGGGGGTTTCTACTGCCGACGGGTTGAAGCGTGAAAAGGAACAAGCGCCCCGGGATCTGCCAGAACATGGTCCGCGTGACGAACATGTTTGCCCAAACTTCGTCGGTGTCTACGAGCGCGGTCCCCACGGCCGAGTTAAGACACGCAATCAACCCCATGCGCTCCAGCTTCGGTATGACGTTTCGCCCACGCAGCATGCCATCTCGCTTGATGCGTACCCGCCACTCGCCCCGCGGTTTGCCGGCATCGGGTGTCAACTGTGAGGCCTCGGTCGTGAGAATGGTGGACGGCGGCGGTTGATGGAAGTACCAGTAGAGTGTGACCCACAGCATCATGGCTATCTGGCGTGTCGGACTTGCGGCGGGCTTAAATTCGGCATTGGAGGGATTCGAGATGGACGAGATGAAGAGGCTGTCGTTTTGGAGCGTTGGTCTCTTGAAGGTGCGGAGGTGCGATGTCTTTTCTGGACTGGGAATGTCTTCGGCAACCCCCCGCGAAGGACTAACGGCGCTCGACGCAGCCTCATCGCCGTCGCCGTCTTCGGTGTGAATCACGATTGTCCACCCGATCGGGAAGGCATTGTGGTGACTGCTGAGCTCGGTCGACTTGAAGAACAGGCCCGCAAAGACGGGCGTCACGTTGAAGCGCTGCCCATCGGGCAGGTATATGGTCTGGGGGCCCATTGGTGTTGCGGTCGACGTATGAAAGCCCGGCGTACGCAGGCGCGTCGTGGTCTGGAAGAAGCTCAGCACAGCACCTTGAAGCCTCGCTTAATCGCTAGAATCGCGGGGTGTCTGCGGGAGTGACGCGGGAGGCGGGGCAACACTGTGCTCTGAGGCAGACCCCTGCGCCATTTCGAGTTGCGCAGTGGGTCAAATCATCCAAATCATCCGAGTTTATCGGACGGAGCCGGGATCTCGGACGGGAGTTAATTGTTACTTCATCGCTGTCTTGCGATAGCCATGCACGGCCGTGGCGGCATTGCGATCGCGTGATGTATTGTCGCAACCAGCAGCTAAAGTGGTAATGGAATTTGCCTGGAGTGGAAGGGCTGAAGGGCTTCTCTCAAGCTCCACGCGGCAGAAGGCCCGCTCGGTACTTTAGCTCGGGTACCTACTCGGGCCCACTTCCAAGGTTGAGCTCCTACAGAGAGTGCTAAGCAATCCCCGATGTTTCGCCAGAAACAGAAATTTGTTTGTCCAAGAAGCTATCCCTTGTTGTCAAGCGCCAGGGTAGGTATCTGGGCCTCGAAAGCCAGCGTTGGATTCTGGTGCCCTATACACGATTGATCGACGATAGCGACGAGTTCCTCAGAATTGAGTGAATTATGGGTGGGTTAGGTCAACCTGAGTGGCAAGGCAACCAGTGGCGTTCTCCAAGAGTTCAGGTTGCTTAGCCCCATCCCCACGCTTGAGCTCTCATCCATCATCTTTCACTCCACTAGTGACCACCACAAAGACTTGTCACAGTCGCACCCGATATTCATCAAAATATCGCTTCCAGAGCTTATAATATACACTGTGACTTTTCAGAATGGACCAAGAGACCCATGTCAGAGATTTTACAATTCCGGCGGAGGTGAGCCAGCCGTCGTTTGCCGCCCCTTATTAGTTGCAAAGTTGCACATGTTTATTTACTTCCATGTTCCTCCCAAGCACGCCAAAGTCCCTCACTCTCCCCCTCTGTCGACCATGAAAACTGACGACAGCTTAGTTCGCCCTCGGAGTACCATTTAGCCTTTATAACCCTTTACTCCGCCTCCTAGACAACGTCCTCCTTGCTATTTTCTCCCATGTCGATCTAGATGATGTGGATAGAGTCTGCCTCGCCTTAAGCTGCAAGCGACTCCTTCAGCTCGCCACGTCGCTGTCCTTTTGCTTCCCTTCCACGCCAAGGGGTTGGTTGAGGGCTTTTTACAACAACACCCGTATTATGGCGGGGACCCCATTGCGAGACATGTGTGGGCGTAAATTGAATTTTTTAAATCTCTGTGGCACCTGTGTGCGCTTCCGACACACCGCGATAGCGTACTGGAAGAATACGGATAGGGTTAATGCGAGCGAAAAGTATTATTGGGAGCACGTGGTGACACCATGGAGGACGAGAATGGCGATTCAGTGTCCCGAGTGTTGGGCTGCTAAGACGCGAAAGCAACTGGAACTGAACCACAGCTGAGGGTATTGCGGCGGAGCTATCGGCGTCAACCCGAGTTCAATAGCGGGGCTACTCTACTTTGTGATCATGATTGGAATTTATCGATTGGATAGGTAGTTAGCAGAATATTAATTGAATTTAAGTTCGCAAATCATCATGACGACGCCGAGGGTACGATGGGATGCCTCGTTCAGTTTGTGATCTGTTTAATTATCCCTTCCTTTGTTCACCTTCTCCGTCAAGCGAAGACTTCGACTTTGGTTCGCCCTTCTTTCTCCTCTCCTGTTCCGTGAACTCTTCGTCTTTTTCCTTTTCAGACGACCGGGAATTCTCTTCGGCCTTGTTCCGCTCCTCGCTCAGCACCTCCTTCACCTCATCTCCGAGCTCCTTTGCCTCATCCCATTCCACATCGTACTCGACGGCAGCTATCTTGATCTCGCGACGTAGCCCGTTCGCCTCCTGGACCAACTGTTCCCATTGCTGAGGATCAAACCCCCGTGCCTCATAAAGAGCATTCTGGCGCCGCGAGACCGTCACGTTCATGGCCGCCTTATAGCTGAGGTCCTTGCTGATGTACAGGAACCACAGGTAGCCTCCCATGATGGTCGACAGGCCCGCAAGATACGTCACCGGCTCAATAAGGTCCCTAGGTAGCACGTGGTGTGTTAGTATGCCAAATCCACTCCATGCCCCCGCCTCCCACACGGCTATCCGGGAACACTTACCAGCCGAACTCGGTATGGAACGTGACGTAGTACACAACCCCCCACCAGCCGCTGAGCAGAGCAAACCCGCCCTTGGCCAGCAGGTTGGCGCTGCGGTGGGCGAGCAGGTCGCAGTCGCGCTTGATGTGCGACAGCTCGTCGATGCGGCGGCTCATGCGGCGGAGCTGGGCGCGCATGTAGTAGGTGCGGTCGTTGAAGGACGGCACGCTGACGCGCATCTCGACGTTGTACCCCTCGATCTCGACGGCGAACTCGCGCCCGCGCGCGGCGTCGCGGATGAAGTCGCCCATCTCGGTGCTGTTGCTCCACCGCACCCAGTTCTTCTCGGACCCGTGCCGCTCGGGGCCCTCGTGTCCGAGTCCGGAGTAGGATTCGACGTGGCTCGGGCCGGTGGGCGCTCCGGATTTGTTGTTTCTGTTCCGGTCCCGCTCTCTCGCTTCGGATCGTGACGTCGGCTTGTTGTCCCCCTGCTCGGTATTCTCGGCGCGGAAATACACGCTGGGGATCTTCTCCTTGCCGTTTTCTACCACTGGAGGGATTTCGGCTTGGATAAGGCGCTCCACGTACGACAAGGGTTGTTGGGGGTGGACTAGTAGTGCCAGGGGCTGGATCGTGTCGTTGGGAGAGATGGATCGCCCATAGTCTGGTTTGCTATTGTTGTCATGGTCTTTTTCCACTGCGAAGGGCAACGGGAGGATGAGCTTCAGGAGTCGCGTCGGAGTGGTCAGGAGTTTGCCTGTTAGAGCTGTTCTGCGTTAGCAATAAGTTTGAAAAGCTGGGATTGTTACCACTAACCCTCCGCTCGCGGCGCAATTTCCTCTCCCCTCTTTTCCACGGGCGGGTTGTCCGCCCCTTCTCGGTGCCATGGCCGCTTGACTTGACTCTGTCGAACCCTCACTTCTTGTTCCTGTTCATCCAGTAACTTCTGGTCTAGTTTCTCAACCTTCGTCCCCCATTCGGTTCTGTCGGGGTTTGTCGTTGAGAAAGGTTGCTGCAGCCCTCCAACGAATATCCCTGGGCGCAACGCGGCAGGCGCAAATCGTGATTTCAGACGGTAGCAGCTTGTAGGAGACCGCCACCTTCGTGAGCTTTGTATCAGCTGGCGGTGCAGTCGCCCGAGTGCATGTTTCATCGCGGCTTTGCTGGCCTACGAGGTGTTTGTCTTCAGGCCGCAATCGATGGACGGAGGGGGGGATCTCAGGCTAATTCTACAAAGTAACTGGACCGTTCGACGTGAATGGAACTGCAGCGGCGGGAACCCCAATGACGTCAGTGTTGCCAAGTCTTGGGAGCATGGATGGCCCTGAACTGTGCGGTTACACGTAATTATCTAAATGTTGGGATCGTTAACTACCAATTCTATCCCGAATTATATACTAGGTAGATCTCAAGTATACCAGATTAGGTACCTAGGTAGGTAGGTAGGTAGTGTACTTGGTGTTACAAGTAAATATTATTATTCATACTCCGCTATGCCCTAGGGCGTGCCGGACCCTCAGCTATTTAGTGTACAGGAAAACCGTGCCCTCCTGGGCCGGGTGAAAAACCCATACCAACAATCAAGGAACGATGCGTTCTGGTGAGTCTGGGTACACAAAGAGAGGAGGCCTCCTGGCCTCCGAACGGGGGCGCTTCCGGCCGCCGCTTCCAGCTCGAGCCTCCTGGTTAAGTTGTACATCGGCAGCTTCCCCGAGTCCATCAGCCAGTCGAGGACTCTCCTCGCGGGCCGTGCAGTCGTGGGATTGATGCCGTGTAGAACAGAGTAAAAGTCCCGTCGTGTCCGAATTCCAGTTCTCTCCCATCTTCGAGTCAACGGTGGGGCCAAACACCACACTACCAGGTGTTCGGCAGTCTCTCGTCCCTCGCCACACTCGTAGGTAGGAGTTAGAACCTCCGGGACTTCCCGTGTAAACAAGAAGTCCCGTAAGCCTCTTACTCCCGTCCGGATTTGAACCAGCAGTGAGCTCTTCGCCTTGCTGAGACCGTCGTGCCTCCTTAGGGTTCCGTTCCGGAATAGTGTCTCCTGCTGATGGTCAAAGTCGTCCGCCGGCCTGGTGATCGCTCTGCCGTCCCGTTCCTTTAACCACCTCGCTCTCCAAGCCTCTTCTACTACCCTGTTCGTATCAACTATTCCCCCCGTCCAGCGCATGACCGTGCCCGCGGCTCTCTCCACCGCCGTAGGCCCTTGAGGTCCCAAGGTTCGCGGTCGGCCCCTGTTGCCCCTCCTCGAGCTAAGTCTCTGCTGTATCTTGCGGCAGGCGGTGAGGACAACGCTCCCCGCCGTTTTCTTGCCGCCTTGACCGTCGTGTAGATCGGGTTGTTGGAGTCGGTTTTCGAAATCTGCAAGCCGTTTGTTTAGGTACAAGTCCAATGGTGGTACCCATGTTTCTGTCTCGAGGTTACGGATGGGGGTAGACTTAAAGGCTCCCGCCACAATCCACAAGCTCTTGTTCTGGGCCTTCCCGAGAGCCTTAGTGATGCCTTTCTTTACCGGCTCGCCTCCCACATCCGTGGGGATGTTACAAGTAAATACATCGTCAGAACTTTGTAGATTACACTTGTTTGTGCCGTAGATGTTACAGGTGTCTCCCCTAACTCTGGTCCCTAGTCTAAGGTAATCGAAGGATTAGTACTCGTCGTCCTCGTCAAATTCAGCCTCCATTAGCCCATATTGATCATCTTCACCGTCTTCGGCACCCTCGTCGTCCTCCTCGTCGTCCTGGAAGTCGGGATAATCTCGGGTATCGTAGTCATCGTCCCCCATCTCCAAAATCTCGGACTCTTCATCCTCAGATAGGGGGATCGGGTTATTCTCCCGGTGTAGCTGCAATTTCTTGGCAAGGGAAAGTGGCTTGCCAACGGTAGCTCCTCCATCGGATTCCTCCGAGTCATCCTTCTCCTCTGAACTGGAGGTACCGGACGAGGAATCTCTCCTGTCCTGGATGTCTCTTGTCCTGTCGTACCCCTGCTCGTCGTCCTCGTCGTCCTCGTCGCCTTCATCTTCTGAGATGATAGTCCGAGCTCGGCGATTCCCTCGCATTATTCGGTGCTCGTTTTCATCATCGCTTGATAGCGCGATCGGATTTCGGTGGTTGCCAAGGCGCGCTCGCTTTCGACGGCCGGCATCGTCCGAGTCGGAATCTGAGTCGGAATCCACAACGCGTGCTCTAGGGCGTTTTGGTCTAGAGGTACGGACCGCTGGTTGATCCGAGTCAGATTCGTTCGAAGAATCGGACGATCCCTGGAGGGTTTCAGACGACGACGGTTCCGGGCTTGAAAACCGAGGCATATCCCCTTCGTCGTCCGCCGTTAGATCAATCGCCCCATCCTGTGTGTAACCTTCAGGGCGCGGCGAGCTTGACACAAGTGATGAACTGTCTTCTTCTTGCTCGCTTTGGTCACTGCTGTCACCGTCCACTAGAGGTACAACAAGTAGGTCGTCATCGGCGCTCTCGCTTCCGTCGTCGATTATTGAGTCATCAATTCCCTCGCTTTCATACTCGTTCGGCTCCTCTTCGTCGCTATGTTCGGAGCCCAAGCTGTCCCCTGTCGAGCTTTCGGAAGCGCCCCCGTTGTCCAGATTGTCAAGTCGCGGCCAGTGAGAGTCCCAACGGAATGTGACCAGAGGCCATATTGGTGCACCATTGAAGTTGGCAAACTTGGTGCCTGCGGGGTACCCGGCTTTCAGGAAATCATCTATTAGCAATGAAAGGGGGACTTTTGTCTCGTCAGCGGCGCCAGGGTTGCTTGTGTCGGGCCAGCTGTAAACGTGCTGGCCATCCTCGCCGACGCCTGGCTGCTCCTCAAAAGTGTCAAAGACGTAGCGCTTGGCAAAGTCAGAGAAACACCAGCGTAGGTGCCGGCGTTTATGATCAAATGGGTTGGTAACATAATAAACCGCCTGCAGGTTCTCGAACGATTTCGCCGGGCCCGGAGTCCGCTGTCCAGTGGTGAACAAACTAATCACATCCAAGGCGAGGTGGCGGATGTGCTCCCCGAAGCCCGGGAGCCGCGGTGTCTTATCGAGGTGCAACACCGTAGAAGAGTGTCTGGAGCTCAACTGAACAATGTCCCTCTCGGCATTAAAATGAAGGACGGCTTCGTGACCGAAGGATAGGGTGTTAGGAAGGACCTTCTGGATTAGTTGACGGGACTCCTGATGGACGGCCAACATGGCCCGGGCGGGTCTCGTCTGCTGATCCAGGAAAGGGCCTTCGACAGGGACCAAATATTTGGACCCATCCCTCCGGTGATGGTGGCTAAGGTTAAACCATAGCACGCGTGGGCGACCGGTGAGATCTGGACAGAAAAACTCCCAGATGCTGTGGCGGAGTTCAAAGGGGAGGCGTTTGAACTGCGGAAAGAAGTGGATCTCCGGTTCGTCGTAGTCTTGGTCGCTATCGCTGTTGCCAGAGCTTGACACGTCGTCGTCGGAGTCGGCAGCCTCCAGATCAAAAAAGTCGTTGGATTCAGATAGCCCGTCGGAACTCGAGTCCAACTCATCTCCATCATCGACATCGACACCATCATCTTCGTCATCATCGGAATTATTCTCTAGCTCGGGGTCATGATCGCTAGACTGCGCAGCCATATATCCGATATCGTCTGAGTCTCCCGAATCCGACATGATGGTGGGTGAAGGTAAGAGACGATGGTGTGAATGCCGTTTTGAACTTTGGACAGATGACGCGATTTGTGTAGACGCGTGGTTGAGCTGTGAAGCGCCAAGGCCCAAGACTGATGGAGAACCCACTAAAGCAGCTGGTGGGGTCACGGGATAAGTGGGGTTGGCTGTTGCCTGGGCCTCCCTTATGGGCGTTTATTGTATTTAACGACCTGAGGTAAGGTAAGGTACTTTGAACTGCCCGAGCCTCTAAAGCAATTGTATTCATTGAGAGTCTCGCCAAAGCTACAGGCTTCATCGAGTCATATATATGGAATCAGGTAGCTTTTCTTCTTACGAAGTAGTTGGACGAGGTCCAGCTCGTTTCCGAAATCCGAAGGGAAAGGACATGAACCAACGCTTCAAGCTTCCTTTCATAAGTGACCAGCCAGATGATCGACAAAATGGCGGTACTGATGACTGTCTAAAGACACGCCCCCAGTTTGCATCCCACATATCGTAGCCGTAAGATGAAGAGCCCATATGACATATGACGGGGTTGACGTCTAACTCCTGAGGGACACAAAGGCGACTGCCCCGGCGGAGATGGGTGAAAACTGCCGGATGCCGGGGACTGGACTTGGCTAGGTTGGGGATGGTGGGGTAAACAGTTTCCCCAGGCACGGACAAGATATCCATACGGCCTTTTGGTGTCATTTGGGGAGGGAACGGCATCATGCGGGGTAAGGTCGCTGGAACGGGCCGGTGTTGGCGGCCCGCAGCCGGAATACGCGACGCGGCGGTTGTTTCGGCGGAAAATGTATCCCCTAGTTTGCCCTCGCCGCTGGAGCAGTATTATAAGATGCCGGGTTGGATCCGGCATTAAATGCACTACCTACACACCTTCAACCCAGCAGGCTACAAACCACGTACGCCCCTTATCGACTTAAAGCCCTGCTAACTCTTTCTCCCGTCTCTGGACACCAAATTATTATTACAATTTACTTGCGAGTTTGTCCCCGCTACGCTAAGCAACCACAATGGCCTCTCATTCCGAGTTCGGCGAACGGACGCCCGGATCCGAGGTGGCAAAGGTGTTCGCGGACAAAATTCGGGGGAAAACAAGTCAGTAACACCCCATAATCGCTATTGTTGGTGTAGCTGTGTTGACCCCTTGTGCTTCAGTCCTGGTGACGGGCGTCAGTCCCAAGGGGATCGGCTCAGCGACCGTCCTGAACCTTGCGTCTCAGAACCCCGGCCTTTTGATTTTGGCCTCCCGTACAAAGGCCCGACTTCAAGAGGTGGCAACCAAGATTTCGGAAAAGTACCCTACCACCCGGGTAGAAATCGTCATTCTGGATCTGGGATCACAAAAGGCGATCCGCCAAGCAGCCGCCGACGTTGCCGCCCTGACTGACAAACTCGACATCCTCATCAACAACGCCGGCATCGTTGTCACATCCCGCCAGGCGACACCCGAAGGCATCGAGCAGCAGTTTGGAACCAACCATATCGGCCCATTCCTGTTCACTAACCTCCTCCTACCGTTATTACGCAAGGCTGCCGAGTTCAACCCCCCTGGTGCGACTCGCGTCGTGTCTCTTACCAGTGCCGGCCACAGAATCTCCCCCATCCGCTTCTCCGACTACAACTACGTGGGCAAGCCTGTTCCTCCCGAAGAAGATCACGTTAAACCGCTGGCAGGTGCTTTCGGGAAGTGCGCCCCTGACGGATACAACGGCATTGTCGCATACGCGCAGTCTAAGACGGGAAACATCCTGTTCACCGTCTCCCTACAAAAACATTTATCGCGAAGCGGCATCTCTGCCTATGTTCTTCATCCCGGAAGTACGCTCCCTCAGATTGTTATTTTCTTCGTCCGACCGCTGACATGCTTTCCTTAGCCATTGAGACGGACCTCAGCAGGGACCAAGACGACGAGCTCACCGCCCAGTTCTACAAGGTTGCGCCGTACTGGAAGACTCCAGATGAAGGCAGTTCGACGACGCTCATCGCTGCGTTGGACCCAGCTCTTAACGGTAGGTCTTCCATAACATGTGCTGCGTGGGACTGTAATATGCGGCTAACACAGGACCCCCAATGCAGAGACTAAAGGCCTCTACCTCGTCGACTGCCAATTTACCAATCCCGCACCTCATGCCAGTGATCCCGTTGCCGCTGACCGGTTATGGAGTCTGAGCGAAGAGTTGGTCGGCGAGAAGTTTTCTTTGGGGAGTTGATAAGTGTTGGAAAACGACATTCAGATGGAAAGATGGGGAGAAAGAATTGATTGATCTTCTTCCACCGCTTCTCAGAGTTATTTAGAGCAAGTGGCTTTATCCTAAATCTTTCCTTTGTCTTCTTGAGTTAACCCGAGTCTTTGTGCTGCCAAGATTCCATGAAACTGTTTCCGGGTGTCATGACCGTTTCCGGTGCCATGGCTGTTTCCGGTGCCATGGCTGTTCAACAGCTGGTATCCGCCAGAAAGTCCTATGTGGCTAATCCAACAATAAGAGCCTTCATGTTAGCTTCAATTAGTTCGGGTGTCGTGAAAGCTCGGAACCAAGTGCCGTTTTGCGAAAACAAATAAGGATATGGGTAGAGATAATGGACGCGTCCCCGGGTGTTATGAGATACCTACCAGGGGTTTGGAAGGCATGGGTGGGCGTGCAAATCTTCTTCGTACGTGGTAGCATGACCCCAAGATCCAGATGATTCCTGTATTATCGGTCACGTCACTTCAATATCGATAACCTTGTATAATAATCCATGGTCTGTGCAGTTGTGACCGGATGAATGAGGGGCAGGTCTCGCCACTCTGTGCTGGCGTCATAACACATCGTCGAATACACCGACTATTCCAGGCCCCCTCTTTGCATTTGCCAACAAAGCTGTTCTCGAACCTGAACGATCAAGATCGTCATCTACTAGATAGTTCTTTGCCACTCCATATTTCCACTTGTAATCACAAAGGATGAATTGCTATTAAACTCGAATCCTACCTAAACACGAAAGACAACAAGCCTCCCTACTTAGGAACACCGTACATGTAATTAGCGAACCATTGATTACCTACTCACCACGTCCAGTAGAATACCTGCATTCACTAACCTTGCACGCAAAGCCATCATGGAAGACACAAACGGCACTCCATCCATCCCCGAACAGCTCTACCACACCACCCTAACGGTAGTCGACTTCCACCGCGACACCTCGGGCTCGACCCGCGACACACACGTCCTCGGCACGCACACAAGCCTCCCCGCCGCCAAGGCCTTCGCGCTCTCGGCCCTGGAGACGCTGGGCTACAAGCCGGGCGACTTCAACGAGTACGCCACGCGGGCCGACTACACGGGCGAGGCGGCCGAGAGCTGGCCGCACGACGACCACGTCATGGTGTACGCGCGGGGCCCCGCGGCCGGCCACGAATTGCTGGTGGGACTCGACACCAAGCCCAACACGGAGTCGCTGCCGGCGGTCGGGGCCGAGCACGAGGACCCGAGCAAGAAACACACGCTGCGGCTGCCGGAGGGCGGCGAAGGCCGGCTGCACTACGTGCTGCAGAACCGCACGGATTATACCCAGGACAAGCGCGCGGCATACCAGACGGCCGAGATCCAGGGGTGCTATACACGGCGTGAGGATGCCCTGGCGGCGGCTAGGCGGACGCTGCAGGAGGATCGTGATGAATACGCGCAGTATGATGAGCGGCGTGAGGACCAGGAGGAGGGATGGCCGTTTGGGGAGGATGTCATTGTTCATGCTGTGGCACAGACGGGAGAGAATTACACAGTTGCAGTGAAGGCGACGATGCAGGCGCGCGAGAAGCGCGCCGGTGTCATTTGATGAGGTGTGGTGCGTTGAAAGGCTCGGGAGAAGTTGGTGTTATGGTCTCAGTTTGATGATTTGATCTCCTCTAAAATGTGTCGAGGAAAAGGGATACTCCAAACAGCCAGGCTCTGTGGACTCTGATAGGGTAACGGACAAGCAACACTCGCGATCAGAAGCGGAAAGCAAAGATGCATAATGGCTGGTGTTAGGAATCGCTTATTGGGGTCTCTACTAGTAATAGCTCATAGGTACATGTAAACAATACACAATGATGCATAACCCCATCATGGTGCCCAACAAGAGGCCCAAAGTCCATCTATGCCAAAGCCACCAGGTTGCTCCATATCCATAACGTTGGTCCACTTGCTTTACACCCACCCCGTGTGCCTTCGCTGTGACTTTCCGTCCAAGAAAGGCTTCCCGAAGAAGCCTAGAAATGGCAATAGACTATTAAAGATGTATGCCAAGGTCCCTAATACCGTTGCTTCAGGCCCTCCTGATGCACCTGTCCCAGCCCCGTATCTTTGGAGGTGTCTTGGCTATCCTGGTGCATGATGGCCGCCGGGGTGTTCCGGGTCTTCCACGCCGGTGTGCCGAGATGTTTGATAGCTGTAATCAAATGTCAGTCGGTCGATTGCCGTTTAATAATACGACGAGGAAGCGGAAAAGCGGGAACAAACTTACAACCTGGCTGCTTGTCATCAAATATCTGGGCCACCTCCTCGAGTGACTTGTTGGCGGTCTCGGGGAAGAAGAAGAAGACGTGGAGGTGCATCGTGGCGCAAAACACGGCAAAGATGACGTATGTCTTCCAAGTGATATTCTCAAAGGCCGGGGGGACAAAGTAGGCAAGGGCGAAGTTGAAGGTCCAGTTGGCCGCGGTTGCGAGGGCGACGGCCTTGCCACGGAGGCGCAGAGGGAAGAGCTCCGGAGGGTAGGTCCACGATACAGGGCCCCAAGTCGGCGCATAGCTGGCGACAAACAGGCAGGTCGACACAATAATGACCCAAGCAGGGGCCCCGCTCACCGCCATGGACTCGGACGCCGACGGAAATTCGCCAGGGTAAGGAGTGCGGCCGTAGACGCCGAACATGATGGCGTTGATAACTAGAAAGAGGCACATCAATGCAGATCCGATAAGTAGCGGCGCCCGGCGACCCCAGCGGTCGAGCCAGAGAAGGGCCGGCAACGTCATGATGACATTGATGGCAAAGCTGACGCTACTGGGGATGAGGACAGCGTTGGTACCGGATTCTGAGAGCCCAGCCATGGTAAAGACATATGTAATGTAGTACATCATCACATTCATGCCTGTGAGCTGCGACCAGATCTGAGTAAAGATACCGATCGAAATCCTGTTGAGCATGTTGGAGGCGAACAACTCAGACCAGCTGGCGTCGGCATGTTTGTGTTCCTCCTGTACGGCGGTCCGGATTTGCTGGAGTTCGTGCCGGACAAAATCGGAGTTGGCGTTGCCGTTGCCGTGGAGTAGAGCGAGGACACTCTCCGCTTCAGCCTCTCGGCCCTTGCTGAAGAGCCACCGGGGAGACTCGGGCTCGCGCAGAAGGCCGGCGAAAAGCCCAATGGCGGGTAGCATCTGCAAGGCCCAGGGGATACGGAAAGCGCCGCTCCCTTCGATGTAGGCGCACCCAAAGCAAATGAAATACATGATAAGAATGCCCCAGGTGATAGCCCACTGCTGCAGGCTGATGAGACGACCACGCATCGACGGCGGAGAGATCTCGCTGATGTAGACGGGGACCTGGGCCGAGCAAATACCGACAGCAAAGCCGTTGATGAAACGCCCAATGGCGAGCATGCTTAGGTGAACCGAAGCGCAGACAATGATGGAACCGAGGATCCTATTCCTTGATTAGTTCAAGCCCGCGCACGGTGTCGAGTTCAACTAAGGTCGAGTACTTACCAAACAAGAGCACCAATCATGATGGCCTTCTTTCGGCCATTGCGGTCGGAGAGCCAGCCGGAGACTAGAGCGCCGATCAAAGAGCCGCCAGGCATGGCGGCAACAATACCACCTTGGGTAACAGAAAAAGGACCCAAACACTGGCCCTTCTCATCAAAGCCACGTTCATTGAACTGGCACAAGTACGGCTGTGTCGAGATGATAGCTGACATGGACGAGATGTCAAAGCCAAAGAGGGCGCCGCCTATGAATGTGTTAACACCAAAACAAAGCACAGAATAATGGGTTCATTGCTGGAAAGGTGTGTGGACGACTCACCGATGACGGCTAGGAATGCTATCCGGTATATTCTGCTGAGGTTCCCCATTTTGGGTAACCCTAATGGTGCCAAGATGAAGACTGAGAGATGGTGGTTGTGAGTGAACGTTCAATTGCGGATGAAGGTTACTCAGTTGCTGCTTAGGGTTGTGAATGAAGATTGTGATTTGTGTGAGAGAAAGAGAAAGATTTCTGGAATGAGCAAAGGCAGGGCTGTATTAAATACACAAACTACCCAACCTTGGTCACGAGTCTGAGGTCTTCCATCCGATCATGCTAATGTACGCAACAGAACCTGGCTAGGTTGTTCCGGAACCCTTTGGTGACGGCTAAAAACAAACAGCAACTGGCAACTGGCAGGTGATTAACCACGGACTTAGTTAACTAAACAACTGAATTCTAGTTCTGTCACGTAATACCCTACTTTGTACCTAAATTTGCTATATTGTTTAGGGCCTTGTATGTATGGTTTATTCGATACCTACAAGTCTCAACTGTATCTGCTACATCCTGAGAGAACCCGAATGTTCGATTGCAGCGAGGTCTTTACCTAAACCCGGAAGGTACCCAGCCGCACTGCTGTTAGCTGGCTGATGCTACCCTCGTTTTTACCCATCCTTTTTAACTTGAGATGTTGCATGAGCATGGAAGAAAACAACATGATTTCATGATGCCTTACAGTCTCTGGCAGCTCAATGACACCGTGAATGGGGGGGAAAAGGTAGGTAGAGAAGGGTTATCGGTCAACAAGTTACTCTTGCTCCAAATTTCCAGTACGAACATGATGCAGCCAGTACTATTTCGTCATTTTCTTCCCTTTCTTTTGGAGAGGGGGGCGCTTACAGGACTATCATTGAGTCATCGGTAACGTTGAGAAGTCTGGTGTCATGAAAGTGATGGAACCAGGTGAACTTGCACAGTGCAAATTTGATTGGCTGTCCAGGATTGTGAACTTTCAAAGTGGATGGATGGATGGAATTTATTTCGCCCGGAGGCATTAAAGCCTATAGGGTCCAAGTACGCTAACTACATCTGGATCGAAGTCACTTAGCTCGTGCAAACTTGGATGGAATTTATTTCGCCCGGAGGCACTGGGCCTATAGGGCCTTCGTGCAAACTTCCTGGAACAGCCCCTGCGAGCCCCGCCTTTAGTCACGTGCTTTCGTACCTCGACGCGTCTTTCTCGCGCTGCCCATCGTGGGGCGGGACTGCACTGCCCGGGCAGCTGGAACAAAATGTATGGAGTAGCGACCTGTCTCAAGTCTGTGGTTGTGCCATTTTTTACGCGTCAAACGTTAATCTCGAACCCTCGAATCTCACTCCCTCAGCAACTCCTGGGTACGACAACAAGTTGCATGATGCCGCCCATCAAGCCCGCTCGCTCGTCGCCCGCAGGGTCAAAGCGGCCTGCCGCTGAGAATGACCGAGCTATTTCCCCGCCTCCATTGAAACGGAAAACCCAATCTGCCATTTCTAGTGCGATTTCGCCATTATCTTGTGCTCTTCCCATCAGCTGAGCTGACTTGTTTGGCTAGAGACCGCTGTCGCAAACTTCTTCACCCCCGCATCACAAAAGCCCAAGGATCGTACCACCTGGGCCGAGCGGTCCCCCGATGAGGACGTACCTGCGACACTGCTTGTTGCAAAATACATACCCGAAAATGCCGATTCGCCAGCGCTCGAGGCTCCGGCCAAACGGCAGAAGATCGCCGCATTCGATCTGGTACGAAGCATCCCAGGGCACCATTTACGTCGTCCTCGAAGCTCACCCGACCGTAGGATTCCACCTTGATCACATCCGCTTCGGGCAAGCGATATCCTGATGACCCGGCCGACTGGAAAATGGTGGCACCATTCTGTACCCGGGCGTCTCCGACAACTATACATTGACGAGGGGTGCGTTGGGTCCGGTTGATGCCCTTTTATCCCCCCTTGCTAATTGATCGTAGGTACCGAGTTGTCATCTTCACAAACCAAGGTGGCTTGACGCTGCATCCAGATCCCAAATCGAAAGGACCGAAGAGCGCAAAGAACAGAGTCCCCGGCTTCAAACAAAAGTGTAGTGCCGTTTTGAGCCAGCTCGACATCCCCCTCACTCTGTACGCGGCGACTGGGAAGGATATTTACCGGAAACCACGGCCCGGGATGTGGACCGAGATGAAGGAAGACTACGACTTGTCCGAATCCGAGATCGACCACGAGAATAGCGTGTTTGTTGGCGACGCTGGCGGCCGGATTGCCGAGCCGAAGGGACCGGGCGCTGCTGGGAAAGATTTCAGCTGTTCTGACCGCAACCTCGCCCATAACATCAACATTAAATACCAAACACCGGAAGAATTTTTCCTCGGGGAGAAGCCACGGGATTTTGCGCGGGATTTCGATGTTGCCAACTTTCCCTATACCGACGAGGAGAAAGACAATGAGGCTTGGGCCACCAAGTCCAACGACCAGGATATTGTGCTTTTTGTTGGGTTCCCTGGCGCTGGCAAGAGCACGTTTTACTGGAAATACTTGGAGCCGTTAAACTACGAGAGAGTCAACCAAGATACTCTCAAGAGGTATGCCCCTGTCCGTTCCGGCCACTCCTCGTACACCGCTAACATTGACTAGCAAAGACAAATGTTTCAAGACAGCGGCTGATTTACTTGGGAAGGGAGAGTCTATCGTCGTCGGTAAGCTCGTGCTGGCTTGTTGTGGTGTAATTTCGGCCCGCTAATCATGCGCCAGATAACACAAATGCCGATGTCGACACGCGCTCGCAGTGGATAGCCCTCGCGCGCAAGCACAAAGTCCCTATTCGGTGCTTTTGGTTCCAGACGCCGTTGCAGTTGTGTGAGCATAATGCGGCGGCGCGAGCCCTGAACGAAAAGGTACACGGCGACATCTCTGCACATGGCGCGAGGAGGATGCACTGCTAACTGTCATCGGTAGCTCAACCCCGAAGCCCGTCAGGCCCTTCCAAAAATCGCATTCAGCGGTTTTGCGTCGCGATTTAAGGAACCGAAAATCGACGAGGGTTTCCAAGAGGTCATCCCAGTGCACTTCAAGTTCCGGGGGACAAAAGACGAGTACGATATCTGGGGCCGATACTGGGTTTAAGCCAAGAGGAGCTAAAATGCTCGTTCCGATACCGTTTTGGTGGCTTCTTCTTATCTGAGCTCTTCCCACTTGGGCAGGTCTTGATATGAACTGTTACGGCCCGATTCGGTTTCAGCCAGGGCGGATCGAGCTCCCGAGGCCTTAGCCCTCCGAGCTCGCACTTCTGGTTACTCCGGAGGCAAAAAGGGCGTGTCAGCCCAACCCACGGGCAACTGCATGGAGTTCAGTTCCAGCTCAGGTCAGTTTTAGGTTCCCAGAGATGGTTCCCAGAGATTTGCGGCTGGGAAAGCAACCTGCTGTTGAAGCTGCGGTGGCAACCCGGGGGGGTTCATCCGATCCCCTGGGCCCAATGGTACCCTGCTTTCTGCAGCCGTGTGTGGGGTTGGTGGTGGCCGTCAAAACCGTTATCGGCCGGGGTCCCGCACTTTCTGTTGGAAGCCTTGCGGGTCTGTGATCCTGCAGGATGTCACCTTCAGATACCGAGGCCACTTCTGCCTTCAGCCCTCGTGGCTCTACTCTTCTCTTTCAACGAACGTAGATTTCACCACAAAGACGAGGGTTGTATAACGGATCAACGTACGGGTTGGATAGTTGCGTTCCCCGACCTGTTGGAAGATGGTATATAGGTTACTCCGGCTTACGTTCTACGTGGGATATCACCAAACAGCATCACAGCACCGAAGCTCTCTGCAAACCTTGCGTTGGGGAACTTGCCAATCTCTCTGTCCCAAGAGCTCAGAGCTTGCCCATGATGTGTACATTCCATCCATCACCTGCTCCAAACTCCAGCTTGTCGTTTCCAGGTCCAACCGAGGCCAACCACAGCCAAGCAAAGAGCCAAGCGGTGGCGCACCCCTGCACCACATGCTCACCCGCCTTCCACCTTCCGACTTTGGGGGATTTCCGAAGCCATTGTCCTGGTTAACGTTACTGTCTCTCGCTTGCAAATCCGGGGTTAGCGAGAACCCCAGGTTTTGTTGGGCTCGATCGCTGGTGGCTTCAGGCCAAACGCGCTCTGGAATTTCACACGACAGCCTGAGATGCGAATTTTACCTTCTCGTGCCGTTCTTCTTGGTCCCGAATGCGGATTCCTCGGCATTTGCGGGGTGCATGGCCCCGCTCATTCGAAGATTCAAATTGGCAGGTGGGATGTCTCATGGAGAACCTTCCACAAGAATTTTCTCTTCCATTTCCCAACTTGTAAAGCACCCCTCGATGATCAGAGAGTGAGACAAGACAAGACAAGGCGACAAAACGTGGTTGCGTCCCATGGTTTCCTCGGATGGTAGTGTGTCACATAAATGGATAGCTTATAACTACCGGCTGGGCCTCATCACTGATAACCATGCTGGCGGTATCTGACAATCCTCCCCTGGCCACCTTCGCACTATCTCCTCGCATTCTCGCCTTGCCTCGCTTCGCAGGTTGCATCAATTCCCAGACTCTCAGATAAACATGGTGGGCGAAAGAAGAAGGTGTCATCGGTTGGCGCTTGGTTGGGAGGCAAGGGAGGGTGGCTTCAACGACCCGGTGCCACTCGACCGGTGATCTTCTTAGCCTCGACAGAAGAGTGGAGGGCGCCCTCGGTGGCCAACTTGGGAACGCCAGGGAGCTGAGTGTTTCTTTCGCCTCCCCCGCTGCTTACCCCCGCCTGATTGGCCAATGGCTCCCGAATTACCTGCCTCCCCGTCGGGAAGGAGGCCGATGCAAGCCCTGGCTGGTTCGGCGTCCCCCGACGACAAGTCCCCGCCGCGGCTTTGCCCTTGGTCCCGGTCAGCGGGGCTGCACGCGACATGAATCTGCACAGGAGATCCGCCGAAGGACCCAGTAACACCGAATCGGATTCTTCCTTATCGTGCCCTCATCACTCCTCCCGATATGAGAACCGGCACGCGCCCTATCTTTTATTTTTTTATTTTATGTCCCTTGCGCCCCTCCTCCAACGGACCCCACAGCTCTTCTGCCTTCCCTGTGTGCTTGAGGTTGCTCAAGAATGTCTCCTCACCTATCACCCTATCTCACGCGTGTTCCCTCCCTCCCTCGCCCTCTCTAGATTTGGCTGCTTCTCCGGAAACTCTTAAACCTCGTGCGCCCGCGCATCGTGCCGATCTCCGGCAGCCGATTCCGACCCGCTATTCTGGAGCCGGATCTCCGCCGCATCACCAGCAGTGCCAAAACGCTCTGCTTTCCATCTCGAGCTTCTTCTCCGACGACCACCCCCGTAGGTGTCAAGCTCCCGCGGTGCAGCTTGCACCATGGCTTCTTCCGATGGCCAGCACGCCCCTGCGCCGGGCCACGACACAATTGAGTCCAGTGGCCGGGCTCCACCGCAATACGTGTTGGAAAAGCAACCCAGCTCTGGCAGTAGCAGACCTGCCGCCGTGACAGACGACAAGAATACCTCGTTGCCGGCCGAGCATTATGGCGTTGACTCGGAGAAGCAGAGCGAGAACGTTGGTTCGCTGCGTGCCAACTCGGAACCTGAGGAGGACAAGCGGCCCATCGTTGCCTTATGGAACCGCCATTGGAAGAAGTTGGCCCAGTTACTCACCTTCATGGTCTTCACCGCGTCCGTGAACCCCTCTTCCTAGTGTCTCCCCGGCGCTATTTGCCTATTGCCTATTGTGGTTGAACACCGAGCTGATGGCCACGGCCGCCGTTGCAGATGGTGGATTTACGGTCTCGTCTTCTTCCGCCACACCGAGGGGAGGGGATGGTTAATTCCAACCCTGGTTTATATTGCCATCATGCTGCGTCTCATCACCCTCTATATCCCTGCAAGGCTAGCTCTCCGCCCGGTCCGCTTCATCTGGCTCCAGACAGTCGTGAGGATCTATGACATCGTCCCGGCGAAGCTGCACAAGCCGATTGCCGGCCTCGGCACCTTCGGCGTCTTCCTCGTCGGGAGCTTCGTCCCCGAAGAGACCGGCGACAACACGCGTTCGAACCGTGCCATCTCGATTTTTGGGTTTATCGTACTTCTGTCCGTGCTCACGGCCACATCGCGAAACTGGCGGCTTATTCCGTGGCACACCGTTATTGGCGGCATGTTGACGCAATTCATCGTCGCCGTCTTTGTGCTGCGTACCCAGGCCGGCTACGACATCTTCAAGTTCATCTCCGATATGGCCCGCGAGCTTCTGGGTTTTGCAGCCAAGGGCTTAGAATTCTTGACCGACGACAAGCTGCCCTACAACCACTGGTTCTTAACGGGCGTCATCCCGGCCATCATCTTCTTCATCGCCCTCGTCCAGATGCTTTACTATGTCGGCTTCATCCAGTGGTTCATCTCCAAGTTCGCCGTCTTCTTCTTCTGGAGTCTTCGCGTGTCCGGCGCCGAGGCCGTCGTCGCTGCCGCCACCCCTTTTATCGGCCAGGGCGAGTCCGCCATGCTCATCCGCCCCTTCATGGACCACTTGACCATGGCTGAAATCCACCAGATCATGACGTGCGGTTTCGCCACCATCGCGGGTTCCGTCTTGGTGGCTTACATCGGCATGGGCTTAAACGCCCAGGCTCTGGTCTCCAGTTGTATCATGTCGATTCCCGCCACCTTGGCCGTTTCCAAGATGCGTTATCCCGAAACCGAGACGCCTATCACCGCCGGCAAGGTCGAGGTCCCCGATAGCGAGGAGAACGAACACACCGTCAACGCACTCCACGCCTTCACCAACGGCTCGTGGTTTGGTCTCAAGATTGGTGCCACCATTGTGGCCTGCTTGTTGACGATTATCGCTTTCGTTGGTCTAATCAACGGATTGCTGGGTTGGTGGGGCGGATACTGGGGCCTTGTTGCGCCGGGCCCGGTCCTGTCCCTGGAGCTCATCCTCGGATACATCCTCTATCCGGTTGCGTGGTTGCTAGGCGTGCCCAAGAACGACCTTCGCCAGGTTGGCGAGCTCATTGGCAAGAAAATCATCATCAACGAATATGCCGCCTTTGATGCCCTAGTCAAGCAGAAGCGCTACAAGGAGATGGCTGCCCGGTCCAAGTTGATCGCCACCTATGCTTGCTGCGTGAGTTGTCCCCTATCCTCTTACAAACGGACACCTGACGGCCTGTATCTAACACTGGTGTAACAGGGTTTTGGCAACATCGGCTCGCTGGGTATCCAGATCGGTGTTCTCTCGCAGATTTCCCCCAAACGTTCGGGTGACGTCGTAAAAGTTTCTATTTCGGCCTTTGTGTGCGGTGTCTTATCTACTCTGACATCTGCCAGCATTGCTGGCATGTTATTTACGGATGCGATGTCATAAAGAGCGACGAACGATATTGGAAGTACATTTTGGATACTTATTTGGATAAACTTTTTACGGCGTCTGGATTCTGTTGAAATGGGCGGGCAGCACTACGGTGCGCCTGGGCTCGGGAGCTGGCGGTGGACTGAAGCGTTTCAAATGAGCGTATAAGCACCAGATGGGGGCAGCAGTGCATGCCTGCGATCTCTCTACAGACAGACGACAGGGGGGGTGGGTTCACGTCGAGGTGCATACAAATGATACCCGAGTTTCAATACCAAAGTCGACGCCACGATGCCATCGCCCGCTCCAGCTCATCAACTCTGGTACAACCTCTGCCCCGGCGTCGAGCCCCTCCGCTTCCGCTCCGCCGTAATATCTATCCCACTGCCCACCGCTCATGCACTCACGACTTCAACTCCTTGAATCGCAGTCCCGGGACCGTCCGCGGTTAGGAAGCCAAAGTCCACCCCGTGCTCCGCTTGGTTCACCTCCCGCATATACAACCCGTGGTATCCTCTAGTCTTCTCGCGTGCCATCCACGGCTCCTCTTTATTCCCAACCATCTCCCGCCGTCTCTGCTCGATCCTCTCCCGAATCTCCCCCTCCGCAACCTCCAAGTTCAACACCCTTGTCTCCACATCGCATATTACCACATCCCCGTCCCTAACCACGCCCAAGACCGACCCTGGATCCGCCCCCTCGGGCGAAACATGCAGCACAATCGTCCCACCCGCCGTGCCACTCATGCGCCCGTCCGAAATCCGCAGCATATCCAGCACCCCCTGCGCGGCCAGCTTCCTGGGAATGGGAATCAGCCCCGCCTCGGGCATGCCCGGGTTCCCGACCGGCCCAATCCCCCTCAAAATCAGCACGCTGTCCGCATCGACCTCCAACCCCGGATCATCGATCCGCGCCGCCAGGTCCGCAGACCCCTCAAACACCACCGCCTTGCCCCGGTGCCGCAGCAGCCGCCTGTCCTTGGACGCGCTCGCCTTGAGGACGGCCGCGCCGCCGGGGGAGAGATTGCCGTGCTGCAAGACGACGAGCGCGGACGACGGGTAGAGCGGGTCGTCGAGCGGGCGGATGCAGTTGGCGGGGCTGTCCGGAGCCAGCGGGCAGAAGGGAGTGTGGGTGAGCTCGTCGCCGAGGGTGCGGCCCGTTACGGTGAGGGCGTCGAGGTGGAGGAGGGGCTTGAGCTGGTGCAACAGGGCGAGCATGCCGCCGGCATTGTGAAAGTCGGTCATGTAGTTCTCGCCGCTGGGTTTGAGGTCCAGGAGGAGCGGGGTCTGTCGGCCGATGGCATCGACGGTGGCGGGGGTTATGGTTCCTGCGAGGGCTGGGTGCCGGTTGATGATGGCCATCAAGTGGACCATGGCATTGGTGGAGCCGCCGATGGCTTGGAGGACGGTGATAGCGTTAAGGAAGGATTCCCGTGAGAGGATGGCTTGCGGTTGGAGGCGAGACTTGGCCAGTTGAACAGCGTAGGCGCCGGTGGACTCGGCCATGCGCAGGCGGGCGGATGACACGGCGGGCGCTGTGGCTCCCTGTATGGGCATCATCCCCAGCGCAACCAGCAGGCAGGCCATGGTGCTTGCGGTACCCATGACGCCGCAGGTGCCGGCCTATACCTCGTTAGGAACCGGGGTTGGGAAAAACCATGGGCTCAACAAGAGTTACCGTGACTTACAGTCGGTGCTAGCTCCTCGTTCAGAGCAGAGATGTCCTCGATGTCGATGGCGCCGGCCCGGAACTTAGCCCAGTTGCTCCGGCAGTCAGTGCAAGCCCCAACCCTCACCCCTTGGTGACTGCCTGGCATCATAGGGCCTGTGACAAGGTGGATGATCGGCTTGTTGGCGGATATCCCGCCCATCAGCTGGGCTGGCGTAGTCTTGTCGCAACCTAAGGATGTTAGCCATGATCCAGGTCCATGAAAGCTGTGAAATAACAACAGGAGCTCTGGGTAACATACCTCCTATCAAAACAACGGAGTCAACAGGCTGCGCCCGGATCATTTCTTCAGTGTCCATGCTCATCAGGTTCCGTAGATACATGCTTGTGGGTGCAGCAAAGGACTCGTGTAGACTGATGGTTGGGAAGTCGATCGCCAGTCCCCCGTTTAATTGAACGCCCCTCTTTACGGCATCGATGAGCTGGGGGATGTTGGCATGGCAGGGGTTAAAGCTTGAATATGTGTTGACCATGCCCACGATAGGTCGGGAGAGGGCATCCTCACTGTATCCCATTGCCTTGATGAAAAGCTTGCGCATAAAGAGCGAAAAGTGTACATCTCCGTACGAAGTCAACTTCTGCCGTAAACCGACCCCGTTTGGGTCGATGCTGGTTGTCAAGTCATAATCTGGGTTAACCGCTTGCTGAGGGTGGCTATTCTCGTCTTGAGCCGAATCCATGGTAAACAACTGGAACCCCTGAGAGTGTAAGAATCGCGGCCCTACTCGAGATGCCAGCGCAGGATTTTGTGCCCTTTTTCCAAGTGACTCAGAGAAGAGAAATGGTATGGGATGTGTCGGGTTTGTTTAACCGCATCGCCGAAGATCCATCCTATTGCGGAGAACCAGTCACTGGGCTCGTAGGGTGTGATTTTCGCTTTCATTGCGTCACGCCATCCAGAGCGGCTGTGGGCACTGACAAAGTTTAACAACCCAAGAAGGCAAAGTTATTTGGAACTTGAATAAATAAACAATAAGAGTTGATTGCATGATGTATCCCGCACTGGGCCCTGTGAACCGTCGCCGCAGACAAATTCAGCTACTCCCCCGAAACTCCGACCTTCGCCATCAGCTCTTGCCGGGGCATCTCCAAAATGGCGGCCAGAGTCCTCTCATCCGGGATGCCGTTGTCACCGTAGGGTCTCTGTAGAAGTTCCTTGATATCCTCGTATTTCTTTCCCAGCGCTTCAGATTCGGCCTCTGAAAGACTTTCCTCCAGCAAGTTCAAGTCGCCGCTCGTCTCCTCCCTGATGTGAGGTTCCAGGTCGACCCATATGGCGCTGAGTGACGAGTCGAAACTGGGCTCGGCAGGTTTAAACCTGTGCATGTGTCGTAACTTTGCGTTCATCTACGCAGCAGGCAATCAACATCCGGCGTCGACTGCATAGTCCATGATGGGAGGGCCACAGAACTTACACTGTCGAAATCATCCGATAGTCTTCGGTGTCTCTCGCCTCCACGTGCAATGTGGTTATCAAGAGCCGGGGACACAACAAGGTCCTCCACTATCAGGTATCGGTCCAAAGCCCAAACGAACTCTTCTGGCCTACGGGTGTCTGGGTCGGCTTCCCGAAGGCGTCGAAAGGCGCGTTTGATGAGGGCATGGTCTTGTTTGACCGCTTTTGAGATTCGAGGCATTTTGAAATGCGTGGCTGTGTTTGGTTCCCGACTATAGGTGTGTGTAGTTGCCTGGCTACGACAGTTTCGATGGCGGTGGTGTTGTACTAGAAAGGGGGGCACCAAGGGCGCACCATGACGTCAACGAGCTGAGAGCTTGTGGTCTGGATTGTCTATGGCAAGTCTGTATCCCCTGCATGTTTCCCTGTTTCTCTCATTTATCCTTACTTGACACCAACCGATAGTCGCCACTTACCTCCAATAATTACGACCAAAGCATCCATCCGGCCAGCACCAACCACATGCTATTATTATTATTATTCATACTCCGCCATGCTATTACTAAACTCATTTTCGAGAGGAGAGGTGTGGAGATATAAGTTCAAGCAGCGCTTTAATATGCTAGGACCTTTGCAAGCGTCGTTAATACATTTAGATGAGCTCGACCTCTTCCAAACCAAAGCCCTCTGTTGCAAGCGCCTCGCCATGCATGATACCGTGAACATAGCTCTCCCCTATGAGACGAAACCTTTTTGTGTGATCCCTCTTTTCACCGCAGTCCGGTTGGTTCTCCAACTTGATACCCCCCTCCTGGTCAGGTCGAAATACAAATGGGCCCGCAGCCCCAGGCATGATACAAACCACATCCCCCACGGCAGCCGACGCCGGGCCAAGGCCAAGGTACCCCTTTTCGGTGTAAAACAGTTTCCTCTTCCCGTACCTCCGCTGAAACGAGTTCTTAAACGCGGGGTCCTTGGGCTGAACAAGCGACCTCTCGGCTCCATTCTTCACTCTCATCACGTAACTCGGATTCTCCTGAAAGCTCTCCAGCTCCCCCCAGCTTGGCGTGTCCGCATGCCCACCCTCTTCAGTCACAAACAAGGCTTGCAGCTTGATCAGCGTATGCACGAGCCAGCCAAATTGCGGTCTGCCCAGAAATCTCGGCCGCGAATTCGTCTTCTCCCGTATCTGTTCGGCACTTAGTCCAGCCCAGCCGACATCTGCCCAAACCTCCTTCGCTCTCTGCAGCGCCTGGGCAAAGGACAGGGCACAATCCCTCGGTGGATCCGGTTCCTGCGACACCTCCTCCTCCAGCTCGGCGCGCACCACTACCATGGCGCTCACTAACTCCTTGAACAGCATCCCAAACCGTGCCGGAGCCGGGCTGGCGGTGCCGGCGTCCTGGTCCGCGCAGAGGGTGCGCCAGAGGACCTCAGTCCGCTTCTGGCCCGTGGCCGGGTACGGGGCCTTGAGGAGCAAGGCGAGCTCGAACCAAGACGGCTCAAGCAGCATGGCGCTGTTGACGTAGTCTGTCCGCTCGTTGGCCGTTTCGACGATGGTGTCGAAGATGTGGGCCCGCAGGCGCAGGCGGGACCATGAGTCTGGCCCTAGTGATGGGGATGGTACCAGCTGCGGCGTTGGGTATTGGGGCCCCGCCACGGCGAACGAGCCGTAGTTGCACATCATGTTGAAGTAGGGAAGGCTGTAGTCAGGAACCCAGGAGGGGTACATGGCGATCTTGCGTTTGGAAGCATCCTGCACACATGAGAGGATCTTGAAGGATTGGGACTGCTCGATGATGGTTTTTGTGGTGATGGCGAAGACCTTTTCGGGCGATCTGGAGTAGTCGATAACCCAACCGGCGCGCACTTCGGGATCCGCTAGGCCCAGGATACCGTAGACTTTGTCGCGGGGGTCACCCGAGTGGAAAACCCAGGTGTCGTAGATGAGTTTCTCGAGTGTAAAGCGTCCAGGAGCGGTGCTCGTGCTACTGTGAAAGCGGTCTCGCCAGTCCGCAAGCTGCAAGACGTTGTGTTCAAGAGGCACCGCAATCTCGTGAGCCTGAATAAACATGGTACTCGGGTTCCAGCCCAATATCTGACAACGTGCTTCGATGTTGCGTGCTGCCGTGACAAGGTCTGTCCAGGATATCTTGTGTTTTCCGCAGAGAATGACGAGATCCCTAGAAAGGATAGCTTCCTGGATAATCCACAAACGCGTGAACCACTGCCGTTTAAGAAGGGCAGCCAAACTGCACCAGTCCATCCAGTCGGTGTAGGCCAGGTTGCTCTTGGCGTATACCTCGGGGTCTTGCCGCCGGAAAGGCGTCGCTCCACTTTGAACAAACGCCTCTCTGGGATAGGCGGCGACTTTTTCGATCGTTTTTGCCGCGGCGGGGGTATACTCGTCGGCACGACCCAGCCAAATGATTGTGTGGGCGGCTTTTGTGTAGATCTTGTCCATGATCCTAACCTGCTCTCCCCGCTCATCCATATCCCCCTGGTTGATGCAAACGGCGTCAATCCAAATGTCACTCTCGCGCTTCATCAAAGAGAATGACTCAGGGCTCTGCTCATATTCTTGATGTCCTCCCAAAGCGTCAAGAAACTCATGGAGGACGTCGAGTAGGTTTCTCTGGATTTTGAGTCTCTTCCCATCACATAAGATTGGGCTTCTCTCAAGAGGGCTGTATTCGTTGTCTACAGCATTGAAATGTGCAGTGAAGTCAACACCATTCGCATGAGGGTTGCCCCAGGTGTAGGATAGCGCATAGAAGAAGGGATCATCTTCCAAATCGACCGTCTTCAGGGATACATGCACCGACCCATCTTGCCCCTTCCCTACCACGCTCAGGAGCCGAATAGACGAGAGCGTTGGTAATGGTTCATACCGATATGGCTCCCGGGGCTCTGTCTCGAAGGCTGTTTCTGCCGTGTCGCTCATCTTGTTGTACTTTAAAATTTGGATGTTTCTGGCGAAGTTGGTATCATCGTTCAGAAGTGTGGAGAAACCCTTGTCAGCGATTCTAGTTCGGGGTAATAACCCTCCGAAGGCCTCTTTACCTTCGTGTCCGAAGCCCTGCGGTTGGGTATTGGCTCCATGTATTACCAAGCTACGGTGCGGGCGAAGTAAATAACTCGCAGTGGTGTTTCAAGAAGACGTTCTAGATCTCGCAAAACGGCTCAGTCTAAAAGCTTTTTACAATAATATACCCTTCCTAGCCTCTTGCACATGCTAGGTTCTCTTACTCCCATTGCTGTTCCCCTTCTCAAATGAGCTGAAGATTACCAAAATGGCCAGAGAGTACCTCTCCATGAACCGCCGACTGAGGCGCAAATAGAGGCAAGTCGCCGTATGATGACAACGCTCAGTGTACACGACCGCTGAGAAGCACGCCAACGCCGTAATTGCTGTGGTAAAACAACAAAGACGGGGTAAATGCCTCTGAGTAGGTACCTAGTCAACCTTCGTCTCGTGATTACGTGACCCATCGGCGCAGACTCTGTTTATAACTGCGTCTTGCGGGGTATCTTTCAGCGGTGTAAAGGACCTCGGCAAAATCTGTCAACATTAACGGATTGAAGGGAGGCTGAAGCTATTTGCGGAACAAGTCTGCCGAGCCCCTCTCTTCCTCCCATGGTGAAACTTCTTATTGGCGCGCGTCGTCCTGGGCTCGGTGCACGACTTCGTCCTGTTCCCGGATTCCGGGATTCCGCTTCGGTCATAAATGAGACACGACGGAACGACGCGATCCAACACTCACACGGCCTAGACTCGTGCAAGAAACGGCGAGGTTCCTTGACTGGGTGGAAAAACAAGGTGCGAAAAGGCGAACCGGCCGATGGAAGCAGGAGAAGATGAATTTATCCCATCACAGAACGCGAGCACCGGGTAGGTAACATACCGGCTCATGCCTTAGCCCTTGGCATGGCTACGTTAACTCCATTCTAATTTCTTCAAGGGCATGCGCTAAGGAAGAACCGAGTAAATACATATATAATTATACATAAGCTGGCAGAGTTCTGAATCACTGGCGATTGTTCCCTGCACACGGATGCCATTCGCAGCCTTCCCGCATACCACCCCCGTGCCGGCGTTATGGTTGGGCTTTCCGATATCCTAGGAGCTGTGGCTCTACTCCCGGCTCTAGTTTCTGCTTATGCTCTACCAGAGGCCTGCAGTGGAATCTGCAACAACTCCCATGATCCATCCATCATTCGTCGTGCAGATGGCACATACTTTCGCTTTTCGACCGGCGGCAGAATTGCCATCCACACGGCACCGAGCCTATCCGGCCCTTGGACCTACAAGGGGGCAGCGCTGCCGGGCGGATCCTCCATTAACTTGCCTGGGAACCAGGACCTTTGGGTAAGTCATGCATGCCACGCCACCATTCTCTCCGCAGGTCCTCGTTCTTCAGGTGACATGCACTAAATGGCGGTAGGCCCCCGACGTCGCGCAGGTGGGCAACCAGTACTACTTGTACTACTCTGTAAGCACCTTCGGGGTCCAGAACTCGGCCATCGGCATCGCCCGGTCCTCGAGCCTGGATGCGGGCACCTGGACGGATCTCGGCTCCACCGGGGTGGTGTCGAGCGCCGGTCTGCCGTACAACGCTATCGATGGCAATCTCGTCAACGAGCCGGGGACAAGCAACTACTTTCTCACGTTTGGTAGCTTCTGGAACGGCATCCATCGCGTGCGCATGACGCCGACCAAGAGCAACGGCGCCGCGTATCAGGTCGCGTTTGACCCCAACGATACGGCCATGGAAGGCCCGACTGTGTTCAAGAACGGCGACTTCTACTACCTGTTCTTCTCCAAGGGCACCTGCTGTGGTTATGACAAAAACAGGCCGGCGGCGGGGAAGGAGTACAGGATCTTGGCATGTCGATCCAGCTCGCCTGTTGGCCCCTTTGTTGACAGGGACGGCAGGTCGTGCCGTTCCGGAGGTGGCACCGTAGTCCTCCAGTCGCACAACTGGGTGTATGGTCCCGGTGGGCAAGGTGCGTACCAAGACCCGACGAACGGACCTGTAAGTCATGCCTGCCCCGCCCGCCTGTGTTAATTTCCACGGTAAGACCATCTCGAGCTGACAGACTTCTTTAGGTTTTGTACTATCACTATGTGGATACTCGCATCGGTTTCGGAGACGGTCAGAAGAAGTTTGGCTGGAATCGAATCAACTTCTCAAGTGGGTGGCCCGTTGTCTAAGCGCCTCAGTCGAGGAGGGCAACGGCGCGGAGGGGAGGAGAGAACGGTGGGGGATACCAGTCAAGACAAACGTCACTATTAAGCTCCGTGCTCTACTGGATAGATCCACTCAGATATACACTGAGATTATTAACTGCAAAATTCCGATCACCCTGCCAATCCCCATGAGTGCTTTTGGTTCCTTTTTCTTTCCCGTATAAAACAAAGCGCCTAGGAACTGAGGTTCAGACACCGGAATATGCGGACAGCAAATACAGCACATTGGGCTCCTCGCTATCGTCATGATGATTAAGACCGGAAATGTAAGGGATAGGGGAGAATATCACAATCGCTTCCATCTAGCAAATGGGAAAAAGGAAGGACGGCAACATTGAACTGATGGGGTATCTTGATTAAGAGGCAAGAAAAGCGTAGCAAAGGAGAGGGAGACCCTTGCGGTTGTGTCGTCCTCATTATATCATGGCGGGCATGTGTTCGTGTCTAAAGGCCGTGCGGGTAGTTGTGGTGCTGGTTAGGGGTCTCCGTACGCCGTTATTTGCGCAGCCCAACCTTACCCGCCAGGTTTTTGAGCCAACCGGAAGCGCTATTGCGCTTATCGTCTGGGGCTCCCTCGCGGGCCATGGCGGCATCGCGCAACATCGGTCCGATGATCTCAACGTCGCCAAGCTCTGGGAACTTGCCATCGTCGCTGAGCATACGGGGGATCGACGGCGAGAGTTTCTCTTCAGCCGTGCGCTGCAGTTGGGAGACCACAGAGGGATCATTCTTCCACTGCTCCCCCAGGCGCTGAACAAGATGGTCCTCGTCCCGTTGCCACTCTTGCTCTATCTCAGCCCATTTGGCTTCTGTCAAGGCGTACGTTTTAGAGGTGGACCCGTAGTGTTCGCCAGTCCGCACAAGGTGCTTGGCGTAGTTGGTTCTCGCCAGGTTCCAGTCAGAACGGAAGGATTGAAGAGACACGAGATCGGTCGTCTCGGGCAAATACGGCCTGGGTTCAATCGTAAAGTTTGCGTGGCCGAGGCAGTCGGACCAAGAGTCCTGGTGGTCGAAAAAGCAGGGAATTGGCGAGGGGGCGTCGCCAAAGGCACTCGAGATTGTTCCGCGGCGTAGAGAAGAAACGGACGGCTTGGTACTGAGCGGCGGTGTTGCATACGGCTTGGCTGTCGGCCAATCGGGGACCCGCGAAGTGATCATGGAAGGAGACTGCAATGGCGAAGTCTGTAGGGAAGGGGATATGGTATGACTCGGCGTTGTGTCGATGAGAAGAGGGGGTAAGAGGGGGGTGGTCGCATTGGCGCGATCGCGCTCTACCCGTCGTCCCAAAGTGGCCGGTAGGTTGTCGAGGGGCGAGGGCAGAACAACGCTCTCGGAGCTTTCGTAGAAGGAGAGGGCAGGAGTGGCCGGAACCGAGCCTTGCGCGCGCTCGGAAACGTGCGCCGGCCGTGACACGGAGGAGGATCGGCTCGAGGCAGCGAGGGAGAAGCTCGGGCGGGAGTCGACGAGAGACGGGTCGGAAGCGGGAGAGAAGGTGAGGTCGTTACGCCTAGATGTGGAGGAAGATCGCCAGCGAGGCAGACTCGGCAGTCTCGACCCCAACCTCGTGCTCCAGGTCGAGAACCCTGCATCGGATCCGTGGCGCCTCTTTTTTTGCCTTGGGCTGGCGTTGAAGTCGCCATCACTGAGGAAGCCGAGATCGTAGTCGGAGTCAGGAGCCATATAATGGTACGGACCGGTACTCTGCGTCACGTCGGCATTGTGAGAACATGGAAAGTCGCCTGGCTCCTGTATTAGCAAAGCGAGCAGAACCTTCACCGACACAACTTGGACCGAAGCACCCACACAAGCAGTAGTCATGGAATCCAAACTCCCGGTCGGTATATTTGGGCGGAGTCGCCGGTTTCTCCTCCTCTCTTTCCAATGGCTCTTCCTCGACATCGGGCAATTGGGATTTGCTGGGTCTGGTCGCGTGCAGAGATTGTGTAGGGGATGACGGGTTTTCGGTGCATGGCGGTGGGACGTGTTCGAGGGATGAGGTCGAACCGGATAACGTCGAGTGGTTGGTGGGCGAGAAGGTGGATGTAATGGGTGAAGGGGAAGTAAGGTCGGACGAGGACGAATTGTAGGTGTAGTAGTACGGTGTCTGGTCGCCGGTGTCATCTTGTTCCCCCAGCTTCCTCCGCTCTTCCACGAGCCGCGGAAGCAGCAATGGCTTTAACCCAGTCGACATGAGAATGCTGCAAGCATCAGGGACACGGTGTGAGCTTGTGAGGCGGCCGTGGGCTGTAGTATCGATCAATGGCGAGCTGGACACCTGGGGAGAAACTGGGGAAGAAATGGAGGTGGAGGGGGGCGGACAATTTGTTGTTGGGGTCAGACACGAACGGGATGAGCACACTCACGAGCCACTCCCAAGGAGTCCTAGCTCCAACGCGAATCGCTGGATCTGTGGCACCGACCAGGGTAGGTGGTGAATTGGGTTCCCGGCGCAGTTGTGCGTTGGCTCGGTTGGGTGTTTTGCGGGGCCGCTCGGAAGCCCAGCCCGGTCCAGATGGTGGCGGCAAGAAGAAGCTCACTCGCCGCCGCGCTCGCAGCGCCCCCCCCCCAGGCCCGACCCCCCAGCACGCCGGCGGGGCGGCAGTTGAGGAGCTTGGTTGGACGATCAACCCGCAAGATGACGAAGTTGGCGGCTCGCCAACTTGGAAGTTCTCAAAATAACCGCCGAAGGAAAGCCGCGGGTGAATACTGCTCGATAATACAGATACGCAGGCAGGCAGGGCACACACGACAAGAATTTTCCTGTCTCCTACTTCAAGCTCGGCGCGAGTTATTATTATATGCACCCCGCACGGTCCCGCGCTTTGCTAAGTGTGGCCGAGTGAGTGACTGGCGTCGCACGGGATGGGAGCTCCCTCGACCCCGTCTTGCCCGTGTCTTGGTGGTCGGCACTTCGTGTCTTGCAGGATCTGCTCAGCGAAGCATGTTCGGCCACACGGATCTCCAGGCTGCGAGGTCAAATAGCGGGCGGCCAAAACAGTTTTGCCTCGTCAACTCCTGATGTTGCGGCGTCTCGCTAGGGGGAAGGGACCCAGAAAAGAAGTGTTTGAGAGTGCACGACACACTGGTGGGGGGTTGCAGGACGTGGGCGGTCGAAGGCCGGACCATCAGAATGGGTGATACTGCCACTGGCACCACGTGTTGGAAGGTAGTGTATGTTGCAACACGGTCAGCGTGGGGTTGGGAGAGGCGGGTTTGTGGTTGGCCTCTGGGTCGGAGACCATGCACCGTCTGGGAACGCCGGAGCCGGAGCTGACTGCACCCAATCGATTTCTTCCGGGCAGTCTCTAGCCTGACACTGGGAGCTCCGCAACTCAATTGAGAACAACGCTGCGAACAGGTTGGGCAACCGTGTGGCACCACCTATGGGCGGGCTGGTGGGCTGGTTAATGGTGAGGTGATTGGTGCAGAGATTCCCCCAAGCGCACACAGCCAGAGCCAGACGAGCCAGAGCAGTTGACCGCTCCCCCGCCGAGCCCACCCAACCCACGTGAAGGTGGCCGTTTGTCCAACATTCATGATGACAGGAGAGGTGCGGGGGAACATGGGATTGCGGGGGCTGGACAGCAGTGTCGCTCCTGCCTCTTCTTCCCACTCGGCGTCAGCTGACAATGGAAACCCTTAGAACCCAGAACTTGGGAACTCGGGATGAACCAAAATTGCAACTCGATTTGGCTTAAGTCATCCCTAACCCTCGGGCCACCCGCCAAGCCGAAACTGACCCACGCCACAAGACGGGAGGAGAGGAAGCAAAAATAAAAAGAAAAACGCTCAGAACAGCAATGCGGAGTCGCGCTAGTTTGTAGGCGCCGCACTCGCCTCCCATCCTCCGGTTGAGTGGAAGTTTGAATTTGAAACTGAAAGGAAGAGGTCGGACTTTTACTTTCCGAGTTAGCAACCGGTGAAGGTGAGTTAACCGAACGCGAAAGAGGCGCGGCGGATTTTCTCAGCATAACGCGCCGACAGAGTCTGAGCAGGAGCACTGCAGCAGACCTTTCCAGATTTCTTGTCCCGTTCAAAAGCAGAAACCAATTCATCAATCTCATGCTCCCTGATTCGCCCGGAATCTCGCGTACCTTGCACAAGCGTGTTCCGAAGCCTGCCCGGCGTGCGCAACGGCCCCACACATCCCATCGGAGATCTTGTATTGCACCTCAGTCACCCACATCACTCGGTGCTTTTGCGCCCTGAGCGCCGCTTCAGAGCGGCACAGGCCCCCGCGTGTGCCAGAACTGTTCGTTTGTTACACTACTGGCCCCGGAGCGGCTCCCGGAAGGAGACCGCAGCTATTCGACTTGGAGTTGGGGAGAATCAGGTCGCAACATAACCGAGGTACCCAGACACTTCGAGTTTCGAGTTGCCCGCTTTGCGCAACCCCAGCTTGCTTGCCCTACTACACGACGATAGTCGTCAAAGAGCGTCGTATGCGGCGGCTTCACCTTCCAAACGCAGGGCTTCATGGCGGATGCGGTGTAACAGGCACTCCTCTCAATGTAAGGTCGACACGCACCCGTAAATATCTCCTGTACATACCTGACAGACGATCCCCTGTCGTCGAGGCAAGGTCAATTACCACCGTCCTTCCCACCGTACCGTAGGTGATCTGTCACACGTCCCGTTGCATCTGTCCCTTCCCATCATAGCCGAGGCCAATATGCGTCGGTGCCTCGATAGCCACGTCGATCCAATGCCATCCGCCGCGCGGGAAGCTCTTCATACCCGCAAGAGGTACCCGAAGTATTCGCTTGACAGCTGTCACCCCGCTTCCCAGCTAACGGCCATTGAGTACTGGTTGACCAGTCACACGGTGAGGTGGTGTCCTTGCAGCCCTAATTTGCCACCACCGGCCTGTGCAGTCGCATCCCATTGACTCGGGACCGAGTTATGGTCGTGCCCTAATCACTAATAGTGTCTGTCTGCCTTCCTCTTTATGGTCAACGGAATTAGGAGGTGGCTCGTCGAGAGCAACGTGAAGAACCACCATCGTTGGTACACAGAGTTCCTGATCTCACGCCATCTGACACTTGTCGGGTGCAGAGTCGAGCCCTATGACCCCTACCCTCTCTCGACACCTGCCAAGGGACGATTAACGTGCTGCCATGTGGTGGCCGGTCAAGCAAGAGGTGTCATCATTCCCAGTGACATCCAAAATCACTTTTCGTCCCTTGCATTAGCCCGGTATCAAGGGGGGGCGCCTAACGACCGGATTCGTTCAGCCCTCCTCCGGCACTCTCGGGACGGGCCCTCCGCGGCCCTCGGCTTTTCAAGACCAAAAAAAAAACCTTTCTGGCGGGCGGCACTGGGGTGGATCGTGGCCGAAGAGATCGTGCTTTTTCCCAGGTTCCCATCGAATCCTGATCCATTGATGTGCTTGGCACCTTGGGCGCGCCCAACCTCATGTCAGATGTGTGACCCAGCTTTGAGACCCCGAGGTTACATCGAGACTCCGGTTCGGTGGCGGCAGAAAGAATTTTCTGCTCCTCGATCTGGGCCTGGGCGAGTGCACCGTCGAGATGACCCGAGCCGTGTTGGGGGTTACTTCCGTCGCCCATGCTATCATTCGTTTATGGAATCATGTCATCATCATGACCCTTTTGCCAGCAGCCACACATCTGCAATCTACTTGAGAAGGAAAGAATACCCGGGGCCCGGCAATAGTGGGATGGATGGAACCTGGTCTAACATCTCCGGTTCTCAAAGTTTCCGGGGTTCCGAGCTTGCCATGTCATCTGTGTGATTGATTGGATTGGCATTGCCACCAGATTTGTTTATTTTTTTTTTAAAAGAAAAAGAAGAAGAAATGCGTGTATGTTGGCCATTGTCGCCCAGAGGTGAGAATCAGGGGCAATCCGTATACGAATTAGTATTGATCGATATCTCCAATTAGCAATGGTACCTCACTAGATCAAACTTTTGTGATCAACGCAGCCGCTCCGTTTCCCTTTCTCTGGAGGGATTGGAAAGGGATATCAGTAAGGTTTCAATCAACTCGGCGGAACGAGCTAAAAGCACAGGTGGTCATAATAGCTCGCCTTGGTTGACGGGTCAATTCTACCTCAGCTCACAATACGGTAGTTGCCTACTTCTTGGACCCTAAGTAAAATGAGTGATCATAGGTATTCTATTGGGAAAAATGGTATGAGAATCTGCTGGATCACAGAACCCCGAACTTCTAATCTTTCCCTCGGTGTCTATACGGACACCAATAGCATCACGCGTTGCTCTCCGACTTTAGGACGTCGTCTTGGTCTTTAATGATTTCAGAGATGTGAAAATTCACCATCCAAGAAGTGACCGATTAGAGAAGCATATGGGGGACCAAAAGTACCTAGCGAAGTCTTGACATTAATCACAGTAAGGCGGATCATAGGAAATTATATTAGATTATTTCAGGGGCTAGCCCTTAGGTAGATGAAAAGAGAAAATAGCAATATTTCGTCACATATTTGCTCTTAGCATCACAATTGAGGCGTACGTTAAGCGCGCTATGCTATCCTAACTGGCCGCCCCTAAAGTGCGGTCGCTGAACTCATCGTATTCACATGTTACGATATCTCGGAATACATAACTATCCGTACACCATAAAGACATCGTATATAGAGCCAAAAACTACTTCCCTTTCGGATATACGCTAAAACTAGCCTCGGAGGTATCGAGAATATGTTTCGCACCTAGGATAGAAAGATGATATAAGGTAGATTCCCAGGGTCTGTACAATCCACTACTAGGTACTTAACTGAGTTCATGGGTATTCAAATACCCATCTTCTCGGTGAAGTGAGCACATTGTGCCATACGAATTCCGTGTAGCGGAACAGAAAGGGCTTACTTAACGCAATCAGAAGAACGAGGATCAGTCACACGCTACTATCCCGTCATCAGGCTACTATTGAAGACGGTAGCACCTAGAAGCAGGCACCCGAGGCCTTCACTTTACATCCCGGAAGTGAACAGCATAACCGCAGGAGAATATCTGAACCACAGACATCCAATAGCAGTGGGCGGAAGCAAAGTGTCATTCATAATAACACTGTTGGTTGACAACTAGGTACTTTCACTCCTTATGTTTACTTGAGTTTATTTTACGCCATCAACATATCCTCTCTAAGAGGCGCAAGCCTTGGTTTGCCATCCCAATTTCTGCTTTGGAAATATTACTAATACGAGCGTGCAGGACAGAGCGGCCGTAATCATGGACAGGAAGCTATCCGGATGGTCTCCGACTTATGAGAATACTGTTGCACCAGGATAGTCCTTGTGGATGAGGAGTAAGGTGTCTAGGTATGTATGCTGTGTCCGTTTCCTGTTGAACTCGTATGAAATATTACTCCCGTTACATCGGATCAAGGCCCTTCCTATGATTTTCAGCTAGCCAACACCCTCGTAAGCGTAAGTGGCCAAAAGGTTCTGGCTTCTTCCCACAGCAGAGACTCCCAAGTCAAAAGGAAGTATGTGTTGAGATAGATATTTATTTGCCTTGGCTTACTCCTATCTATTGGCAGCTGCCGCAGCTCTCATTCAGATGGTCCAAAACGGCCCGCTCTCCTTTTCTTGATGCGAGAGTCGTTGCCTCCTTCAACGTGTGGACCGGAAAGCCTTGCTTGTCGCCTAACTTTCACAGCGGCCAGAGCACATCGAATGTGTTGAGCGAGGGGACAACGGCCCACCAGGGAGGTATAGAGGAACCGCATAAAATGCTCTTGCCATCTGATCGGCTTCGCGCCGCGCTCAGCTAGTGTGCCCTTGTGCGTTAGATAAAACGACAGTGTACAGGGCATCTCCGCCGCTCTCCACATCGGCGGAGCTGAGCCGTTTTCTTTCTGTAACGTGACCTCGAACCTGTGGGCCGGTAATCATACAGGTTGGAGAGAATCCTTCGCCAGGAACGTGTAGATGGAGCGGCATTGGGGAGGGATGGCGAGGATCGGAAGCTTTCTGGTCCCAATCCGTAACAACATTGGAGCAGAGGCAGTATCAACAAAACGCTCTTTATAAAGAGCGAGGCCTATGGCGACAAGGGAGGAGGGCTTGGACCAACTTAGCAATAGGTCGTGTGAAAAAAGCCATCTAGTGACGTTGTTTCCCCAACGTCTTTCACTTCGGACTCCAAACTTGAATGCTCGGATGGAGGTTGAAGATTCCCCACCCACCTGAGACCCAAGCCCTTGTTCTTGTCTCTCTTTTTCGGGTTGGTGATTGTGTTGATGAGGGGCACTAGACCTTGTGCCTTGTACACGAGAGTATCGAATCTCGACGGTCAAGTATCCCCTTAAAAAAAACAAAAAAAAAAAAAACGCAATTTTGAACTACGTACCTTATTCTTGTTTATAGGAGGTCGCGAGGCAGTCATCCATTTACTCGTTGCGCCTTTGTAACCGAGGGAGCTTCGGTTTGTTGGTCCTTGTTTGTCACCGACGATCAGGAAGCTGGCGGTGAGCCTGCGGGGCCCCAAGGTGGGTTCAAGCGTTGTGAAAGCCGTTTCCATAGGGCAATTGATAGGGGGGCAGGGCGGAATTGATACGGGGGCAGGGCGTTACGCGGGCAGGGCAATCTCAAAGCTCCTATTGGCTCAAAACTTTTTTGTTAAGCAGGGGCATGCTCCATCAAAATTCTGCCGCGTCCCCTTCCATATTTACCAGCTGCCAATAGTCTGTCAACTCCAATTGACGTCAAAACATCGTCCTTGAGTTTCCATATGCCTATCCATTGCGCAATGACCCGCCGTCCAAAAAGCTCCCGAAGGCTATCCCGTTCTGGATACGATAGCGCTGATCCAGGTGAAGCGCAATCCCGACCCACGAAGCGACTCCGACTGTGACGGAAAGCTCGCCCAGGGTTGGGGTTCGAGGTGCACTTCCGCATCCGGACTAGCTCCGTTTTGGGCATGCCTTCTCGCGTTGCCAACGCGCTATCCTGTATCTTTCCTCTCTTTCTTCAGCTTTCGATTAGCAGAATTGAGTCAGCATACGCGGTGCCCTTGTGCCTCGCCTAGATGTTACTCGTCCCTCACACCGACGCGATAGTTCCGATACGTGCGAGCAGCGCAGGCGTGGATCTTCAAGCAGCGGCTCAGGACCGGACCCTGGGGAATGGTATGGCTATGGCGACGACGATGCCCTATATAATCTCTTCGCAACCGTTGCGAATACTTGACACCCATCGCTTCGAAGCCAATATGGAAGGTAGTAGGAAATTGTGTTAGTGTTAGCGAGTTGGCCTTCACCGCTTTTAGGGGAAAATGCTGACAGCTGTCAGAAATTTTGGGCCAATAGGAACTTTGAGGTTGCCCTGCCCGCGTAACGCCCTGCCCCCGTATCAATTCCGCCCTGCCCCCCTATCAATTGCCTTCCATAGTTGCATCGGACCTGGGGGGTCTTGTCTCCACGTGGACAGCAAACGACTGGGGGCTCTAACAGGGCAGGCATGGATATGTACTCTGGTCTGACATACGGTCGTTGTTCGCCATCGTCAGTCTGGTCACCGGAGTTCAAGGGCATGTCGATGTTGTGGTCTTCGTGCATATGTGCGCCGTATTGAAAAAGATGGAAGAGAAATTGGCGGCACTATCCGCCGTTTGCCGCCGAAAATCATGCCAAGACTTACACTTGATAGAACGGAAGTTGTGAACGTGGTTAGCTGCAGCGCCAAGCACGTCAGCATGGACAAGGCCGGCAGTCCCGGGGTGGGAACGTGGGGGCACGGCTCGAGGACGCTCTCCTTCCCTTGACCGGGTGTTGTGTGAGAAGTTTCTACTGGGAAATCAGGTCACGGAAGTGAACAGGCCAAGTGCCAGACATGGACCCAGAAGATTACAATCCTTCGCACAAGGAAGATTATATATGAACAGGAATATCAACTTGATATTGCAAGGATCGATGCCCTTGATCTGGCAGTGCTTTACCTACCGACAGCAATCCTTGTCGGATGATCGCCACGTTTCTTGCTGTGCCGCGCCCGTCCTGTCATGCCATGTGCCTCACGACCACTACTACATGCAGCCTGACCGCTCTTCGTTCCTGCGAGAGACGCGCACCCAGAAGTCCTCAATTATCCAAACACCCTAGGACCGATTAGCACAGCCGCCAACCACTCAAAACTTTCCGAAACCTGCTTACAGCATTGCGAATATGGGCCGCCTTAGCGGGGTTAACAAGCGAAAAGTCGAACCGTCTCAACAGCTAATGCCCAACTTGTCAGCCACCAGGTTGCTCAAGTCAATAAGTCTGCACTCATCAAACATACCTCGACGAAAATTTTGTTGAATTCCATCCAGGCCACACCTTTCCCAGGACACTGGAACCTTCCAGAGTGAAAGATCAAGTCCACTGTATTGTTCATACGGGCGAGCTGTTCCCCTTCGGCCTCCAGCCATCGTTCCGGGCGGTAAATCTCAGCGTCCTGGCCGTAGATCCTTTTAGAGCGGTGGATCGCCATGATGTTAGAACCAACCTGCGTGCCGCCCGGAATGAACTTCCCGTCTATTGTATCTCCCCCGGGAGGCACCTCTTTGAAGAAGACGCCAGAAGCGGGGGGCATCATCCGCAGACCTTCCTTGATGACCGCCTGGAGGTAAGGTAGTTGCCGGCCTTCGGCGTCCTTAATGGGTGATGATATCTTCGCCAGAGCAATGGCCTCGTCGATTTCAGCTTGCAGCTTCTGGTACACACGTGGATTGCTCAGGATATACAACGTAACGGCCCGGATAGTCGAGGCTGAGGTATCGCTTCCGGCAATGATCTGGACCAACGTTTCTGCGGCGGCCGCTTCCTCGTTCAGACCATGACGAATAAAGGATCCGAGCATATCGTGGTGGTCAGGAGCATCGGGCTTGAAACGCGCGGCAGTCACGCTGTTCGCGATCCTGTTAAGGGTAATGATATCAGCACCGACGAACAAGCACGAGCATCATCCTCGTTGCGACGGGCATAACTGTCTGGCGTCGACTCACCCGATCAAAGCGCCGAATCCGATCTTGTCAGTTTCTTTCGGCAGAAGCGTGCGAAAAAAGCGTGACTGAAGAAGCTTCGCCAACAAAGGGTAGGTTGAAACCACCATCATCGCGGGGATGGAGGTCATGGCGATCTTGATATAATCAAAGACGTCGGCATCCTGCTCGAGGAACCCCATTGGCTGGCCCCACGCGAGGTCCCCGATAACGTCCAGAGTGAAGTACTGCGCCTTCACACCCCAATCCATTGGCCGATACTCGTGTTTTGTTGACAAGTACTTCGTCTCGATGAGTTCGATGAGTCTTGCAATTTGGGTTTCTATGCTGCCCTCCATGGACAGATTTTCCTTCCCAGAGTACTAGGCCCACATCGTCAGCGCCCGCCCCCGGTGGTGGCAAGTCCCAGGGAAGTGAAACTTACCCCTGGAAGTATCTTCGCGCGAAGCGCGTTATGAGCGTGATCGTCCCTCAAGGTCAACACATTGTCTCTGCTCGGGTCAACTCGAAATGCCTCGTACCCTATTTCCCGTCAGAACCTAATCCGCGCGAGGGAGGGGCAATACACGCGTGATCTGTTTCTCCCAGTCACTTACAGGGCCCTCGAGTGTACGGAGACCGGGGTGCCATCATCTTTCGCAGGATATCGGGGTCATCAGTGAGCAACTCGTTGGGGCCGACGCGCACGAGTGACCCTGTCGGACACGATCTTATTAGGGCAATACTCAGGAGGACCGCGGGCAGGAATAATATCTTCGGTGGTCGAGGTGAGTGACGACTCACCATATTGCTTGCCCACCTCCTCGTATGCTGCCGGTAGCCGAAGTTGGATGGCTTCCCAAAAGACCCAGAGTTTGGAGAAGCCGGCGATGAAAGGGCCCGGGACGTGGGATAGGCGTCGCCATTGCCAAATAGCATGTAGCACAAAGGCGGTTACTAAGCCACCGAGCAAGATAAGTATGCTCAGTACCATTCTGAAGGTTGATTGGCGCCAGAGGCCCGGTATTGGCGTGCAGGAAAGTCAGTTCAGCCCAGCTGCCGCAGGTACAAGAGGAATCACAACCGATCGGATATTCATTTGATTTTATAGCTCGGGGCCCGCTGGACCCCGCGGATACGACTTGAAACCAACAGTCGATGCAGTCACCTACGCTTGCCATATTCGGTTCGACTCGTCCATTATGACCCGCTTGCATTGCCCTACTGCACGAAAAGCATCAGCAGGGGGTCGGAACATGTCTTTGTCTGTTTGGAAAGGACCAGCTCTCTCGGTCACTAGTCCCGGCCCCGCTTGCCGATCCAGGTTTCTTAGGTGGTATTGCATGAACCCTCGCAGGATCGAACCGAGACCCTGCTCGCCCCCCACCCTTCACTGAAGTGCTTATTGCCTCCTTGTCCATCTAGCCCATCAAGGATTGCCTACTGCATGGCGCGGCCTATCCTCATCTACGACCGACCGCTTAGCTCGGTTGGTGCTCATATCGATAATTAGTGGCAATATTGATGGCGGAGCTCGATGGCGAGGCTCGGGATAATATGCTCGCTCCTAGGATAGATGCCTGTCTATAGTGTACTTCGTATCTGCCGGCTATTGTTTTGAGAAGTCGTTCGTCCTATACCAGGAAAGGTAGGGTGTCGATGTTCAAGATGGAGTCACTTGGACCCTCGTTTAGGCTGTGCCTGGCCTCTCCCAAGTTCAACAATGCCCGAGTCGGGCACCTTCCGGCGCTATGTGCGCCTTAGTACCATGGCAAAAATGAGTTGTTTCAACATCAGATACGATAGGTATGCGACCGCTATTGCTTTAAGAAAGCCTCGTTTGCGGCGTATCCAAACTGCAAGACCAAACTCGGAAAGGAAGAACGTCCCAAAAGAGCGAGAGAAGGGAAGAAAAGAAGAAAGACCAGACAAAATTTCCAATCTTGATGGCCGTGTCTGACAGGCCGAAACAACGTCACACATCCTACTATACCCACCCAAAGCAACATAAAATGAATGAATCCGAGCCTCAAAATTTCCTCGCCCTCCATTGGCAGGGTCTCTTCCATTACCCCATCTGTTCCGGCCATCTCTCCTATGCCTCTCCCTCAACTAGCGGTTTCATGACGGGAGCCCCAAGCCCAAACCGTCTCTTCACCGCCTTCCATGTTTTCCACGATGGCTGGTATATACCACAACGCACGCCGACTACCACACCCCACTCCCATGTGATGGCATCGTGCTTGAAGACAATCCTGTTCACGACGGGTAGGTAAATGACGGGGAAAGCAATCACAAACCCAGCCGAAACGGCACCAAACAAGAACTTGTTCTGCCAGACTGTCTTGAAGACAGACAATGGACCTGAGTACTTCTCGGGATGCATGTTGAACAGCGACCGGGTGAAGTGCTTGGCCTCCCATGCCATCACTAGCAGTAGGAAGGTCAGCGTGGCAAACGTCGTAGCTCTGGCTTTGAACGCGACGCTGCACGCGTCCGAGTAATCCTCGTTACACATGACTCCCAAGCCATTCGGCCCGTTGACGCCGTAGGCCACCGAGGTGAACGCGGCGAGGCACAGGCCGCCCATGGCGGTGCCGTAGACGAACTTGTCGATGATGAGCTCCCGCGTAAAGACGCCAGTGGCGAGGTCGTGGGGTGGGCGCTGCATAATATCCGGCTGCGCGTCCTCGATGCCGAGGCCGAGGGCCAGGAACGACGAGGTGACAAGATTGGCCCAGAGAATCTCGAGGGGCGATAGGGGGAAAACGGAGATGCCACGCGGGTCCTTGAAGGCCAGACCGATAAGAAGGAGGAAGACTTGGGCGATGTTGGAGACAAGGAGGTGGAGGAGGAACTGCAAGGGGTTGGTTAGTCAAGGTTATCTCAAGCTTTGACATAACAAAAAAGCACCTTTTGGATGTTGTCAAACAAGCGTCTGCCTTCCTCGATGGCGGTGACGATCGAGGCAAAGTTGTCGTCAGTCAAGACCATGTCCGCAGCCTCCTTCGCAACGTCACTGCCGTTCAGACCCATGGCAATGCCCACGTCGGACTTTTTGAGTGCGGGCGAATCGTTCACACCGTCTCCGGTCATGACACAAAACGCCTTCCTTCTGTGCATGGCTTCCACCATGCGCACCTTGGTTGTCGGGCTACACCGGGCGAGGACAAGAGGCAGGTGCTCCATCTCGTCGACTTGAGCGTCGCTGAGGCTGTCGAACGCGCCGGCGACCATGATACTTTTCTCGTTGCCGTGGTTGGCGCGGTCCAGAATGCCGATCTCGTAGGCGATGGCTGTGGCTGTCTTGACGTGATCGCCGGTGAGCATGTGGACGGTAATACCGGCCTGCTGGCACCGCTTGACGGCTGTGGCAGACTCGAGCCTGGGCGGGTCATAGAGACCCGCCAAGCCGAGAAACGTGAGGTTTCTCTCGACCGAGGAACGCTGGTCCGGGTTTTCGTTTACCTGTGAGGGCACCTTTTCTGGCGCCGTTGTAGGATCCTGGGGAATAAAGTCTTGGGGGTTGGTAGATTTCCTAGCGATACAAAGCACCCGAAGGCCCTCGCTGGCTAGAGACTCAGCCTTGGCGACGATAGTGTTCTTTTGCTCGTCAGAAACATCCATCAGGGGAAGCATGGCCTCGAGAGCACCCTTGGTGTAGGCGAACGCGCCTGCGTCGTCGGTGCAGACAACTGTCATCCGCTTGCAAGACGAATCGAAGGGGAACTCGGCTAGGAGCCGGTGGCCGCCCGACTGCAGTAGCTCGGGCTTGCCCGTGCCAAAGCGCATCGCCAGGACCTGGAGAGCAATTTCAGTGGGCTCACCAATGGCCGTGTAGGAGGCGTCGGTTTTGGTGACGATCGAGTTGTTGCAGAGAGCGACTGTCTCAAGGAAGTCCTTCAGCCGGGCTGCGCTCTTTTCAGCCGTTAGAGACTTGGGGGTGTACACCTCGTCTCCCACGCGCACGTTTCCGCTGGTGGGATCAAAGGGATGGGTTGTGTCCTGGATGGACACCTCGGTTCCGTCGACCAGCCATACCCGCTTGGCAACCATCTTGCCCTGGGTCAGTGTGCCGGTCTTGTCGGAGCAGATATTAGTGACTCCGCCGACAGCTTCAAGAGCGGCGAGTTTGCGGATGACAACATTGCCTTTGGCCATAGCGCGAGTGCCGATGGCCGTGGCGATGGTGAGGACGGCAATGAGTGATTCCGGGATAACGGCAACCGCCACGCAAATACCGTAGATCAGGACTTCGCTGGTGACATCCCAGCGGCTGGCGGAGAAGACGATGATGGCCAGAGTGATGGCCAGGGCAAATAGCAATAGAGCGAACTTGCTCAGAGCAACCTGCATGGGCGTGCCGTCAAGGCCGAGCAGAACCCGAAGACCATTTCGGACCTTAACCCAAGCCTTCCCGAGCACAGTTGTCCGCTTGTCGGCCGGGTTTTCTCTGCTCTTCCTTAGGAGCTCCGCAATCCTACCGACCTCGGTAGTCATACCCGTAGCGACGACAATGCCAGTAGCACGCCCGCGGGAAACGACGCTGGCTGAGTACACCATGTTGAGGCGGTCTCCCAGGGGTACATCGCGGTCCTTGAGGATGATCTCGGCGTGCTTGCTCACAGGGACAGACTCGCCGGTGAGCAACGCCTCGTCAGTAGAGAGATTGATGCTGTGTACGAGCCTGAGATCCGCCGGGACGATGTCGCCAACTCCAAGCTTGACTAGGTCGCCGGGTACCAAGGCCTCAGCCTTGATGTTATCCGTGTGGCCACCGCGAATTACCTTGCACGTGGGTGCAGAGAGCGCGTACAGTGCCTGGATGGTCTGCTCAGCGCGGAAGTCTTGGACGAATCTGCATCGAATGGGTACATGTAAGACGGAGGCGATCAACCGGGGCAATTATTTTTTTTCTTTTTTTGTTGACTTACCCGACCACCATGTTGAGCAGGATGACAGCGGCGATAACACCGCCTTCAATGTGGTCATCGATGGCGAAGGAGAGGACCATGGTGATGACGAGGACCTAGCTCTCGGTCAGTTGCCATTGTACCGCACCCGAAGATCATTCTTGGAAACACTCACAAGAGTCAGGCTGTTTGACACCTGTCTCATGAGAATCGTCCACACGGATAACCCTCGAGCTCCCTCAACCTTGTTAGGGCCATGGTGCTGCAGGCGACGGGCAGCCTCGGAACCGTCGATTCCATTTCTGAGCGCGTGAGCAAGAGGGGTTGGCCGTGGATGTTTGAGGAGGGGAATAAAGGCTTACTCGAGGTCTGTCTCGAGCAGCGCGCAGACATCTGGCACTGAAAGTATGTGGGCGGACTCGGTGGTTAAGGCGGGAGCCGTGTCGAGCGTGCTGCTGATGGAGCCACGGCCAACAGTGGCATCAGCGTCGGCATCCGTGGCATCGGCGTCCGTTCCGGTGGTCCCGGCGAGAGTGGGGGATGGGGGAGAGCAGACTGCGGAACTCTTGAAGCCACATATAGGAGGCTCCGTCTGCCCCTCGACGTCCAGCTCGTTCTCTGTCCCCATTCAATAAAGTGCGTCGCCGATATGATCCCAGCGAGTTCACGCGATGAGGAAAAAAGGGAAAAGAGCAAAAGGGAGAAATCCCGGAACCCGGAAGATGAGCCGGGCTTAAGATCTGATCCCCCTGCCGCTCTGGTCGTTGGTGTCCGATCACCGAACGCCGCCCGCCACATCCCACCCGAATTGAACCACTGACGGACAGACCCGAGCCTGGGGGCAGCGGGTGTCTGGGATGATGGATACGTCGGCCAAGGGCGAGCAGCAACCACACAGACGAGTGACAGGCGTCGCCAAGTCGCTGGTAGCAAGGCCACGCTCCAATCACCTCTCTTCCAAGATCCCCACCGATCATGGACCCCGGCAGAGCTAAGAACTCCCAGTGGCTGAGATGGTTCCTCCGGCTTTCCTGGTCCCCTTGGCACCCACTCCAGCCTGTGTTGCCCAGCGCCGGATGCATCAGCCTGGGGCCACAATTGATCAGCTGGTGTCTTGCTTGTCTCATAAACCCCGTTAACAAGGCTGACGAAGCCTCTCTCCCTTGAGCCGTCCAATGAAGCACGACCCAAGCGACGCCATTGGATCGCCATTGCGGGGCTCTCAAGTTGAATGTATCAGCAAGCCACACAACCACGCACCACGTCGAACAGCCTGGGCTGGGTCCCATCCGCATCTTCCCCACGTGCGGGACACAAAAGCTTATGATTGTATGATTGCTGGTGCAGGTATAACTACAACTTTCTATGATCAGCTGCTACCGGTGATACGAAACACAGGTTACGGTCGTGTTTCTTCCTGCTGTGGCTGGGTGAGCAGGTTGCCAGTGATCGCGGCAAACCACGTCCGCCAGGAATTCCCCGAGCCTGCCAAGATGAGCCCCACATGCATCCCAAAATGTTGGGTGAATCCAAACCTGAATCTTGCATAAGATATGATTCATGTAAAGAGGGTCGTTCTCTTCTTGCGAATACCAACCACATCGAGGAGCTGAACCACTGCCACTAACTTGATCTAGGAAAGTTGAGTGCGGCATCACAGACACGTTGAAGGATCAAGGATGGTCATCTCGTTTAACACAAGAAGAAGCATGGATAGAACCCTTGGCATCTCGGCGCGAAGGTCACCAGCAACGCTGGGACGCAAACTCTGGACGCAGAGCCAGTGCCAGGTTGAACACACTGATAACTACACTACCTACACAGGACCGTTCCAAACAACTGGTGCCGGTACTTCGTCCCCACGACCTCTACCCACGAATCCGTATGAAGCCGTTTTCGGTTGAGTTTAGTTAATCCAAGCCGGGCACCTTTCAAAGACGTCCACGTGTATTAAAACTTACAAATCCCCACGTTTCGGCCAGAATGACGAAGCCACTCCCTGATGTTGGACAAATAGTGGCCGCCGCCAACCATGCCTTATTACCACGAGAATAGCTGAACTCGTCAGTTTACGGAGGGAAGAGCATTTCCTCTCGCATAGCCATCTTGAAACCCCGCGGGATGTAACCCACTCGTTAGCAAGCCGCGCCCCATCTTTCGATCACTGGGGGGGTGTATTCCTTGACTTGCCTTACAAAGGGTGGGGATTGAACGTTACTTGCTGAGCTACATTGCTGCAATCCTCGCTGTGACTGACATCCAAGGCCGGCTGGCCGGACAAAACATCATGAGCCGCTCGGAATCAATATGCGCACAGCCTCCTTGCCAAGAGCGGGGTTTGGTTCAGGGACGACATGACTGGATGGCGTTGACGGTGTTTTGAGGTCGGCAACAACACATACCCACCGTGCATGACGGCCAACATAGTCCAGATCCGTTTTTGAACGCAAAAGGAACTAACACTCCCCACAAATTATTTTGATTGAGGCCTCCAAGGCCGAGTCTTTGCCATTGTGAGTCTTGGTATTGGGTTACATCTCGCGCTCTGGGCTCGGATAGAGAACGTCGACCGACTTTGGTGACGGCTGCTCCACGAGAAGCAAGATCGACTCTCGTTTTCGGCTACTTAGACCTCGTCATGGGATGGGAGGGTTCTCGACACAAACACCTGGGTCACGGGTTTATCGCAGACTTTACTGTATAGGGTCGGCCACAAACCCGATTATAGATTGAAGACAGACCTTGTTTCTATCGGACGGAGCAAGAAGGGTGGTTCGCTTGGTTGAGAAACTAGATCAATTTTTCGTGGCCGTTTGAGGAAGGTTACGGCCCATTAATCCCTATCGGAATGATTGAATTGCTTTGAATTGATGATAAGAACTTCAAGGAAATTGAATGGCTACCTGGGGGGACGGCATGTTAAGGGAAGTCTCGTGTTCATTCTTTTCTCCCCTTGAGTTAAATGTCCGAAGAGATCACCGTTGAGTACGTGCTCCCGCCTGGAAACGACGAAAGGCCGGTACGACCAGGGCTTACAAGTACACGACTGCGGTGCTTGATGGGAGGATTGGCCACGTCAAGTGCCCGGTGGCCGTCGTATATCCCTTCCTGGGTTGCGTCTCTCACCTCGCAATGGAGGGCGGCCAATGCGGGAACTGCCTCTGACATTGCACCGAGTGCTGCCCGTCCATCATCCTGGATTGATACGATCAACCGCTGGACGCTGAGATCCAGACCGATTTCGAGTTCTACACGGTCTAGATCTGGCCCAGCAGCGGCGATATGGGGCGGGCACAAAGTTCGCCCCGAGTAACCGGCGGAGGATGATCGCGATGAAGGGTGCGTGGTGAAGTGGTGGACGAGGACGGTATGCATGGACGTCGATAGTCACAGCCCCATCACATATAGAAAAGTTTCATCCCCACCCGCTAATTATCTTCAAAGTCAACAAGAACTCCGCTCTCTCCCTCAACCAATCCTCCTCCCCCGTATTGACCGCATGAAAACCCATGCCCCCCATACCTCACCGAATCCTCAACCTGCACCACCCACACCGGCAGCGTTGAAATGCTTCCATTTGCTTCCACGGAAAATCCACCTCGCACTCATTCTTGGTGCCCGTAGAATGACCACTGAGACCTCTGTCTGTCTAAATGCGAGCGATGAGTGGCAGCCGTCCGCAGCCCAGCCTGTAGCGGGATGGCAATCTCTTCTGTTATGCCGGGCGGTCGGGTGAAGGAAGGTGTCTTGGAAAACGTCCGTAACTTTCTTGACCCAGATTCTCGAGAGCAGCACCACGGTCTATGCAGGCTGTGCTACCTGTTTCACAGACGTATTGGAACTGAAATACATGCTTGGCTCTATCTATCGCGGGGCATTTCGATCTGGATGTCTATCACATTATCTGCCCCCCTGTCAACGGCAACAACCAGAAGACCTTGTTCCCGCGGCCCCCCCCCCCCGATCCACTGTCGTCTTGGGAGATGTCGGGAACGCTAATTCACAGCCATGTGAAGGAACCGCCTCTCTGTACGCACTCTTCGATACTATCGACAGTGCATAGCCATCGTCTACGGATTGTCCCGGTCCACTCCTTCAGTACCCGAGTGAGCGGGCATAATGGTTCCACACATCAAACAGGCCAGAATCATCCAAGAACAAGGGTATATATCTGTCCATCCATTCGCCATCCAGTTCTGCAGTAAAGGCGGCCTTGCAGTACTCCCAGTAATCTGGATACCACCCTGGCTGGTGCCAGTCAATGATGGAAACTACCTTGCAAGGGGTATCCATCAAAACCATAATGTTGCTTGGGTGTAGATCGCCGTGGGTAAGCACAACCGGTGCATCATCGGGTAGATGCTCTCAGCCGGGATCAGGGAGTTCCGACGGTTTTTTTCCCGGCCAGTGTTGTTCAAAGCCTGACCTGATCAAGATGGATAGCCAACCATAAAATTCAGTAGCTGAATGGAACGGCCCCCCCGGAGGGTCGTTTCGCGGGCTTTCGAAAATGATATCGCTGGGCGCCTGACGATTGAGGTGGCCTTTTCAATGGAAGCAAGTAAGTAACGGTACAGATTTTGGTCGTTAGTCGGCTTGTTGCCTGTCCAAAGTGTCATCATACCAAGGAAGAACTCGCTGGTTGCGTGCCGCACCTTGCGCAGCTCGGAGAGCATAACGCGAAGCTGCTGGCAGATACTCTCACGCTCAATCTCATTGAGAGATCCCCAGCGTTGGGCCAGGGTGACGCCATGCACCAACTCCATATAGATGAAAACTTGGCCGTGATCGTGTGTCCAGCCATACACCTTTGGGGTGGGGACGGGGACTTTTGGCAGGGCATGGCGCAACGCCCAAAGACACTGGCCCTCATCTACCCTCACCTGGGGTGCGCGTCCAAACTTGACAATGAGGCCAAGCTCCTCGTATCGAACTGGTGGGATCCGGTATTTCATCTTCTGCGAATTTTGAATGTCGCTCCTCGCGCGAACGTCCGCGGGGGACGGTAGTTCAGCGCCCGGTCCGTTGCGCGAAAAGAATGAAGACTCAAGGAAGACTGCCCGCTCAGCGGGGGGGAACTCCTTGGTGGAGACGATAAAACGAGGCGCCGTCGACATTGCGCGGACAGGGTGGCCTGGATGTGATAATTCAGGTCCCTAAGCACTTCGTAAAGTTCGGTGGTTTGCTTGTGCCGCCATCTGGTATGTATGTGTGTTAATACGGGGCCCCGCCCGGCCCAACCGCCAGAACAGAAAATCCCATACCTGATCTGGAAACGAGACCTGAGGTCACGAGGTGTGATGGTACGTATGTTGGACTACTCACAATCCGTGCAGGACCTCTATGCAATAGGGTCTTATTGTAATAGCGAGCTGGTTTCTTGGAATAGGATGGTGCGAACACATATGGAGCACGTGTTGAAAATACCCTGCATGCCTTAACTCTTATGCGTTTGACGTGGACCTCAGCTGCAGCAGCCTCGGTCTGAGGCGAGACGGCATAAGCTGAGGCAATTGCATAAGCATTTCATCTACACATTCCAACTTCCTGTTGTTGCTTAAGTTGTTGTATGGTGTTGTTACTCAAATGATGCGAATGTTACTATGCTAGCGGTAGGCTTCGGGCAAGATGAGAACATCACCGTAACACGGAGAAGGGCAAAGATCGTAACATTATTGGGAGAAGAAGAAGAAAGGAAGAAGGACATGAGAAACAAGGCGAGACGCGTCGGAATGGAAGAAGCAAGTCTAAAAATAAAAGGCACAGCAGGTCACCAGCAAAGACGAGAAGTAATCCTGCGGTGTGAACGACAAGGCAGACAAGAGTGACTAAGCGGGTGTTTGAGCGGCAGTCGAGCTGCGGGCCGAGACTTGATGAACCCTGCAGATCTGCCCCGCTAACTGTTTCCAGCGCTGATCCTTGGCAACAATTTCCTGGGTGCCAGAGCTAAATACCCCGCCAGGATGGGCTACGGCATGAAGAAAGAAGGGGACTGTTGACCGCTCAAGTGTTTCCTCCACACACCGCAGCCCAACGACCTGCAAAACGCCCACCTTCAACCATGGCAGACAAAGTGTACCGCGCCAGCACGACGGCGCCGGTGAATATCGCCGTTGTCAAGTATGCATCCTCTCCTTCTGACTAGGAGCGGCAAGCGAAATGCGAACGCAGCTACCTAACTGACTGCTGCCCGATGATAGATACTGGGGCAAGCGCGATTCGAAGCTCAACCTGCCGACCAACAGCTCGCTCTCGGTGACGCTTTCACAGGCCGACCTCCGCACACTCACCACGGCTTCCTGTTCCGCTTCGTACCCCGCTTCCCAAGGCGACTCGCTGCTCCTGAACGGCGAACCGTCCGATATCGCGGGGGCTCGCACCCAGGCATGCTTCCGGGAGCTGCGCACCCGCCGTGAGGCCCTCGAGGCCGCCGATCCCTCCCTCCCCCAGCTCTCGACAATGCCACTCCGCCTCGTGTCCGAGAACAACTTCCCAACCGCCGCGGGCTTGGCCTCGTCCGCGGCAGGCTTCGCCGCACTCGTGCGGGCCATCGCCAACCTGTACGAGCTTCCCGCCTCGCCGTCCGAACTGAGCTTGATCGCACGCCAGGGTTCTGGGTCGGCATGCCGCAGTCTCTTTGGCGGATATGTCGCCTGGCGCATGGGCGACGCGGCCGACGGCAGCGACTCCATGGCTGATCAGGTCGCCGAGGCGTCGCACTGGCCCGACATGAGGGCGCTAATCCTCGTCGTTTCGGCGGCCAAGAAGGGTGTAAGCTCGACCTCGGGCATGCAGCAGACGGTGGCCACCTCGGGCTTGTTCCAGGAGCGCATTGCCAAGGTCGTGCCGCAGAACATGGCGGCGATGGAGAAGGCTATTGCGGAGCGCGACTTTGCCTCGTTTGCCGAGGTCACCATGCGCGACTCCAACTCGTTCCATGCCACCTGCGCCGATACCTACCCGCCCATCTTTTACATGAACGACGTCTCGCGCGCCGCGATTCGGGCGGTGGAACAGATCAACGCTGCGGCAGGGAGAACTGTGGCCGCCTACACGTTCGATGCCGGTCCGAACGCTGTAATCTACTACTTGGAGAAGGACACCGAAGCGGTTGTCGGGACTCTTTACCACGTACTGGGTGGCGAGGTCGGCGGCTGGAAGAGCACTGTTGTTCAGGGGTTGAAGCCGAGCATCTCTTTGGATGAAGGGGTTGCCGGAATCCTCAAGGCTGGTGTTAGCCGCGTGATCCTGACGGGGGTTGGGGAGGGGCCCCTAAAAAGCGAAGAGTATTTGGTTGCCCAGGACGGAAGCCCGGCAAAGAGATGATTTTGTGTTGTTGTATTAGGAGCCCTCAACCAAATGCCAAGAGTAACCAGTGCTAATATGGTCTGTAAGCGGCAACGCGGGCTGAATATATTGGCGTTGCATTTCTCCCACACAGCGCACCTTGACATTTTGCAAACCTGGAACTGTCTCCCTTGGTGGTGATTGATCCCCTGGACTTTCACCCGGGATGGGCTTGTGGGCGGCCTTTGATAAGGCACGATAAGCCCCGCCGTTACGTCAGGCGCGCTGAAGCCGCCTCAGCCTCAGGGGAACGAGGCCGACATACAGGGGCAGAAGACACGCGACTGGACGCCCTCGCCAGCTCAACAATCGCCGTCCCCGTCTTGCATTCTTGACGCGCGGAATTAAACCCTGGCGTGCCGACGAGCATGCGACCGGCGCCGCCATGAGCCGGAGCTTCTACGACATCGACCCGGCGGGTGAGGTGCTCTGCACGTACACCAATGGCGGGGAGAAAGAGAAGCTCAAGTCCGTGAGTGACTTGCACCGCGATTCCCCCTGCTCATGTCATTGCTCCCCGCCTCCTTGGCCAACACTTATTTTTATTCGCTCCGAGGTTATTAGCAGGAACCTAATTGACCATCTTTCTACAGGAGAAAACCGAAGTGCCCATCCCCAAGGCAATCCTCTACGCGTTCCTACCCGCCGGTTACCCACATTCCGTAACCGACGACTACCTCCCGTACCAAACCTACGACTCCCTCCAGGCCTTTGCCTCGTCCATCACCTCACTACTCGCTAACCGCGCGGTGCTTGAGGGTCTTGGGGTTGGGGATTCGTCGTCGTCCCCGACCGGCGCCCTGATTCTTAAGATCACAGGCGATACCATCTCGCGCATCGCCACCATCCTCTTTGCCCACCGCATGGGCCAGGCCATCGAGCCCGAGTGCAAGTTCTACCGCTTCCTAGCCGACATCTTCAACGACAGCGCCCAGTTCCTCGATCTCCTCACCCCGGCCCTGCCGTACTTCCCCAAGCTGGGCGTGATCGTTTCCGCGGGGGTGCTGCGTTCGTTGTGCGGCGTGGCGGCGAATGCTAGTAAGGCTAGTCTGTCGGCGCATTTTGCGCTGACGGGGAACCTGGCGGAGCTGAATGCGAAAGAGGCGTCGCAGGAAACCGTCGTCAGCTTGTTGGGGATGCTCGTCGGGTCGTTGGTGGTGAAGATGGTGGAGGACAAGCAGGTGGTGTGGATGCTCATGGTGGTCCTAGCTGGGGTCCACCTGGCAATGAACTACCACGCGGTGCGTGCCGTCAAAATGCGCTCGCTGAACCGCCAGCGTGCCACCCTTGTGTTCCGAGAATGGCTAGACCGTGGGACCGTCCTCACTCCGGAACAAGTGTCGCAGAGGGAAAGCATCCTACGTAAGGGCAGAGGAAATCTGGCGAGTAAGAGCGGGGATTATACGGGCTTTTGCGATTTTGGAACGTATGGGGATCTCATGGGATGGAATCCGAAAGGATACCACCGGTACGATTTTGAGACGAGCACATATTTCATGGGGATATGGCACCGCGGGGGGTATTTTTACATGAGGATCGCGCTCAAGGAGGGGACAAAAAACCCACTCTCTGCTTGGTTCGACGCCGTCAACCATGCTTACCACTTTGACTCGGCACTCAAAGACGGGTTGCAGAGCCATTACGAGAACGAGATGCCGTTGGGTTACGTGTCCGAGGAACAGAAGCAGACGATATTCACGGCCATGACGACTGCCGGTTGGGATCTCGAGGTGAACGCCCTGGAAACGAGGTTACCCGTGAGGGTCCGGGCGAGTGACGGCAAGAAAGGTAAGCTGGTAGTTTTGTTGACCTTAGCCGCTCTATTTGTGTCCGGTACTGATCCATCTAGGCCTCCACCTGCCGGAGAAGGACCCGGCACGCTTTAATAGTCTCTCGGAAGCAAAGCATGACTGATCAAACGGGGATATGATAAGAATAGAGCTGGCATGTTCTCGCGATGCTCCTGTTACAGCGGTTTTAGCTAACGGGCGGCACAAGGCTTTTGGGTAGGGTCGTTGTTGTTTACTTGAGATACCATGCGAATGACGGGAAACTTGGCGGTTTGTTTGTTAAAGACTGTGTTCGGTTGATTCGATGTAATGTTCTCCTTGGGTCTGAAACCCTTTCATGCTCTCGGACTTGAAGTGATGTTCAGGCCGAACTCGGGAGACATCGCACACCTCATCTGGGACACTCCGACAATCCACCGAGTGGTATGGTACATAAATATGTACATGATATTGGTACAAGGAAACCCAGTCAACTCTGCATGGCCCCCTCTCTTTTCACCGTCATGAGAACCCAACAGCCCGCATAGCCCGCATCTTAACGCCCTCCCATGTGTTCAGCTTGGGCCGCACATCTAGATAGAAGTTGAGCTTTCCCTTGCCAGGCCCGTCATTCCGGCCCGAGTAAAAGTCGATGACATATTCCACTTGGGTCCCACACCGGTCGATAACCCAGTCGTGCCGGTCGAAAGGCGCCGTATAGCCGAGCAGCGTGTTGATCCTCGCCTTGGGACTCATGGTTGCGCTGCCCAAGCCGGCGAAGCTGTGCAATTTCGGTCCGCCACAGCCGCCTTTCGCAACGGGCTCCACGTATGGTGCCTCCCACTTGAGGATCTCGGCCCACGCTCGCTCGTTGACGGCGTTGTGGATGGGCACCACCGTCCTCATGTCTGCGGCCGCCGCCTCGTGACCCTTGCGCTTCATGGCTTCAAAGAATTGTTTCTCGGAGGGGTATACCCAATGGCCAGTCGACGAGGCCCCGGTCTCTTGTTCATCGTTGGCGGGACATGCGGCTGGGCCGGGGTCGGAGGTGCGGGGGATGCTCGAGATTTCGCGGGATTCGTCGAGGCGTGATTGTGGGCGCGGCGGTTGCTGGGCCGTTGACGGAGCTTCGGATTGCGGTTGTCGCGAGAAAGAGGGCAGGCGAAGCCATGACGACCAGGAAGAAGCAGGTTGTCGGGATGGTATTGTGCTTGTTGTTTGCAGATTTTGTGGTGCTGAGGGTGTTGCCGCCTGTGATGCTCGCTCTCTCTGAGCTTGCTGTAACCACAACTCGCGAGTTTTGTGGTCGACGGGACATTTTGCTTCCTCATCCGCCTCGCTCGCCACGCCCGAGACCTCGTGCCCCCGACCTTTCATCGCCGTCGCTGCCCCTCGCGGTTCGGCTGCCTTGGGGCCAATGTTGTTTTCTTGCACCGTCGCGTTCTTAGGGTTGACTAGAACGGTGTCGAGCAGGTCCGTGTACATTATGCACTCATGCTCGGGTCAATCCTTTTCGTTATCAATTGTCAAGCCGCTGACAACACCGAACTAGGTGAAGCTGGTGCAAAGAGAGACGCTCAGACGCCGAAGTTGAAGCCTGGTTATTGAGGCCCCAGCTGTCGCCACCTGCCCACATGATTACCTATGGCGGGGTTCCAATGAAGCAAATGTGAGAGAGCAACCGCACGTTTCATGCCTGCCTGGAGCGACCGCGAAACTTCAGTTACTCAAGTGTCGCTATAACCAAACACTGATGTACATACATATTTCCGAGTATCGAAGGTAAAACTCTATAACTTCGTGAACTGCTGGTTCTCGTCCAACACTGCCGTCCATGATGCCATCCGACGTCGAGCAGAAAGTATCATAGAATCCAGCTCTGCCTAAGCTCCAAATGCGAACTCGACCTCTCCATTGTAGGCAGTTACCTTAGTTGCACTCATATGCATGGAAATCAGGGCCGCCATCGAGTTCGCGCGGCGGGTCTACAGCGGCTATATCACACCTTGACCCCAGTTTCGTTGAAACGTAGCGTCAAGGGCAGCGGAATTGGCTAGGAAGGGTGGTGAAGCCATTTGGCATTTTTTATCCCGATCTATACTGGCTCTTGGATGTTTGCCGCAGAGACCGAGTTCTTAACTAAAAGCCCGCGCGTGATAACTTGCTCCGGCAGGTTTCCACGTCCCTTTTCGTCCCGCGTTCCATTCCTCATGTACATCCATAAGAGGGTGCGTGGCATCAGACGTCCACAGTCCCGCATACTACAAAGGAAACATCGCTTTCCGTATCATATCCCAAAACCGATACCAAGTCTCCGGCAGCAGTCTCTCGACCAACTCGCCTACGTGCTTGTGTGCTTGCACTCTCATCCGTTGCGCCTGGTGGCAAACCCTTTGCCCTAACGCACACCGTGCCGTGTGTTCTGTGGCGACCGAGACCGGCCATGAAATGCCCGAACCGCTATATTCCGAGGCAGACCTCGCGGGGGTTGTTCCCCGCTAATCGCCAGGTCCATTGGGAAAAAAGTAGGTTGTAAGATGCACATGTCGCTCAAACAAAGAGCGCCGCGCCGCCGGTCTCAATCGCTTCAATCTCGGCCGCGGTTAGGGGTTGTCGGTGGAAGCGGGTGGGAAGGTCGTTGCGGTCGAAGAAGACGCCCTTCGGAGGGGTGACCGGGCCAAGATGGGACCCAGCAGCGCCACCAATGCCAGCGTCAGCCTTGATGGTCTTGCGGAGAGGTCCAAATTGTTGGGCGTGGTCGCGGTAGGCGCTAAAAGTAGAGTGGGCAGACTTGGTGAAGGAATCCGGAAGGGAATTGGTTGGTGATGCAGGATGGGGTTGGGGAGAGTGGTCCACGGATGCTACGGCAATGCCCACGTTAGTCTTTTCGTTTTGAAGCGAAGGCGATGCCCTCAGCAGACACATCGGACATACCGGGAATGGTGCGCTTGCCGATAAACCGGATGGAAGGAGTGCGCTCGGCATGCGCAACTGCCTGGCGAAGAACCTTGGTGGTGAACATCGTCTTGATTGGTTTCACCGGGCTGGGTTGCGGGTGCGGGCTCGAAGGTGGTGCACGGCAGAGTGCGGCGGATTTCCGGGGCTTAAGGAATTTTGATCTCCTCGCGACGACAGCTGTCCTACGCGTGGTCTTGGGCGCGGCTGGGCAGGTCTGATGGCGATGGGCAAGAACAACGATGTAGGACAGGTCGAGGGAGGAGAATTGGCAGGCGTGAGGGTTGCTAAGTCAGAAAAGCCGGATGTCGGGTCGAGATCAAGGCCTTTTTGGGGGGGTGGTTTTTCGCATTTCACAAGCTCCGAAAGCCACCATCGACCCATGTCTTGGACTTGGCCAATGGGATGGTGGGACCTTGCTTGGCCCCCGAACGCCGGAGCGCCCATTGCAACGCCATCCCACCATCCTGGCCCCGAGTCTGGCCACTTGGTAACGGTTCAAGTTTCCACGAAAGTGGCGAGGAACGAAAAGAAAGAAATACATGCAAGGAATGGGGTGGAAATCATCGCAGTTTCTCTTTACGCAGAATGCTGTTTTGTTATCTACATACGTTACAATCAGTTTTCTTCTCCTTTTCTCTCTTTATGTTCCTTGGATGGGAGCTGGTCTGGCGTGTTCGCATTTTCGCCTCCCCACCTTCCGAGGCCAACCGTCCCGATTCTTCCCGTCGTTGAGCATCAACAGCCGATCACTTGAGATGTTGACGAATTTGTCAACGACCAACACACGTCTTACCCTTTGCTTTTTGGTTGGCTTGCAGCCTGTTAGTTTAGCATTGGGGAGATCGAAATGCTCAACGTGTTTCTTCCTAATCGATTTTGCCCTACTCAGGTTTCCCATGCGCCGTTTCCGGAACTCGGCCCATAACTGGACCCACCCTTATCTTTTTATCCCCCGCGCTTGCTTGGGGCGTACATAATTTCGTTGACTCGCAATTGACCTCGGCGGCCTTCCCCGCATTTGTCTGCGCGCATGCCGCATGTGGCCTGCCTCTGCTTGCATGCTCCCGCTGTCCCGTTCCCTGTCACGTGGCTCCGTAACCTCCAACTCCAATACTGGCCGCTGATGTGATTTCCGCGGCCGCTGACATCAATGTGCGGTGCCGAAGACAACACACCGCCCCTCAGGTGCATACACGACCCGGGCGTGCCGAGGCGCGACTCGCCTTTCACGCCTTATCGGTCGAGGTAGGCAACAAGTCAGTCACTGCCAATGTAAATTCGAATGAGGGACCGGACCCAACGTGCAGGCCATCGCTTATGTGAAATACCTATTACTTCATTACTTCGTGTCATACCTACAGTTCAGCTTCTGCTGCATAGAGACAGAACAACCCCCATGCAACCCGACTTGTTCCCCGGTACCAACCTTCACCCTCACGAGTGCCTGGTAATATCAAGTCGCAACAAAACGATTCAAGGTTATATGGTCTAAATCTTAGGCGGACCTGGACGATTGCACACGGCATATACAGACCCTTTCGGGCGAGTAAACTTTATTACCTAGGTACATATACCAAAGGTCTGGTAGGCCTGGCGCCAACATCCTCGCTCTTACTTAACCCGGTCATCGTTCCAAGCCCTGAATGTCAGTCGAGACCCCTGCCTCAACAACATGAGATCGTCTGCATAGGTTGGTATTTATTTTCAAGAAACAGCGATGCCGAAGAGTGGCTTGGTGGCACCCGCCACATTCAAGTCCGCCAAAACTCAACATATCACGGGCTGCATAAATAGTCCACATGCAGCATTCTAACCACGCTGCAAACTGCGACTGGTTTTTATTTCATTTCTGATTCATTCATGTTACTCGCGTTGAGACGCAACAAATCCCAATGCTATTTCTGGATTAAATACCCTCTTATCCCGGTTGTCCTGATCAATCTAGATATCTTGAGCTTTGAGACACTCAGACTAGATGCAGTGCGATTTAAGTCCGGGACTTAAGTCACAACCACGGCCTTTCCACTTCGGCAGGTGAGCGGCGTCTGTTTGGAGAGATACCCGCCTATACGTAGGTGCCCGATTGGCCCGCCGTCGCCGTGGTGGTGGTCGGAGCTGCTCCCGAACCGTTGCCAACCGCTCCTCGACCCGGTGCGGGGCCTCCAATTTGTGCCGTTGGCGGGGCTCCCGTTGTTCTGGGACTGGAATGTTAATCTTCTTATGAATGACACTGTTTGGACTTTACTTACGTCGTGGTCGCGGCGTGGCGGTCTCCTTTTTTCTTGGTCCACCACCGAGACACGACGTAAGCTCCCTGTTGATGATAGGGTCAGGGACGCAGCTCTTAGCTTCGGTCGATAGTGAAACTCACCAAGCATGCGCTGACTAGAAATGCAAACATGGCCATAAAGGAAAATGCCAAAACCGTTCGCCAATGGCCGCATCCGGTGTACGCGATATCAGCTGGCCCGTTGATGATGGAGAATGGGTTTCTCCACCATCCTCCCCAATAGTACCCCCAATAGTTCCAAAACCAGGGCGAGCTGCATGTGCTGGTACCAGTTCGCTAGGCAAACGTTAGTATCGAGGTCGGCTGATGTTAATACGGGAAGCTAACCGTGATCAAAAGGCAGAAGAGCACTAGCCACATAATGAAGAGGGCGAAGTCAACCGGGAACGGCAAGAAAGAATATAAGAAAGGGGCGATGAAGACGATCGCAAAGAGGATGCTAATGGATGCGATTACGACGCCGTATATTACCCTGCCATCCCTGGTTGCACCGGCTTCGGAGAGAACGCGTAGGAAACGAGCGAGGATTCCAACCACGATGATGGAGCAGATGAGCTGCCAGATACGCAGGGCCATTAGGGCTATCCTCGACGCGGCGCCCATTATTGACAATCGTTGGCGTTTCTGTTCTTCTTTTATGGTTTGCGGGCCTTTGGGTTGAATGTTATCGAAGTGAGTTGCAACCGGGGACAGGATGTTTCGACATCTAGAACCAAGAGAGTCGGTCCAGAGTGTCGAGTCTCTTTTAAACTCCATCTATCTTGCTTTGTTTTCCCCGCGGGCCGAATTAATGGTAATGCCAACCCAAATGAGCTCATCAAATGCACTACGCCGCTTTTCTTCATTGTCATTTCTTAGGACTCACTTAAAACGACGAAGTCCAGAACGGCCGTATTGTAGAAGGCCTCGAATCCCCGAACCAGCCTCATAGAGGACAGGGCAAGTAATTGACTGGCCGGCACCGCAAGCGGCCGCCGATTCATCACATTAAAACCCTTCCATCCGTTGAAGTTTCAGTCGTGCATTCGGGGCCTAGCTAATAATGTACTGAGGCCTTTGAGAAATAAAAGCATCGACTCCATTTTCAGATGGTCTAGGTAGCACATCTTCAAAGTTGCGAGCTTCCTTATCAGCCCGCCCATATGGCTCCCCGGACAAGTACATTGGACAAGATTGAATCTAGATCCATCTAGACCAACCTAAGTCTTCCGATCCCATTACTGGCCGGTCCCGGTCGGAGCTGATGGGGGAGGCCCTCCGAACCCGGGGTTGTATGCTGTTGGAAAGCCACCCGGGAAAATCCTGTCCAAGCCTGGAATCTTCGGGTTGGTAGTTACCATTTTGCCGCCGTCCTTGAACCTCATCGCCGCAGCCATGATGTCGCGGGTAAAGGTGGTGTTCACACCGAAGCTGAACCATGCAAATATGCCGTCCTTTTGCAGATCCTCTCCTAACAGCACATAGTGAAAAAAGGGATCAGAGGTTGCAGCCTCCTGCAGTAGAATATTGTCTGCAGCGTTCTGCATCAGATTCTGTCGGTTCGTGGAATACGGCGCAACCTGCTTGACACTGTTGACGAGATCCTGATCAAAGAATACCTGGCCAACGTGTGTGACACGGGAATCCCAGAGAGTGTTGTTTGCCCGAGCCGTGGCATTGAGATGACTGATGACGTGAATATGCGGTGCGCGTCCCTCATAGTGACCCGGGAAAATGGTTTGAAACTGGGCCACGCCATCTTCGTCTGTCTTTTGCGACCCCCTGAGGAAGCTTCGGTTGAGGTTGGCCAAATCGGACATGCCGATACCGTTCACAGTGGCGAGAGCTCCGGAATAGACTCCGGTCGAATTGGCATCTACACATCGAGTTTGTAAGTAATGGACTTCCAACTGCCCATGGATTCGACTCACTCCACATTTCAATGAACGAGCCTTCTATCGGCTCGCACGTGTCAACGTCGATAAGCTGAATGTCGAGATGGAGTGGAACTCCTTGTTGCCCATCGACGAGTTCGCTCCGAACATCTTGACCAAGAACGACTGAGGCGGCACGAGTCAGCCACTAGATACCTAGGTGACCGCACGATGACTAAGGTTTGATCAAGCCCGACTCACAAAAGGGGCCTTCGGTTGTTTCGGGATTCAGAACGCAAGAGTTATTCCCCGCAAACACCTCCTTGGGGTCAGTGGAAGCGTCAAAGTCTTTGTCAGACTTGTGTGGTTTTCCAAGTGACGAAGTTTGCCTTGCTGCCGAACAGTATTAGTCTTCCGTCCTTGTCCCCATCCTGCTTTCTACAATTGATAATACAAGGTTACTTACCTTTTAGGGCACGGAGAGACGACGGCGCCATCAACGAGCGAGCTCGAAGCTCGCGCCTCTGGATCGCACGCTGATAAAGACCTTCAGCAACATGCTTGTTTGAGCAGTGGCCTAGAGAATTGGTGTGTATATCAAGAAATTGTCGACGCTCGGCTCTTTCACGGGCATGATCGTGACCTGGCCCATGCGCTGACACCAAGCCGCCAGCTATGAACAGGCTTGCGAGAGCAAATGCGAGCATTGTAATTTGTAATGTTTAGCGTATAGCACGGAAATGTAGGAGGATAGCGAGCCCTGGGATAGGGGTAACTTGATGCTGAAGCGGTGTCTTTATATTACCTCCCACCGACATTACGACAGCTCTACGTTCCACGCTCAGTTCGGATAAACTGTAAACAAGGAGAGCGATGCCCCTCATCTACTTGTGGTGGATTCATCAACAGAAGGTTGAAGCCACTGCCCATCGACATGGTCCCGAATACGCGCGCCAATGTCATACGACGGAGCACATCTCGGTCCAGGTCAATGATTTAGTTCCGCTTGTGCAAATACCCGTTGCGCAATCTGATGTTTCCAGGGTAGGATATTGTTGCTGCATTCAAGCGGCGAGGCTCGGGCAACAGAGGAGGCATGCGGTTTCCAGGTTGTCGGGTATGTGCCTCCACTACCCGCCGGAGACGCAATGTGAGAGCAGCCTCCATCCCACGCCGCGGCAACCCACTGCCCATTCTCGATTCTCCAGACGGCCTCAGTTAGATTGCGAGCGACAGGCAAAATGCACACCGGAGACACGGAAACCCCGGAAGTTATGTTTGGTGGTTACCGACATTCGCAAATTCCGGTATAGATCCGGTTGGTGTTGGGCGTAACGGGCTGGGGCTTTTATGGGACCTACGGCCCGAGGGAGATAGGCTCCCAAATACGATCTTCATAACTTACGGTTCACTTAGCAAGGTAAGGAATATCACACAATGATCATTTGGGTCCAGATGTATAGCACAACTGCATTTGCTTTGAGAATAGGCAGTTAGGCAAGGAAAGCAAGTCCTAGTTCATTTGTAACTCGTGACTCGTGTTCTCTTCCGCGCCGCTCAGACATACTCGTAGCACAGGTATCCGCCCTTGATATCCATCACATCCGCGACAGTAGCATTGGGGATAATACCTAGGGAAGACATGACATGGTCCAATGTCACATACTTCCCGCCCTTATCGCCACTCGCAGGGTCCGGTGTGACGGCCAAGATTGCAGACGACGGCTTTCCCCACATGGAAGACTCTTGCTCCATCCCTCCAGGGAACTCCGAGAAGCCTACCTCTGGGTCCTGCGCGTTTAGCCCGCCGATGTCTTTGTGCCGCTTTTTGGGATCTTCCGCCTGCCAGTTTGCCCACATTTTGTCAACGAATCCGTGGTGCATGAAGAACAAGGGGTCGCCGGATGAGGTGATCGAATTGCCGTCCTAAACGCGACCCAGATGGTTAATAATGAGAGAAAACATCAACAGGAAAAAGAAAACCAAGGACCTACCATCATTGCTAGTGCCATATGTCCCAAAAGATGAGGGCCGGAGTAGATGCCATCCAGGGCAGTCTCGTAGGTCGTATGGTTGAGCGCAGCGGCGACATACGACGTCCCACATTGAGAACTGAAGAAATCTGTGATCCTACGGTTGACGCATCGGGGCTCTGACCTAAACCCTGGTCCGATGTTCACCGTGAGGTTTGCAAAGGGGCCGTTGGGGACGCAGGGGTTCGCCGCCGTGCCACCTGCTCCAAACCCGGTAACAGGATCAAATATAGTACTTGCGGAGAATTTTCCGGCGTCGCGAGTTTCGTCCCAGTAGCTATTTCATCTGTTAGTAAACCTCCGATGTTTCGACACTAATGAGGGCTGGTTACGGAATGGCACCCGTGTATCCACACTCCTGCAGCAGGAATTCCAGAGTCTTCAAATAGTATCTGTGATACGGCAGGAATTGGCCCGTGGTGTGGATTTGCAGGGCGTGAATCTGGTGAAGGGAGACCAGCTCATCCCATCTGGTCTTGGCACCAGGAAGGCGGTTGAGCTTCTGGGGCGAAGTCAAAATACAGCGGTTGGCGGCGAGATAAGCCTTCTTGTCGGCGTCACTTATGTCGTGCCTATGTATATGTTTAGTATCACTGAATTCCACCGCCAGAACTTACGTGGCAGGTCAGGTCGGACTTACCAAGAGCGTCTCTGTTGTGGTGCTGTGCATTTGGGGTGTTCGGCATGCTTGGCTGGGAGTGCCGTAACAACGGCGGCACCCGCTATGGAGAAGACGACCGAAGCAAATAACATGATTAGTGTTAAGCCGTCACGGATGGTTGCCTGGAAACGGGAGCTGTCGTCGTTTTTTGCGAGGGGGGCCACGACTTAAGAAGACTTCTCTGTACTTATCTGTATCCCTGGCCTTGAAAAAATTCTGTGACAATTGGTACGTGGCGCGCTGACAGCTGCAATGCAACTCTGTCAATGAAGCTGCGGTACTTGTGTTTGGATCGGGATAAGCGATAGGATAGGCTGAATTGGCTCTAACTAGGCGCTCACCTTGTGCTTACCAGGTTTGCTGTCGACGCGTGGTTGCAGAATTCACCCGGATGCGTGCTGTCTTTCACCCGCGCCAATGGCAAAAGCAGGAGGCAGGTTCAGCGAACTCAGCTCGTTGTGTTCCGATGTCTCGGGAGTTGGGGGAGGTTGCTGCCCGCAACTATAATTAGAAAGAAGGCTGAAGAAGCATGAGAGACCAACCATGCACTTCGGTCAAGCAGCCGGGATACCCGGCACGAGGCAGAACGGAAGACTTTTCGCATCTCGGGTTGCTCTGGCGCTCGACAAGCAACATACCCGGAAGCCGTCTTCATTGCAGTGATATAAACTGAATTATGTTTTTACCTTTTCGGGCCGAGTCAAGTAGTAACCTATCTATTCTAACGGGGTACGAACCAACTTGGTAACAGTTGTTCCATCTTGAAGGGTGCTAGTTACCTCCTCAAGCCGATATTTTTGTAACCGGGGCAACAATATTGTTAATAATGCCCAATACACAACACCAAACACGAGACTGTTATTCTAGTTAGGGAGCTTCTTTGTACCCGAGGAGGCGAGAAGGGAAGAGCAGGACTTACACAGACATCCCTACCAACGCGTAGCTAACTCTGGATATATGCGAACTCCAGTCTTCTCCATTGTAGGGAATAAACGGAGCACACAGCAGAGCAGTGGATAAAAGGACGTTAAACCAAGCAGCCGGCAAAAATGCTCGGTACGGACGCTTGAGATCCGGGCGAGTCCACCGCAGCCGAATTAGTCCGAGGGAAACAAAGAGGGAAAAGAACTGGCCCGGATAGCCCTCCACCTCGAGAATGAATGAGTAGATCTGTTTATAGGGGATGCATATAACAACAACAGAAGGGATGTAGTGCAGGACCAGACCACCAAGCGGGGATCCAAATGGACGCGTGGAAGATAATAGCTCGCCGAAAGGGAGGAGACCTTGGCGTGCAATTTCTTGGTTTAGACGTGCCTGTCGAGCTTGTTGTTAGCTTTGCCCCTCAACAGCTGGGTGTGGGCATACCAAAGCAAATGTAACGACCATAACGTTGCCTGCTGCTGAGACTGCGATGGCCAAGGGAAGCAGGAGCTTCCCTAAAGTTTCACCAAATACCCTCTCGAAAAATAATGCACCGACCAACTCCCCGCTTTCCTTGATCTCATCTAGCGGGATGACCAGGAAGTAAGCTACGTTTATGAGGAGGTAAAGCAAGCAGATCGTAACCAGCGCCGTCGGAGCCGCAGATCGAAGCGTTCTCACAGGATCGCGCACCTCGTTCAAGACGTTGTTGACATTCTGCAGACCGGCATAGCTGTAAAACACTTTGAATAGCGCGGTGCTGATAACACCCCAGTTCCAGACAGAGCCTTCCCAGAGACCATTCCAAGTTGAGGGAAAGGAGTGTACATGAAGCTCGCGGCTGGCTGAGGCTGGTTCGCTCGGCGTGTATCGTGTTATAACAACGGCGCCTGCGCAGACCGTCATGAAAATCACCAAGCCGATCTTGACCCAGCCCAACATGTTTTGTACCACAACGCCTGTCCGCATGGAGCATGCATGGAGGACAGTAATGCCGGTCATGAGACCGAGAGCCAGAAGCCTAACTTGAACTGGGTGTTCAGCTGGGGCTTTTGCAAGGGCGAAGAGAAGGTATTCCCCAAACACGATGCAATTGCTGGCGGTAAATCCGAGAACAATGGCGTGCACAGTAACGAGAGTCGAGGCAAGAAAACGCGGGCGGCGATAGGTGAATTCGAGATAGACCTTCTGGCCCCCAGAGCGCGGAAGCATGCAGCCGTATTCCAGCGCAACCATCAGGCCGAACCAACTGATGATGGCCCCGGCAATCCAGAGAAGAAGGCTCAGGCCAATACTCCCGACGGATCTGACAATGGCGCCGGGAGTTGCAAAGATACCGCTTCCGATAACCCGTGAGATGATGAGGATGTATGCGCTGCTCCATCCCAAATTGCGTCCAAGAACCGCCGTCTCCGGCACAACGTCGTCCTCTAGTGACCGTGCACCGACATCTCCAGAATGGAGTGGCTTTGTCAAGGTGAAATCGGCATTGTAATGAGGGCTTGAGGGTTCTCGGAGACTCGATGTGTTGCCGAGCAGGGGTGTTTCCGCATCCGGTTCGGTGGAATCCATTGTTGCCGGCGAGAGTGGAATCTTGAATGGCCGCGGTCGAGCTGAAGTGTAAAAACAAGAGTACAATCAAGAATTTGTGTTGTTCTACGGTCCCGAGGCCAAGATGAGGGCCAAGTAGTATATGGGGAATCAAACCTTGTTATTGACTATGCTCCCTCGTCTCGGGGTCTTGACAATGGTCGTTCGATAATCAGAAAAGGGATACATTTGTCAGGCTAGGAGTGAGGAGCATGGGAACCGGAAGCTTCGGGAGACATTGTGAAACACAAATGCCATGTTTCGTGTCGCGTGTATAAGACGCGAGATGGCGTGCTTAAGACTGCGACCAAGCAGTTGGCCTGTGCCACATCCACCCCTGAAGCCAGCGTCGGAAGACTTTGAGCAAGGCAAAGTGCAGCATAATAAAAGTCATCTGAAGGCTCAGTGATAACAAGGAAAGTGGTGGTTTAATACTCTGATAAGGCCGCTTCGCATTGCGGTGTATAGATTCTAGAAACTACCTAGGTAGTGTTTGTATGTACGAGGCAATCTCAATAATAACGCTAAGTGATGAAGTAACTGGGAAAAATTCATAAGCGTGGAAATGTCGTTCAAGACTCTAAGAGACCAACCTAGTCCTCGGATATGTCGTGTCAAACGCCTCAACTGTGCCCAAGAACTTGGCTTTTAGAAAGGAATCCCACATCAGAACGGCACCATTGTCGGTGCGCTCACAGATGTAACCTGGAATTGATATCGAGTTCAATGTGCGTCCAAAATTGCAATCCACTCGGCTCATTTACTTCTCGAAGAAAAGGCACCAAAGGTCTACACCTCAATCCCATATCCAGCTTATGGCTTTTACCCAACCCCTCTCCTTGTCCGGGATTTGCTCCGGGTAGTACTCATCTGCTCTCGCAAGAGCATCCTCGAGCGGTATCTCGTCTAAAGATACAATTTTCGTTTTCCGGAAAACTTTCCAAAATACGTAGGCTGTAAGAACAATGGGGATGTCCCTATGTCGATAGTGTCAGAACAGAATACACGGCTGCGACCAAGGACTGTGAAGAATCCGACTTACAAGTACGACGACACAAACTGGGCAGGATCCCAATTTCCTGTGGTAAAGACGGTGAACCCGCCAGTTAGAAGAATGAGGATGCACATGAACAATCCAGCTGGTGAGGAATATCCTGCGAAAGGTTAGCTCATCGCTCGCCTCGGTAAAGGATAGAATACTTGCTTGTCCACCAATTATGCCACGGTAGCCTATTCGCATCGATGCCTTGTGTCTTTAAAGCCTGTATCAAACGGATGTGATTGAGTAGGATCGACGACCATGAAACCAGGACTCCCGCAGCTGTTAGCGAGACCAACCACCAGAAGACAGTAATGGCGGCCTCGGATAGGCTCATGAAGCTGAGAAACATGAAGGCCGCAAACAGCAGTACGCACATATAGGGCGCGCCCCACGGTGTCGTTTTCAGAAAGATGCTGGGCGCCTGTCCCTTGACCGCTAGGCCATATAAAACTCGAGTGCCTGCGAGTAGTGCTTGGTTTGATGCCGACCAGGCCGAGGTAATCACGACGGCGTTGACCACAGACGGGATGGCAGATATGCCCGCTTGCGAGGCGGCAATGACAAACGGGCTTTGAGCGACGCTGCTGCCGGAACCGTCGAGACGCGTATCGTTGCTCCGGACCAGCATCCCCACCACGAGGACGGCCAACATATAGAAGATGATGATGCGCGCAAAGACACGTTTGCAGGCGCGCGGTATGGCCTCGCGTGGGTTTTGTGTCTCGGCAGCTGCCATAGCCAGCGACTCGACTCCCGCGAACGAAAACACGGCGCCGGTCATGACAGCCCAGAACCCTAGAAACCTCCCCCAATCCCCGGTGGCAATATGCTCAACAAACGGCCCAGGATCTCTCCAGTATCTGAAGCCGATCCGCTCGGTTCCAGGAATGCCCCCAAGATTAATCACCAACCCCAGTATAATCAGGAATACCACCAGCAAAATCTTGAGCATGGCAAATACAAACTCCACCTCTCCGAACACCCTGACAAACGCCAACCCCACCCCAATCGTCAACACCATGAACACCACGATGATCCACGCCGCACTCACGTCCTCCCACCAGAACCGGACCAACACGACCACCGCTGTTGCCTCGCTGGGGATGCTCAGCAGATTCCCATACACCAAGTTCCAACCGATCGCGAAACCCCACGCGGGGTCGACTAGGGCCTCAGCGTGGCGCACAAAGGACCCGGTGACAGGCATCAGCGCGGCGACTTCGCCGAGGGCGAATTGGACGGCGCAGACTACGAAGCCTACGACGGCGTAGCCAAGCAGCGCGCCGAGCGGGCCGCCGCGTTGCACGGCGCCGCCGAGGCCGAGAAATAGGCCTGTGCCAATGGAGCCGGCGATGCCGAGCATGGAAAGGTGGCGCTGAGCGAGGCCGCGGCGAAGATGCGTCGCCTCGACGGCAGTGGGGGCGATGTCATCGTGTTCTGCTTGCGTATCGTTGAGGTGAGGGGCGGTCCCGGCCGTGTGGTGAATTGTCGGGTTGATAGTAGTGTAGTTCAGCGGAGGGGCGGTTTTAAGGTATGTTGATGGGGTGGATAATGGTGAGGCGGCTGGAGCTTCGACATCGTAGTTCGGGCCGGTGCGCGTGGCGCCGTCCCCGAGCTCGGGAGGGATGATATTTTTAGAGGCAACCATTGCTCTGGGTCTGGGTGTAAACGAACTGGCTTCCTCTGTTGGGTTCGATCCCTTCAATCAATGGGACAATGGAAATGGGACTCGGATGTGGTAGAAATTATTTCCACCATCGCAGCAGACCGAAATTGAGGAAAACGTAAAAGCCCCCGTTGACGCAAGAGCGAGTCCGAATTTCGTGTGGGTTGAGACCCACGTATGGATGGATGGATGGATGGATGGATGGATGGATGGATGGATGGAATTTATTTCGCCCGGAGGCACTGGGCCTATAGGGCCTTAGCACGCTAACTACATCCGGATCAAATCGGTTTGCCTTCAACTCGTACAAGCCCCCTACTTCTTCCCTCTTTCTCGCTGCACCATTTACCTCTTGCCTTGGTTGTTGTTAGCAGATCAGCTTGGAGGCTACTTTCTCCAAGTGTTCAGCGTCCTATCTTCAGCAGCTAAAGCGGGACCTGCTGGTTAAGGCTCGTGGTTGAGGCTCGTGGTGTTGAGTGTCGGCTTCTTCTACTGTGACTGGTCTAGACTCTCCTCCTCATTCAGCTCCAGCCTTCCTGTTGCCATTGCGTATTTGATCGTCGCCCGGACTGCCTTCATATCTGGTGACCAATGCCTTGTATCTGATGGCGCTTTCCCTCCCAGATAGAACGAGAGGCTTCCTCGTCTTGCCACTGTGCATTGCAGCATGTCTTCCCTCAGAGCTGTCCATCTCACGCATCGGAAAAGAAAGTGTTCCACTGATTCCCTCGCTTGTCCACAGGCACAAAGGTCTGACTCGACCGCCCCAATCCTGCTCAAAAAACCGTTCAGTCTCACCATTCTGGTTGGGAGCTGCGCCAATACGCAGGCCTCCCTTCGCTTCAGCTTGTCATAGAGATGGCGCGTGTGCTTGCCTGGTAGTGCTGCGTCCATGGCCTTTGAGAACTTGCCCACGCTTACAGGTAGAACTCTTGTCGCCCGTTGTCTTTCCATTGCCAGCCTCATCGCGGTAGACTTGGCCTGGGGTATTTGGGAGTCGGGTGTGCGTCCTTGCTTCGACGCTCTCTGGGCTGCTGCCTTGGCATCTGACCCCAGCGCGAAGTCAATCTCCGCTGGTATCCACAGAAAGTTGACCGAGTTCCCTCTTTGTCGGTGTAGCCTGGCCAAGTCGTAGATTTGCCGTATGATGCTTTGGCCGGATTGCTGCCGCGGCTGTCCAACTGCTGCCAGCGCTGACTGGTTCCTAGTGATCAAGCCAAAGCATGCGGGCAGGGCACATGTGACTAGTCACGTGAGCTGGCGCGGCCGGCGTGGCGCAAAGAAAGCAGGCGGAAAAGCCGGAATATGTACCGCTCAGGGCGGTGGTGGCTGGGGCGTGCTTCAGGCTGGCTCGAAAGGGTACTACTACTACTACTGTACCAATACCCAGACGTATCAGCTCCCTGATACATCATTTGTGGGGCCGGCCCCTCCGCTCGCTCCCCGTTCCCCGCTCCTGCTCCTGATCCTGCTCCTGATACACCATTTGTGGGGACCCGTCCCGATTTATGGGGCCACCCAAGCCCGCCCACCCCCCCTCCCCCCCCGGCCCCCCCCCTGCCCCCCTCCCCTGATACACGAAAAAGTCCGGCCCGTGCGCTGTCCCGCAGCAGCTTTACTACATACATACATACCTACTTGCTCCTGAAAACAAATCGGTCCCCGGGGCCGGGGCCCTCGCTAACTATCTACTCGTCGAACACTCTCCTCCTCTCTCTTGAAAGAAAAGACATCTGAACTCACACACAAACCGGCCGTCGGACCCCTGTGGCTCGAATGACGCGCGGCGCGCTATGGACGAAGGAGAGCTTCTGCGTTTGTTGCAACTCGTTATTGACCCCGTGGCCCAGGTCCTCGTCTGCGCCCGTCCGGAATGTCTCGTCGGCCTTTCCCCAAGGGCCGAGCAGGTGAGCAACCACCTCAAGCGGAAACACGATGTACCAAACGACCTGCGGAGCCGTCTCACACGCCTGCTGCGGTGCCTCTCCGCCCAGATCGGTCCCGACCGGATCCGTATCTACGGAAGCTCGAAGGCTTCGCCTGCAAGGCCTGCGAGTACCGGACGATCAGCAAACAAAACACATCTCGTCATGTTGCCAATCGTCATAGGCGGGCGGGGGAACCGCCGGGGGCCAGACCGCTTGCCACGTTCCTGCCCGTGTACCTGCAAGCCTGGATACGCAACCCTCCGGAGGGGCGGTACTGGGTGGTCTGCGAGGACGGCAACGAGACGCGTCCGGTAGAGGACCAGGAGGCCTTTCATCACCTGGGGGAGCTGTACCGTCGAGCACGGCAGCACAACCAGAGCATCGCAGACGAGAGGGCGATGGCCGCGCTCAATGCGAAACCGGCCTACCCGGAGCTCCGCCCCTGGCTTGAGCGGACGGGATGGGAGGTTACCTACCGGAGCGCCCATCGTGTGCTCCTGAGGTCCCTCGCGGAGATGCCGTCGAGGCTCCCTTCCGCCGCACAACCTCTGCTGCTTGGGCGGGCTGGGACCGGAGACGGCCGGGCGCGGCTGGACCGGGATGTCGTGATCTCGGCCGACGACGAGCAGAAGACCGCGGTCCTCTGCATCCCCCCAGATGAGTGTCATGGAACGGTGTGAACACACCGCTCGGTCAACAAGCAGGAACCTGCTCTGCTGGCTCCGGAGCCTGCGACCGAATGCGACGTACTCGAAGCCTTTTGCCTTTTGCCTTTGTCATCCGGACCATCCAGCAGGATGAAATATTACGCGCTTCTCAAGCGCTTTCTGGCCATGGTGTTCCGCGCCTCTCGCATGCCAGTAGAGGTCCGTAGGAGGGCGGCGGGGATCCGGTTCAAAAAAGCGCAACTGGATCTCATCGAGGCCATCTGGAACCACGAGGCGTGGGAGCGACATGATGCCCTTACCCCCGGGCTACTGGGGGCGGCAGGCACAGAGACCTGGGATGTCGCGTGCAGCCCAGGACCCCGTCGGTCGTGGCGATGGCGACCGGGTGGAGCTTTCCGAGGACGACGATCTTTCGGACGCAGAGACGATTTACGAGGATGACGGGGAGGAATATGCGGTGGACGGTGGCGACGAATGCGACGGTGACGGCGAATGCGACGGTGACGACGAATGCGAAGACGGCGAGGGCGGCGAGGGCGGTGAGGGCGGCGAGGGCGGCGAGGGCGGCGAGGGCGGCGAGGGCGGCGAGGATAATGGCAGAGACGGAGAAGTGGAAGCGGAAGCAGCTAGGACGCCAACCGGATATGGGCTTGGGGTCGGAACTCAGGCAGCCGAGGTGCTCGAGTTGCTTTTCGGACTCCTCTTGGAATTCTGCAAGGAGGAGGTCACCGACGGCCGGCCAGCGTCGACCCTGCTCGTTTACTTCAGCGGGATCCTCGGGTTCTCGCCGGACTGCAACAGCTTCCTACTGGCAAAGTCGTATACGTCACACCTTGCCGGGTTGATTTACGTTCAACGCCTGCTATTCCTCGAGTATGCCCTGCCCGCCAGGGAGTATCCCCTTCTCGCCATACCCCAGCGCCCACGCAGGGATCAGGTCGCCAAGCTCCAGGCCGTCAGGCAGAGATATGCCGTGCTGGGCGCGCAGTCTCCCTTCGAAGAGCTCGTCTCTCTCATGGCCTACGGAAGGGCGACGGCGGCCTCGGATCCGCCTTCGTTCCTTCTCCGGTGGAGCGACGACGGCCAGTCCGTCGCATACAATGATCGCCTGACCATTACAATGGCCCAGTTCCGAGCCTTTGTGGACGTGGTCCTCGACGAGGCTGAGAGGCTGTGCGATGAGCTCATGTACCGGTGGAAGCCCGACGTGGATCTGGGGCTGATCAAGGATAGCCTGACGAACAGGCAGCACGGCTATTCCTTCGTGGCGCATCCAGAGAACGGCCTCGGGGAGGCCTACCTGCGGTTGTCATTCAAGGCCTGTACGAGCCAGTTGAACAGCCTCTCGAAGAATGGCAGATGGAACTGGCGCGAAGTGCAGACCTACGTGCGGAAGGAAACGGCGTTCCGCGAGGCAATCGCACTGCTGATGTTGGTGACGGGCGGCGGCCAGCCGCGAGCACCTGACCTCCTCCATTTACGGTGCGAGAACGCCATGTCAGCCGAACGCGGCATCTTCGTCTACGGCGGAAGCGTGATGTACCTGACGCGGAGCCACAAGGCCAAGCGGTCAACAAACAGGGAGCTCTATGTCGCTCGGTTCCTTCCTGCTCAGCCAGGCCACCTCCTCTTCAAATACCTGGTCTACATCCGACCTGTCGTCGACATGCTGATGCGGGAACAGACGCCCGGCTTGCGGGGGTGCTCGACGTATCTTTTCCGCGCGCAGGCGTCTGACGACAGCGAAGCATGGACGACGGGGCATCTCACCAACGTCATCAAACGATTCTCCGCACAGGCCTGGGGGCAAGGCGTCACGCTACAGATGCTCCGACAACTGTCCGTCGGCATCTCGGAAAAGCATGTCCGCGAGGTCTTCAAGCCGTTCAACCGGTTCGATGACCGGACGGATGCGGCGGATCGCAATGTCGCTTTCGCTTGGCAGACCGGCCATCGCCCGTTGCAGAGGGCAAGGACATACGGGCTCGACGGAGCCTTCCCAGCGCAGCTACAACCCCAACTCCTCGAGCGATATGCCTGGGTATCGAGTCGGTGGCATGAATTCCTGCACCTCCCCAGCACGGTTGCTCCCCCCGCTGTGGCGAAGAACGGGACGGGAGCGGGCGGGGCCGGCATTGACGATTGCGAACGGGGACCATCAGCAGGAGGACGGAATGCTCACTCGTACGAGCTCACGCCAGCTGTTCCCCACACCCCCATTGTCGCCCCGGGCTACGGCGAGAAGCGACGTTTGGCACCAGCACCAGCACCGGCACCGGGACTTCCCCCCCCATCCCAGCGGCGACCGCAAGAGGCCCGCTGGGCCCGAGCCAGGCGCCGCTCAGAGCAAGCGGACTCGCCTCGCAGACCCATCGCCGCCGCCGCCGCCGCCAACACGTCCCGTGAGCGCTCGTGCGGACGAACCTCTTTTTGGCCGCCCCAATGCGGCTGCGACGGTCGAAGAGGCAGAGGAGCGGAGGAGAATTGTAGCGTACCTGGCGGGGAAGCTGCCCGTCGTTCGTTCCATCAATTCAGAGGATGCCAAGCTCGTCATCACGGCGGAGTATGGCGGAAAGCGTACCGGAGAAGCAGACTCCTCGCCGCATCCGTCGTACCAGACAACCCGTCGGCTAGGCATGATCCATGAGCGCACTGAGGAATGGAGGTTCGTCGGCTGCGAGCTATGCTTCGCCACTACGGGGCAGCGAGAGCCAGACCACGGACTAGAAGACTGTGGAAGATGGAAGACCAGCGGAACTGCGAGACGCCTCCTTCGGTGGCTAGAGGGGCTTAACATCCCCCGATACTATGGCCAGAGAGGTGCTTGTGCGATGTGTGGGCATGGCTGGGTCGTCTGCGATGAGATGCGGATGCAGTTTCAACTCGAAGAGGCAGCGAGTCGCCGGCCCGAAGACCGCGCGCGACTCGCTGCGCAGTACGATTCCGCCCAAGGACGCGACGGCTTCTGCGGGAATCGGCCGGTCGTGCGCAGAATGATGGCGGCATTGCTCGCATACGACGACCAGATCCTGGGGAAGGTCTTGACGAGGCTGGTTCTCGATCATTCTGGCGTAGACCTGGGCAGCGAGAAGGAGGCAAGGGGCTGGTTTGAGCAGCGAGTACGATTGACCGACGGGTACTGCTCGCCGCGGCAGTTGCACGCACTTGACCTGTTGATCTTGGCGTTCAACTGGCGGCTGGAGCAACGACGGTCACCCGAAGCGGCGACGGCGGGATCACCCGAGCTAGCCTGGGACAATGCACTGGAAGTGGAGAACTGGAGAGGGGCACTGGCATGGCTACGTGGAAGATGTTCCTTCTGTGCTGGGCGTGGTCTTGGTGAGGGCCAGATCCGCCACGCGCTCCGGCAGTGTCACCGCGGAGGCGCACAAAAGGTCCGCGAGGACATGGGAGACCTGCTGTACGGAAGGGATTACGAACCTGCAGGGGGATGCTATGTGTGCCACCTGCCGAAGGACTTCTGCTCAAGGTGGGTAGACCAAGGCGGCGGGGGCCCGTGGATAGAGCGCCGGGATGGCGCATGCAGCTATGACCGAAATTTTCTCTATGACGGCGTCGTCGGATTTTGGACCTGTGGAGTTGCCGCCTACAAGGAAGAGCTCCGCGAGGAGGTCGACGACTATTTCATGGACCAAGGAGAGGACCTCCCGCGGTACCATGACGATGAGAATGCTGTCTCTTGGCTTACTCAGCCGCTCTTCGTAGCGGGTGTCTTTGGATCACAAATGGTGCGTCAACTAGCGATCTGGGTTCGAGCTTCAAAAGCATTTTCAAGGCATGTGGTGCCGCCGCCGGCCGGCGACGGCGAGCGCGAGAGCGACGGCGAGATAGAGAGCTTTAAGAAGGCCATCCAGGCCGAGTTCAAGGCGGCGGCGCCGACCATCAAGGAGAAGGACGCCGCAAGATCAGGGGGTCGCGTCCGTTGAAGCAGTTGGGAGTTGTGTTCGCAGAGGATTTCCCAAACAAAATAGTCAGAGTGGTATGTAATTATGTATGTGATGCCCAGAATACGGCGGATCCAGCTAATTATACCATTCATCTGTAGTTCGCAAACGACCCATGCCGAGGAGCAAGCGAAGAGTTCGTGTCGATAGCAAGGTAGAAAAGAAGAGAGCAGAGAGCGGTACAGGAGAAAAGCAGCGACAAACCATGGCAACGTTCAGCGAGATATTCACGCCATTGCCCGCATCCCGCACGGCAGTTTGCCACGAGCATGGAAGCGTGGTGACGGCGCGGTCGGTTGCGTCGCATGTCAATTCGCGGCACCGGCATTTGGCCGCCCAGGGTTCGCCAGCGGATCGTGGCCGAGGCGTTGGCGTTACGGGACGACGGTTCGTTGGCCGCCGATACGAACAATATCCGATTCCCCGACGAGGTGGTCCCGGCGATCGACGGATTACCCGTGTGGAGCGATGGCAAGAAGTGTATCGAGTGCGGGTTTTATACAGCGTGGGAGGAAGCATATCCAGAAGCATTGCCGGTCGGAGCATGTTTGACCGCACGCGTTGGACCAACCCGCGGAAACGCGGCGGCAAGCCCGGGGCCCAGCCGGTAGGCGGGTTAGGCGAGGTATGGGTGCATGGGGTGTATTGCCGGCGGTTCGGGCAGGCCGGTGTATTGCAGCGGTTGTTTGAGGTGACGACGCCGGCCAACACGGCCGCAAGCGGGAGCGGGGGAGACACAGCCGATTTTCAAGCCGCCATCCGGGCCGAGTTCGAGGCGGCGGCGCGGGCCATCAAGGAGAAGGATGAGGCGGCAGCGGCGCTGATCGGCGACCAGTCGAGGTTGTCGGCCAACATGTGGGTGCGGCATTTGCGCGGGTTTGACCGCGAGTGGTTGGCAACGACGATACGGCGGCCCGTGGTGGAGAAGAGGAAGAAGTAGAGGAGGGGGACGGGGAGGGGAACGGGGAGGGGGGCGGAGAGGACGGAGAGGCTGGAGAGGAGGTTGGAGGGCAGGGTGGGGATAGGAATAGAGATGGCAGGGCCCGCAGCGAAGCCGCGTTAGCCGTCGTATTGTTGGCCGTGGAAAGGGTGATTTGGCGGGCGCAGAAGGCGTCGCAGGTCGAGGTGGTCGGGTCGGCGTCGGTGAATTACATCGAACGGCGGGAGGTTGGCGGCGAGGCAAACGAGAAGCCGTTCAACGCGGCCCAGAAGGGTACGACGATGGCCAAGTATAGCGAGTCGTGGAAATGCTGATGGCGTATTTATGGCGGACGTGGCGTTTAGAGCCGGTTGACCAGGGGGACGAGGACGAGGGCGAGGAGGGAGGGGGGGGAGGGGAGGGAGGGGGAGGGG